GTGGCGCCTCCGTGCCCTGGGAGACGCAGGCATCCAAGAGCTACCATTGTCACGGGACAGGGACCCGGGGCTGAGCTCGATGCTGCTGATAATGGTTAGCAGGCAAGGTCGCCATCTTCTCGAAGCAGGCTTTATTCTCCCGTCAACGGCCTTCGTTGACTCAGTACGAAGGAGCCGGTGGCGTTGCATGGCTGGCTAATTTGTGACCGTCCTCACTAGCCGCGTTTGTGAGATGAAATATCAATTTGATATTCTTCCTAACAGGCACTTTGATGAGGCTTGAAAGTCTAAAGGCTGCCACCGGGCAATTGCACTGCATTGCATCGGGGCACTCCCCACTTCAGGAGAGTGGAGTTCGCGGAAGAGTCCATGGATATACCGGCCCTGCCCTATACTCAACGACACCCTCAGGTAGTCTCGAGTAAGGGCATTCGTGTGTAGCGCGTACGAGTGTGTGCACTAACTCCGACAGCCGCTTCCAGAGCAGCTTCACATCACGCCCCATTCGCTGACGATTGACCTAGCCCCATGGCTTCTCTAAACGCCCCACATGCCTCACCACCTTGGTGAAATCGGGGCCGATGCACATCATGTCCCAATTTTGTGCTTGCCTCCTATTAGGCTGGGTCCGTCTGCTGCAAAGGCGATCCACGACTTGCCTCAAGCCGTAGCTGACTGAAGTTTATAGTCGCCGTGGCAGCACGCCTAAGAGTAGTTGACAGGCGGGATCAACGGCGGGGATGTGTCAAAATATGGACCTATACGGCATTTTGGAGCGACTGTTCCGGACAGACCCTTCTATTCTCCCCAGAATTCATTCCATGTGGATGCTGGCGAGTGGACCAGTTCGCACGGTGATCAGGAGCGATCAAACCTGGGATCGCAGAGGGCGTCTTGCACGGAGCTAATCCATGGCTGCGCGGAAGGCGGAAGCGTTTAGGTGCACGGCCATAGCACAGCGGCCTGGGAGACAACTCAGCGGCGTGCGGCTTGCTTTTTCCCCTTCACTGCACCCCGGCCTTAGATGCAGACGTTTGATAAAAATTGAGACTATCCATTCCTGGCATTGGACATTGCTTCTTTGTCCGAACTAGACACAAGCCTCCTGTCACGGGCTGACTCTCTCACACGACCTCTGCCTGCGGCTGCTGTACGCTCTCTTCCTCAACGTTGCCCAGTTTCAGTCTCAGACTGGTACTGCACATGCTTCCGTCATCAGCAATTGTGGTGCAGAAGACGGACTTGCTCCTTTGTGGACGAGACGCAGGTCTATCGCATATTTATTCCAGGCCGCTTGGTCTTGGTGCTAGCTGGGGCCAACACCCGCGCGCCCAAACCAGCGTGCATTGAACTAAATCACGGCTTCGATCCTGCAAGCGTGCTTCTACAAGTATATCCCTCCAAAATCCCGTACCTGGCGCCCGAGCCATTGTCACACCCGTGGACACGGCGATCGACCTCGGACCCTTGCAACTGGATGACGTTGATCCTTTTACGGCAAGCTTTACCGTCCACGGCTCACCAACATCTACCAATACAAACAACCTACACTCCATCAGTTTTCTATCCTCTCCAATCCTCCTAGGCATGTCTGGATACTATCCTCCTCCTGGGCATAACATTCCGCCTCAGTACTACAACCTTGATCCGAATGCGATCCCCAATTCCAACATTCAGCATGCCCCACCAACTATAATCTCACATGGCTCGTATGCACCCACCTTGCCAGACAACCCGTTTCAACCGGGTGTTCCTGGACCCTTTGTACAATACGAGAACATTGGTCAACCAAACTACGTTGATCAGTATGAGGACATATCTGGGCCAATGGGCTCAGCGCATGGTGCTAATGGCCGCGCACGAAGAAGGCCAGCGCCTGGCGAACAGGTGAAGCATCGCAGAACACGGAGTGGCTGTTTCACATGCAGGCAAAGAAGAGTCAAGGTATGCGCTCTACCTTGTGGGATAGAGGCTTGACTGATAGGTAACAGTGCGACGAAAACCATCCCGTGTGCGAACGTGAGTACCCGCGCTTGCTCTCACACACTCAAGAACTGCTTAGTCTGACGTTTTTTGCTAGGATGTCGCAAGGGGAGTCGCGAGTGTATCTATCCAGATTCACAGTCCAGTCAGAAATCGACACGCAGTGGATCAAAGTCAGGCAAGTCTGCATCAGCGGGGGATCAATCCTCACCCGAAGCCCATGAAGGAGAGGACAAGGAGCGCCTTCCTGCGATCATGGATGAAGATGAAGAGGACGATTACGTTGAGTATGACGATGACGACGATGACATGTCGAAGAGTCAAGACGCTCGCGATTCTTCACACACACCAGGCTCTTTCCTCGATCAAAGTACGTCTCCATCCACTGAAGCATCCTCGATACCGCCTACGGTACGCCCATCCATGTCTCGGAAAGGCAGTGCGCAAACCACCAAGGGCGCTTCGGCTATGGCGCGAGACCTCCAATTTTACTTGAACTACTTCCGGAACCACATGAGCGTCCATCATTACTCTCTCAAACGCGACACGCATGGCTTCCTCAAAGGCGATTTTCTGAGTTGGACGACCAAGTTTGAGCCCTTGAAGTACGCTGTAGCTGGTTACGCAGCGTATTTCCATACGCTTGCGCAGCCTGATGGTCGCATGTCCACCTTCCTCCAGTTCTACAACGAATCTGTTTCGCGACTGAGGATAGCCATCACGAAGAACAAGAAGCAGGGGCTCGCAACGTTTTTGACCATACTGCAACTTGCGAGTATTGAGGTATAGACCCTTGCAGAAAACCAATATCTCTATGCTGACACCGGTTTCAGGAGATGCTCGGCGACTGGGTCAACCTTATGGGCCATCAAAAAGCAGCTTTCGAGATGCTCACCCGCCTATACACGCCGGAGACTATCGTCAAATCCGATTTTCTTTGCAAGGTACTTCTTTGGTACATCCGATTCGACCTGTTTGTTGGCTTTCAGTCCGGCGGTGAAGCGGTGCTTGGTCGCGAGTGGTACGAAGCGGTACACGAATGCTACGTTGAGAAAGTACGCGACAGGCCAGATGACATTGAGATGCTGTACGAAGAGCGCTTTGCGCACTCACGACTGGTAGCGAAAGATTCGAATGACCTGTTTGCAAGGACTGCCAAAGGTCTCGTCAATCCTCAGGATTTCATGACACAGCTACCAAAACTAAAGGAGAGGGTGGAGGCGCTCCGAAGAAACCTAGGCGACAAGTTGACGGATCCTGATTACAAGGTCCATCAGATTCCAGGAGAACCCGACCCAGAAGACTTTGTTAATCCCTACGAGCCGGATGTCATATGGGGTGGTCCGCTGTGGACGTCGAACTACCTGCAGCTGGATTTGTGGGGCATCCAGTTCATGTTTGCCATTTCGTCTTCCATGGCGCTGAAAGTGCCTCTTGATCCGGAAGTTACAAAAGAAGCATTCAAGGCGGTGCAGGTCTTCGAGGCTATATGCGCGTATCCGGAAGCTCCCCCAGGCGCACTGCTAGAGGCACAGGTCAGTTTCGCGATTGCGACCCTGTTTCTGCCGAAAGATCAGAAGACTGTGCAATGGCTTCGACGGACGTTTGCGAAAATCGAAGCAGCAGGGTAAGTGAAATCTTTTGTTTGTGCAACGACAGGAGATTAGGGTGTTTTGTTCTAGGCGCAGGCTAGTAACAAGAGAGTCTTACCGAACCTCTACTAACAGGAGCATCAGGTATATTTATTCTGATGTTCTTCGAAACCGCATGCTCGAATCCATGGGTCTCGGTCCATCGGACTGGTGGCTCCCTAACGACGAAAGCTGTCCACCGATAATCCGATCCATCAAAGACTTCATCAAGGATCGCACACAAGCGCCTAAAGACCAAGTCTCGGACGATCTACGAGAGATGCGAGGAATATTCAGCTCCCTGACTATTTCGGACTCACCGCCATCTGATAATATGACGGTAACGAGTGCCGACGGCTTGGGTTCAACATACGGATCTCCGGACTGGCAGTCATCAGGGTACGGAAGCGACCGAAAGTCGTCAAGCGCAGAGGCTTATCCACCGGGGTCACAGCAACAATACGTTGTGCAGTAAGATGTGTGGCGCGCAAGAAATACTGAAGTTATTTAAGACGGTTGCATAAGACATCAGGACTGGTGTCCATGATGCGCAATGCCACGTCGGCAGCGCATACGCCCACGTTCCTCAGACGACAGTTGCGCGCATGACAGTAGAGAGTGTTTCTCGTCTAGAACGCTCTATCAGCCCTGTCTTGCTGCGGCCCAGGGCCGAGGTGGCCTTCCGAGAGGCGTTCTGTGCAACGTTGTTCGACAGATATGGCCTGGATTGCCTACTGGTACCACTGCCGCAATGCACAGCATGAAGGTTTGTGTCTAGATGCCGAGGCAGGTCAAGACCAAAGAGGAAGAATGGAGCGATGGACAGGGAAAGCTATGTGGTGTAACGTTTGCTGGCGCATGTTAGTTTCAACGTCCCATGGATATTGGGTGTTCGCTGTCCTATCGATAGAAGCACGGAGTAGCAAAGGCGGATCTTATGCACACGGAGGGAAAGTTTGGTCGTGATGGAGGAGGGGACCAAGTTATCATGTGGACTGCTAGATAAGCACACCGTCAGCGTAACGCATTGTGGCTCACAAGCGACATGCAAAAGACAGATTCAACAAGATGAAATAGAATACCTGTGCATATGATAGCCGTTGAAGCTGTGCGTACCGTCACAGAGTGTTTGGGTGAAGTTGAGGCGTGGGTGGTTCCGTTGCGGCGCAAGTGGAGCGTTGGAGATGGCGCCCGAAGCAGGCTAGTATGCAGGGATGGTGGGCGGCCCTGACAGGAGCGGGCAGCGGAGACACATGAAAGTCGCAAGAGCACCCGACCACGACGACGACGTTGACAACAACAGCAACAGCAACATATACGACGACGCCGCCCAGCTAGAAGACGCGAACAGGGCTCTGAGAGACATAACACGCATTATTATTCGCCATGGACAACCTTGGAAAGATCTCAGCGTTCGGAAAGAACATCTCGTATGCTTTTTCCCGCAATGTCGACCCGCGAGCTGCGCGATGGCTGGGCACGAGGTGGACATGTGCTAACATGGCTTCTGCAGCGCTTCCTTTACACCTTGGGCTGCCCGGACGCAGCAATATGTCAAGGAGCAGGTGGGCAATGTCGAGGACAAGGTATGGCTACCCTGGCAGCACACTTGGGCAGGACTGATACGGGCTCTGCAGACTCAACTCCCCCCGGACTACATCGAGCTCGAGAAACGGGTCGATGCGCTGAAGAAGGTGCACACGACGATGCTGCAGGTCACGTACGACACCTCCCTCGACGTGCTGGTACTTGGTCTGACTGCCTAGCTCACAATACGCAAACGAAGCCTACGACTACCCAGCCAACATCCGCGAATCCTTCAACGACCTCGGCCGCACCGTCTCCGAGAAGGTCAATCTGCTCTCCAGCGCCACATCGCCCGCCGAAGCCCAGGCTGCCCTGACTGCTCCGCCCTCAGCAAAGCCCCAGCCCAAGACGTTCAACCATGCCATCGCCCGCGCCGCCCTCAACTCGTCGCACATGCTCACCTCGGAGCAGACCAGCTCCAGTGAAGACCCCCTTGCTACCGCCCTCGAGAAGTATGCTATTGCCAGCGAGAAGGTCGGCGAGGCCCGACTGGCCCAGGACGCCCAGATCCAGAGCCGCTTCTTGGCCGGCTGGAGCACCACGCTCAACACCAACATCCAGTTCGCTACACGTGCTCGCAAGGCAGTCGAGAACTCGCGGTTGAGCCTGGATGCGACCAAGGCCAACGCAAAGGGCCCTGCTTTCACTCTGCCAGGTCAGGCTCCAAAGACAGCCATGGACGACGACATCAGTGAAGAGGCGAGAGCCAAGATTGAGCAGGCCGAAGACGAATTTGTTGGCCAGACAGAGGAGGCCGTCGGTGTCATGAAGAACGTACGACTATAGCCTCCAGCCCGCAACCCCCCCATGTACTGACACCTAGATGCTAACCAAACAATAGGTCCTCGACACCCCCGAGCCTCTCCGCAACCTCGCTGAACTCATCGCCGCCCAGCTCGAGTACCACAAGAAGGCATACGAGATTCTGTCCGAGCTGGCACCCGTCGTCGAGCAGCTGCAGGTCGAACAGGAGGTGCGTAGACACCAGTCTTCGGATTACTAGCATGTCTTCACCGGACCCGACTAATGCATTGCACTGATAGGCCAGCTACCGCAGGGCTCGCGAGGAGTTGTAGAACGCCTCTGACGCACGCGGCCAAGCAAAAGGAAAGATTGGAGACAAACACTAGCTCAATTTTGGTCACGTCACAATGTCGTCTACGGACGTTGGTGGTTTGCTTCACATTCGCACGGCATCTAGTTTATTAGCTCAGTCAATTCCTTCTTTCTTCCGCCATTCCACTTCTGTGACGCTACATGCCAACACACACCCGTGACTGCCATACTGATATCTCATTGAAATACTCCACTCTCATCCCTGAATTCTGCCGCTTGCCCTCTAGCAAACTCCGCCATCCTCTCCCTTTCACCTTCTTTTCCATCGTCATCTTCTTGAGCCGGAATATACTCCCTCATGACATCCCTCACATAGTCTTCTGGCACACCTAGCTTCACAGCATCTGTGATCCCTTGGTTCATCCTGTAGATGTACTCTTCTCGCGGCTTATCCGGCTGGACACGGTTTCTATCAATGTAAACTAGCATGCCCTCCCTCTTTTCCGGATCTTTGCTAGTATCCACTTTGTGCTCTGTATCAGAAGGCCAGAACTCGCATTGTAGCATCTCTTTTGTGTAAGCCACGGGCACGCCTTCGTTCTTGTCTAGTCTCTTTTCATCTTCTGCTTCAAGTGAATAGACGAGACCAAAGACTACATCGTCGTAAGGAGACATGGATGTGCTGTTACTATCGGTCACCTCGACAACGTTCGCGTAACCGCGGTCGTTTATTATCCACTGGTAGTTTGGTAGGCGGGCGACTCCAAGGTAGGTCGATGTTGGGCAGCGTGTCGTCATTTGGTGAAGCCAGAGATTTGACCCGTAACCAAAGTATATCGTGGGAGATGCAGAGGGCGCCATGGGTAGTTGAGGACTTGCCATGTTGAGATTGGCGTAGATGGCTTTGAGTATTGAAGTTGACGACGCGACTCTGTTGCGTACTTTAGGGCTGGTGCAGAGTGAAAGTCGTAGACTATGCCTTTTTGGGCGTTCCGAGGCTGACGGATTACGTCATTCGTCTCGTCTCACGATCCCAGCCAGAACTTTTGGAAGGAACGCGGGACACGCTTGACAGTTCTGCGGATATCTTTCCAAGTACGTCCATCCATTGTACTTGGACGCATACAGAGCAATCTTTCGTCCTCGTGCAGCTCACGGTCTAGCAGCTTCACTAGTGAAGTAGGAGTCGTCCTTTGAAGGTACCCCGCTACACATTTTAGCTAGCTTTGACACCAGACAGCTACACGCTGCGAGGAATTGAACAAGTAGTGACTGTCGAAAGATGCCTTACTCCCACCACAGCCATTCTGGCCAATTCTGTGGACATGCGCAGAACACGCTTGAGGAAGTCGTCCAGGCAGCAATAGCCAAACGCTTCCATACTTTCTCCTTGACGGAGCATATACCCAGGCCGCAGGAAGACTTCTATCCTGAAGAAGCCGAATCTCACACGGAGCAGAGTCTCGCGAAGCTATTTGATGACTTTATTGTCGAAGCTCACCGACTACGAGACGCGTACTCGGACCAAATCCAGATACTCATCGGCTTCGAAACCGAGTACATCCGCCCATCTACGCTGCACATCATTCGCGGCATCCTCGACAAGTACACCTTCGATTTCTTCATGGGCTCTGTCCACCACACGCACACGATACCAATCGACTTCGACCGCGCCATGTACGAACAGGCTAGAGACAAGGCAGGTGGGACCGATGAGCGCCTCTTTGAGGACTACTTCGACTCCCAGTACGAAATGCTTCAGGAGTTACAGCCACCAGTGGTCGGGCATTTTGATCTCATTCGCCTACTTAGCGACCATCGCGACGCCGATTTCCAGGGCATGCCTGGCGTTTGGGACAGAATAAAGCGCAACTTGGAATACGTAGCCTCTTATGGCGCTCTTCTCGAATTGAACTCGGCTGGGTTGCGAAAAGGTTTGGCCGAGCCATATCCGTGCTTGCCCATATGTCAAGTCAGTCACACCGCCATATGCCCGAGCTCGGCGTCGAGTTTACTAACGTATGTCATAGATGTTCTTACGCATGGGAGGTGGTTTCGTCATGTCTGACGACAGTCATGGAATCGACCAGATAGGTACAAACTATGCGCGGCTATTGGCTTTCATACGCCAGGCAGGGATAGACCAGATACATTATGCTGACCGGTCCGGTGTGCGCAAAGACAGCCGCTTCCCCAACGCGGGCTTCTCTAGTATTGCTGTAACCGACCTGGCGCAATCGCCATTCTGGGCGAACCTAGGGTGATATCATCTTCGCCATGGGTAGCCCTTCGGTAGTTGGAGGCGCCACTGAAACCCTCCTTGTTGAAAGTTTCGGGCCACCAAGCCGGCGCCGCGCTATCAGGGAACTTTTGTCAACGGTTGGTTCGAGTGAACATGCAGCGCGCATTGCCTTTCGGATATTTTTTTCGAAGCGAAATTGTCCGCTGATATGGTAATGTGCAGTTGGTGTAGTCCATATCACTAGTCAACTGGGGGCTACGTGCTCTGCTATTACGATGCTGCACTCCAGATGCGTGGAGCTTCTCCACGACTCAGTTACCGCTGCAAGCGCATTCAAACTAGCCAATGTGAAGCGTGCAATGCTCCCAGACCACGCTGTTGGGCTCCCGGCTCAACGCACAGGGCTCGCGATCGTCTTCATCGTAAGTTAGCTGATGGACTCAGAAGGGGATGGTTGAAGCACGGTCAAAAGACCACGTGTAATGGCCATCGGATTCACTCTTTAGCCCCACACTACTTGCGCTCTCTTACCCTGGTCCAAAATATTTATTCATTTGCCGCGAGAAGCACGATAACCAGCAATCCCGCATTTGGCTCTCTTGACGAACCGCTGCAATACGGTTGTTCTCCGGGTGGGTCCAGCACCGTACGGCAATCGGCTGTGATCCCGCTATGCCTCTGATTGGCAAACCATAATAGACTTGAAAGCAGAAATATAGCTAGGGTTCTTGAGTCCGCATCTTGTACATGGGTTAGAGGCATTGATGAGCAAAGAAGGGGTCTTGAGTTCGCACATTAAGAGTGTGATTTATAGCAGCAGAGTGGATTAGAGGAACGATTAAGTTGTACAAGACCATGAGAGATCTGAAACCGTGGGGGTACATTTACCGCGGATGGACAAACATTTACTTTTCTGACAACGGTTCTGCGTTCTCTCACATGTACGTCACCCTCGTCCTTACCCCATTCGCAAATCTGTATGATCGCCACTCTTGTCCTCGGAGCTTGAGGGGAGTTTTGCAATCAGATTCTGTTGCACCCTACTCAGGCTTGATAACAGCCAACTATGCAGATCCTGATGTGCTGCCGAATCAAAGTTTACGCATAGTCTCTGTGACTGTGTACCTAGGTAGCGCAGCGGTTGTGTCCTATTCGACGAGGCCGAGGTTTGTAGCGTCAGAGGCGCTTTTTCTTTTTTGCTTCCATCATGCCACTGCTGATGAGATAGGGACCATGGCCGGCTTATTTGCGCCTTCCGGCTTCTTGGAAGGGATTAAGGTTCTAGCGCCAACGCTGTGCGCACATTTGATCGTAGTGACAGTCACCGCACTTCGCCAGCTTAACCATAGTCTCTTGCACCCCACCACCCTACTTCGATCTACTACCCCTATCGGTGTAATTTCGCACAAGGTTCTTCATCATTGTGCCCGTGTCAAACTAGGAGTGAGGCCGTCTTCGGATGCGACTAAGCCCGCGTTGTCACAAAACAAACGTCGGTAGGTATCCAACTTGGCAGGCCGCTCGGTAGTCGCGGGAAAGTTTAGTACGGGTACAACCTTCCACCATGTCACTTGTGGAGCCCCCATCGCGTGTCAGCTGGGATGTTGCAGATGAAGAGCGGTTTGGAAGGGCTAGACCAACCTTACTTCTGACATTCAAAACGGCCTGAGCTTCGGGCAGGATTCCCCGAGAGACGGACATGTTCTGACGGCTGTGGGTCGTACCATACGTAGCCCGCAATTGCCTTCGAGCCAAAGATGTGGGACAGGCGCATATGCGAAGGGGCTAAAAAGTATGCTTGACGCATCCGAGCAGGCCAATCTGTTGCACAGCTTCGCGGGAAAACCCTGGTATGCTTTTGGTCAAAGCAAAAGCCATGTAAGTCTAAGCTCCAGTCAGAGCCTCTACGGAGCTTCCTGTTCTTGGGTTCACATATCGGCACCACTATTAAAACCTGGAATCCACCCACTTCTCGACCTACACGTCCATCTTCACATATTCTCGACTCCTAACAGACGTCCTAGCTCTTTGATCACCACCAAGCGAAGTGTTTGCCCTACATATCTTGTACATTGTCCGCCTTGAGCTTCACAACTCCCCTCCCCAGCCAGGAAGAAATCCTCTATCCTAAACGCTATCCATGATCGACTCCGGCAGTATGGGCGTAGAGAAGCTCGTTATTAAGCCGGGCAACGGTATAGACTACCCGAAGAAACACGATGAAGTCTCTATGGAATACACTGGTAAGACTAGCGTACCACCCGATATCAATATCTAACGATAATCCAGGTTGGTTATTTGACGACGATGCTCCGGACCACAAAGGTGGACAGTAAGCAACCCGGCAGAGTTCACGCTTTGGACTCCAAATGGAACGTATCATTGACTGAATCTCAGATTCGATACTTCTGTAGGTCGGGGTGACCTGATTACTCCCATCGGCGCAGGCCGAGTTATCAAAGGTATGTTCTTGCTGCCCGAACCATCCTGCTTCGTACCTGGTGCATATGCACTCTGCAAATCTAGATCTACATGTCGACTGACGCTCATGCACAGGGTGGGACGAGGGCATTCTGGGCTCCGCAGAAGCGTCACCCATGACGCTGGGAGAAAAGGCAACTCTGATCATAACACCGTAAGTAATGGTCTGATCGACATGCCTTCTCAGGCGGATGCATTGTGCTAACGACACGTGCGATATAGTGACTATGCATATGGTCCTCGGTAAGTCCGATTTACATCTCATACAGCCCGTGACTGGGACGGGAACCAGCAAGACAGGATGCTGCTGAAGTACACGCCACTGCGGATACGGAAGCCATACGGGGCCAAGGACCAGCACGGCTTACGACGTTCCGAGAATCCTTTGAGCCATTCTTCTCCGAACATCCCGCACTCGTGGACGTTGATGCCGCCGCAACCGCGAATCCTGTACGACGTGGGTGTCTGCAGCCTATGACAACCCCTGAATCTGGAACCTCGATGATCTGATAAGATGATGTAGTGCAAATGCTGACTGCGGACAACAGTGGATTTCCCGGACATATCCCCGCGAATGCCAAATTGATCTTGTAAGTGCTCAATTTTATCTCGTTTGTCATTGGAGATACTGCAGCACGCTTGCGACGCCTCTTCCATGGGCCACTAGCGTGTGTTATTCTTCTATACGACGCACAGCTCACTAGCTGTTCATTTCATCTTGCTATCGCCAAATCTGTGCATGGGTTGCAACAAGAATGCTGACGCTATGACAGTGACGTCGAGCTCAAAGCCATCAACGGAAAGAAAGCATAAAGCGCTTCGCCTCTGGTATGCACCATTGCGCAGCTGCTGAACATGTTTGTCGACATATACCCCGTTACTACCCGACCTTCGCGGCGCTAGTATTTCATAATTCAGGTCAGCACATGTGTGAACAGGAAACGTCCACCTGCACCGAAGATCAGCGCATGTGCTGCGCCAATCACTCCAGATTCTTAATGATCCTTCGCATGCTTGCAGACGCAAAAGCCTTTTGGTTTCTCCTACCCTTTCGGAGTTTGGCGCTTTATAGAGGTACAAGAGACCAGCAGACTCAGTTCAACCCGAGCTGTCCTTGTGGGTGTATAGATACGGTGTTCGTGGCAGAGCTAAGAAAAGCTCATGTTTTTTTGTACCCGATGAACCATTTTCTTCTATACACATAGTGTTGCCGCAGCTCTGAGATTTTGTTTCTCTTCCCGTCTGGCGTCACACCGCTCATTGCTCCTCGCAATGGTCAGGCTGTAGAGCATGATTCGTAGGAAGCTTACACAATGCTCGAGTCCAAATATCCGTCAATCAAAAGCAAGCGCTTTGCTACGTGCCGCAAACATTTTAATCTCTCATTTCTCGCTAACGAATGAGCTTCTCAAATGGTAAACGATTTACCATAATATTGTTAACCAATGGTATGCAGTAACCCGGGTTAGAGGTTTGCCGCGACGCGGGATAAAATTCGGCTGAACACTTTACGGCACGAGCCGATTGCAAAGCTGTACACCGATGATCTTTTCTTCAACCTCACTGGACCACGTTGCCGAAATCAGATACAATCCGCTGTCGGTATGCCGAAGACCAGCGGCATGACTCAAATCACAAGTGTTTCGTTGGCTGGCGGTTGTGGCGGCTTACATTTAATCTGGCAGATATGGCATGCTTTCACCGCAACCGTCGCGCTTGGTTATCAAACTCAACCTTCGCGAAAACCTTACAACCCCCCTTCTTTGCCGTTTTTTGCCACGAGTGAGGAGATGCTGCCACAGGCGAAACGCATCCTGCGAAGGGCGTACCACCATCTGACCTACTAAGACAGACAGCGCATCCGTCGTTCAAAAGTTAGGTGGCCTCTTACCAGAAGCGACTTTCTCAACATCCGAGTTCTAGACCTGTTACTCTCATAACGGGTTAAAACTTCCGAATCTTAAAGTCTACATGGTATCTCAATGTGGCACTTGGCACTTTGCCATCGCATACAACCGGCGCACGAATTCACCGATCAGGAACCGAGTATGTACCTTTGTAGGAGCCTCATCACCACGTATACCATGTCAAAACCTAGCACTCCCATATCTTGAGCTTACCCAGGCACCGATCACGGGCCGTGGCTGTGGCCGTTTGATCCATCCTTGAACGTTCCCGGCCGTACCGATTGCGGAAATGGCTCTTGCGCTACATGCGCGCCCGTAAACCAGATCATCGCTTAAGAAAATCTAGGTATGTAAGATGGCTACAGGCGGCGTATGTCAGATGTATGTGGAGTTGGGCCCATGCAGCTACATCATGCACGAGTCGATCATGCGCGTGCGTGGCACGGTAATGATGCGGGTCGAATTTTTATGGGGTTCGATGCAATACTACTTGACTGCATAGCTATCCTGCTGTCATTTGGTTTACACTTTGAGCTATTACTTGGGTCCCGCGCGAGCCGCTGCTTCGAGGCAGTACTTTATTGGGTATGAATATGCATGGCTGTTTGTGTCTGTCGCGCCAGCAACCTTGACTTGTTCGTTGCACCAAGGCTAGTCCATAGTCTTGCCATCTTGACAATCAAATCTTATGGTACTACACCTCTCTCCTGCCTTGATTGATTTGATCTTCACAATATCCAAGAGTATCGAGATGGTCTCGGGAAGTGGCGTGTAGACAAGTCGGTCATGTTGGATGTTGAAGATCGGTGTCATGGCTTCCATGGCCTAGCTCCTCAGGCTCTGTAGATACTAGGACGATTGCACAACGCCATTGCTAACAAGCAACGAGCCACCACCAGTTCATCGAACAAGGATTCCGCCATAGGTATTTGCTCGTCCCCCAGATTCCTCAAGCACATCTTTGTATTGGCAATGGTGAGCAAACGTAAGGGGTAGATGTTTTGCAACCGAAGGCAGTCAACGCGAACCTACCGCCGCCGCCGCCGCAAAGGCGCTGTTGTCTACCGTAAACCGTTGTAGAAGTGCATCACCACTTACCCAAACCATGTAGCAATACTCAATGCTGCCGTGAATCGTGTGGAAACTGCAATATGACACACGATCGCGATAGACGAGTGTGCACATGATATCATAGGAGCGGATTGCCTCATTTTCGCTTGAGAAAACACACCACTATTAGTGTATATCGATGATAGCGAACTGGAGTATACCAGAATCAAACCGCGACCGTCATGGTTACCTAGGTACTTCCAACATCGGTGGAGAATGATGTCTGGTTTAAACAAGTTCGACTTCGTACACGCCTTGCAAAATGCAAGAACTCTATGCGCGCATTGCTTCCGGGAGATTTCCTTCACCACCATCGCTACCTCCACCATGCGCTTCGAGCGCACCTGTGGTATGCTGGTATGGTCCTCCAGACTGCCGCGTCTCGAACGGCTGATCATTGCGGCCCAATCTACTTTTCCACTGGAGACTGTACTTGACAGCGCTAGTTCGTTTACCTTTTTTTTCACAGTCATTCCGTCCACTAAGGTACTTGTGAATCTAGTCCTTCGCGTGTCGTTCACCGTTCGACGCGCCAAGTAGTTCCTCAAACCGCACTGCTGGGCTGTTACGCAGTGTTCTGCAAACGGAATTGTAGTACGTGAGGGGTAGAACTAAGGAGATATGCCGTAGGATAAGCGCAGCAATTGCGGGGTGTTATTAAGGCGACCAACCTGTCCTAAACGGTAGAGAATCCGGGCATGATGCTCAATCCTGCTAGAGTATTACATTCTGACGCACCCAGATCTCATAGTATCGAAGGCGACTATCATACAGTGACGGACGTGTCAAGATACTGTGATCCTAGGCTTGCGCTGGATACTCCTGATCGGTTGATCTCTCCCGCGGAGATACAGTGACTTGATAAGGGCCCGCATAACGAAGAGATACAATCTGTCAGAGATGAATCCTTGGTGCAACTGGGCCGTATGTATCCGGTCGCTTCGGAGGCGGCTGGAAACACAATATGAAATCCACCGACAGGCGGCATAACCATGACCGCAACACGACAAGAGTGGCGCCTACCACGTCTGGACGAGTAAGCATGCAGCTTCCTTTAGCTACTTGCAGAGCCGCGTGATACCTGTGACAAGAAAACGCATTCGCTTATCTGCAACGATTGAGTATGAGTTGGGCGCTTTGCTTCAAGATAGTCTTTTTAGAGCGCCTCTATCGACGCAGGATAACACGCCATACAGCAATGGATATGATGGCATGTTTTCCGTGGTCAGTATCTGATAGTTGGTAGTTTTTGGTTGGCGTAGCCGAGGCTGATCCAAAAGCCGGTCAGCTGCCCGACTGATGTGGTACCATAACAGGTGAGGAGCGTCATTGCTTGGATCATTGAGCGGGAGCGGATACAGCGGCCGGTCATTACTGCATTCCGTTGATGTCGAATCGAGCCTGAGCGCAAGTCTGAGAGGCCAAGATATGGTGCGCTGAACAGCGGCCGCTAAGGAGCATGGCGAAAGCGTTCAGAGCCTAAGACAGATATTGCTCTCTGAATCTTGTCAGTATCTCCTGCGATTTATACAGCTCGTGAATGTCTTCCCAAGAGCCAAGATACTACGTGTATTGGTCGACTTTCAGCGAACCAACGAGAACGAAATCTAGACGTCTTTAACGAGTATTTCCGTCTCCGCAACCGGATCTTATCCAGACATGAGGAAACTCGATGTCAAAAAGGGCGTATGCTCATAGCTTGGTGATGTGCATGGTGGCCCACCCGGGAGCTGGTCGCGTTTGACTCTAGCCTATCGCGTTCTGGACTGCTGTCCAGCAGTCGATGGTTGCCATGTCGTACTACGGCTCAGGTTATCGTGGGACGTTACTCATTACGTCCTCGGGCAAGACACACTTCTATACTAACCCAAGGCCTTGAGCTCCACGTGTGCCGAGCTATTTGTGCGCAAGTCATATGGCACAGGTTTGTTCTTTGAATTGACGTCGTGAACTATGCAGTACTTGACATAATAACCGCTAGGACCTTGCCTGCATGGATTCAGCGTACGACCGGTATCATTGGGCCATAAATTCCCCTTACAAGACTCTGAGCAGAACAACGAAAGAGCATATGTCGAATTGCGGCGCATATTGTGTGGCGTGTTATGGTCGGGTAGTTGAACTTGCACTGTGAATCTTCCGAGTCGACGCGATACGGATCGACGAGGCATACAGGCGAGATGTCTTCTTGTGGAGGGAGGTTCCGAGGAACATTTACTATTTTCTAGAAACATTGCTCTCAGCTGTACTGTCAACTGTTTGTTGCATTCGAGGTCCATTTGTCGGATGAATACGATGGTGGATAAGAAGCTGCTAGCTGAAGAAGCAGATCTTTGATGAGCAGACCTTTGTCACGTGCCGAACAAAAGGGTCTCACCAAGATTCTATATGGGAGGCCCAATTAAAGTGAACTTGTGAAGTCAGGCAGACGACAACGCTTCTGGACAAAGTGCACAACCAGAGCACAACTGTGGACGACTCGCTGGCAAATTACTCTGCATACTCAGGTATGAATCGCGGTGCCGAGATGGTCCAGTCGTTGGGCGACGACATTCGTCGTACGCTGCACAGCACTACGCTCCACCTCCAAGCCAGCCAAGGTCAGTCTTTGTTTGCTTCGATTGAGCGCAACAAAGGGCAACAAAGAATAGAGAGCTGTCATGTGTGGCTGTATTGATCTCATCTTGCACCGCCTACCGTGGGAGACTTCCGGTTGGTGAGGCCGGGAAATGAAAAGTGGAATTGGGTCCTTCCTCAATGGTTCGAACTACCGGCTTTCTGCGACATTGCGACAACACACTGGCCTGGACCTCGTACTTGTCGATGCATGCTCCTGCTACGCATCCTCGACTAGTCGTCATCACAAGAATCGCGCAACTCAACGATTACAACACGATTATGACAGCTGCCTTACGACTTGTCCTTGCATACGATTTGAACGTGATTTGTCGATCCAAAAAGTTGTCGCAGATGGCCAAGTTCTGGAGGGATTGAAAAGGCCTGGACACAGCCCCTATTCAAGCTTTGCGAACGGGAGATGTATCGCTTAAGAGGATAGTCGGGCTCGCCAAGCGGACTCATCTCGGGCTCTTACACCACCAACTCGAGGATTTCCACGTTGCGCACTTTGACAAAGGAGCGCTCAACTTGGTCAATAAGCCAAACAAATGCTTCGCATCTATGTTGTAGTCAGAGTACGACGCGCCCAAGAAGCTGCCTCGTATTAGCCGAAAATCTCTGCAGCCAGTGCAATCCAGCAGGACAACAACGTCGATCGGCGACATCCCTGCCGTAATTTACTCTGCTTTTGTACTTTACCCGACATGAGATGGTCAAAGTTACAACCACTCGCGCTGTAACTGCCCTGACGATCAGGCACCGCGCTTGGCCGACTGGATCGCCCCTTACCCAGCTTGTCCAAAACCTATCTGTTCGCGGCTAGCACGTTGCCCCATGCATGTCCTCCGGACTAGCGACGACGTTTGGCCCCGTCCTAAAGAAGTCCATGCCGTGGCGACCACTAGTTCCATGGCGGACGGGCTTCCAAGTGGGCCTGGGCTACGTGGACTAGGATACAGCCATCTTATTTACTTGCGCATCCCCCAGGTCCCAAACTTCTCCTCCACCGCCCGAGCAAGACTTCGTCACCCACGTTCATTCGCTGAATAACTTCACTCTTTCAGGTGTTCAGCCGACATTCCTTCGATCGATCTCTTCGAGTCTTCAGCTCTTTGTCCAGTTTTATACCGGTCCAACTTTCCAACAATGCAGCTCATTACTTTCGTTTCCGCGGCCTCTGCCGTGGTCGCAACTACCTCTGCCACGATTTTGAGGAGCGCTGTCACCTTGAACAAAGACTGCGACATGGAGAAGCCCTACGCTCGCATTATCAACCGTTGCGACTACGATGTTCATCTCTGGTCCGTTTACAAGGGTGATGGATGCCCCGAAGACGGCATGGTCACTCTCAAGACCGGCGAAACCTACGCAGAGAACTACCCCGAATCCACTGACGGCAAGACTGGTGTATCTATCAAGATCTCCAAGACCAAGCAGTGCAAGGGCAACGACATCACTCAGCTCGAGTACTTCCGCGAGATGTCAGGCGAAAAGCAGTACCAATACAACTACCTCGACGTCTCGTACGTTGACTGCGAGGGCGAGGATTGCCCAGCACGCAAGGATGGTTACTACCTGGTAGCAGGTGACCAGTCTGGAGTCAATGTCGCATCCGCTGGCAACACATTCTGTCCCATCCTGTCTTGCCACGACGTTGCCTCTTGCGACAAGATCTCTTACGTCCTCCCCGATGACGTTCAGACTAAGACTTGCGCTCTCAACCAGAGCATGGACTTCTACATGTGCGGTGGAGAGGCGCCCTCTGGCGACTACGGCTCTTCTCCCAGCGAAGACGAATCTTCTTCTGAGTCTTCCGCTGAGCCCTCCACCAGTTCCACCAAGCAGGCCGAGTACTCCGCCGCCAAGCCTACTTCCACCTCCGCTTCCGACGAAGATTCCTACACCGCTGATATCGAGGTTGCTGCTGCCGCTGTCACCCCTGCGCCCGCCAAGCAGGACGAGAACCCTTACTCGGGTCTTACCAAGACCAAGGTTGTCTACGTTACCGCGTACGAGTACGTCAACGCAAAGAGGCACGCTCACGACCATGCTCGCCGTCACCAGCCTTTCCATGCATAAGCTTCTTATGTCACTTGTTCATTATGGCATTAGTGTTTAAGGGACTGGTTTCTTGCACATTCTTCGAGCCGATAATTCAGGATACCTATTTCGCGATATACCCAGAAAAATCAGGAAGGGGAGATTAGAGTTGTTCCAACTCGAGTAATGACAGAGGTAGACAGTGTCGCAGGCCCAATCTATTCATTTTTACACTATGTTATCGACCCGCACCTGTCATGCTTGATTTTGTCATCTCCATCCTTACCCCACGCCTCCCATGCTCTCGGAACGACATTGGGTGTGTTTGGTCATCCTGAAGGTTGGCGCCTCTATTCTCTTGCGCATATATTATTTCTCACGAAGTCACGATACGGGATACCACCTTGGGGTTCTAGCTCTCCTCAGCCGGGCTAGCGGGATACTTTTGTTTCATTCATTCGCTTCGTCAAGGACTTTTGACTCCTTTTTACTTGAATACAGACGTGGGGTTGTACGCGAAAACGTCTTGGTTTGGTGAATTTGTTTGTAGTTCGAAAATAGATTCAATCGCTGTCATCTCACCGACGCTTTTTGCTTTGTGAACTTGACTAGTTCCGGGTGTATGCGTGGCTGATTCGCGTCCCATTGCGAATCTCCTTAGACTTGGTGCACTATTGCAACAGAGGTTTGTGCAGGTTACCCGATGCAGCCTGTTTTCATTTTGTGTCGCAAGAATCGAGTGGGCTGTGTTTCAAACCGAGTCGTGATAAACATGCATTTCGAAACACGGTTGCATGCTTATTCGGCTGCGCTGCCTCCTGATATGTTTTGACCACGCGATCGCCTTGCGCATCACGTCGCGAGCGCAAGCTATTTTTAACCCAGGTCGCTCTGATCGACATGAACATTATGTTCGTGCATCAGACCATTCAGTGGCTATCAGCGAACATGTCCGCAAAACCAATTCATGCCGCAAATACTTCAACCTTCCGGCGTCACGCATCACCCGCACGAGCGACGTTCCCGCCACTGACAGCGGTCGGGTCGGTCATGAATGGCAGGCCGCGCACAAGCCAAACACAGGCCACGCAGCCAAACCTCCGTTTCGAGCCACGGTTGAGGATTCTACCTATGGAAAGTTCGCATAGCTCACCAAGATTTCTTGAGATCTGGGCGTTCAGACCCAACCTCCGCGGCCCGTGAGTCGACATCCATTGCGTCATTCCTTTGCAACGGATCAGCTCGTGGTGCGCCAAAAGCTGCCGATGCCTTGCAGTGTGCAGCACAAAGACGACCCTGGGAACCGTTAAGTCACCAAAGCGTTGGTTCCTATATGGACCAACGGCAGTCGGGCGTCGGGCGCAAGCCGAACTTCTGAAGAACCACAAACGTCATCGTCCGTTCGGCCATACAACATGCTCGCTCTACAAACGATTCGCACGCCAAAGAACCAGCAAAATTTGCACTGGATTTTGCGTCCTGCAGTAGTTCGACGTTCCAGAACAACACTGTAGTTGGTCATTTTGCTCCACACCATCACATTTCTCCACTCATCTATGGGTCCACCCCACACTTACGAAGCTCAACGCTCGCATCTATCGTTATCGATATCGATCACATATATCCCTCGATACTGTCCTGTACGAATGTAAGTCAGCAACGGAAGTGTCGGGCTATCTTACCCGTTGCGGTCCGAGATTTCTGGGGGGTTTAGGACCAACGTCCGGAATGGAGTAAAGGAAACTTCCGGCTTAGTGTACCATAGCATTCTAGATTGTTGACACCGCTTTCGACGGTAACCATCGGTTCTCAAGGCAACTGATGAATTCTGATTGCCCTTCCTGAAGAAGCATGAGGTGCGCATACGACGCATGCGGAGTAGACGGACATTTCGGCAGAACACGCCGAGTACTCTAAGTACATTAGCAACTCCCCAACGAGTACTATTCACTACTTAGCGCTACCACCATGAGCGTCGTCCCCTAGCAGGTAGCTGTAACGAAATAATCCCTCTCTACTACTATGACTCAGCCTCCTTGTGTGGGAACCAACGTCGTTTCGAGCAACTTTGCGCATGCCAGCCCGTCTTTGGAGCGTCCACCCACTCCACTGCTTCACTGCCTCCAACCACCTCAATGCCCCAACGCCCCTCCCCATCTCTGCCTTTGAACCATCCCAACATAACTTTGACGTCCTTGGATTTCTTTAGTCCTACCCCTCGTTCTTCTACCAATCGCATAAGCTGATCGCTACCCGCGACGAGCACCAGTACGTCAGCGATGAGTTGAACATCGCGAATCATAGGACTGGTATATTTTCGTTGTAGGCAGCTGACCACGGCTGTAGTGCCTACAAGCCAGATAATGATTGCGATTGACAGATACGTGGCGATTGAATTCAGGTGAAGGACTTGAATTCGACGGGATACCAAGACTTCGACCGTACGATTGGTGTTGCGTTTCACGTACTCGCGCTGCGGCAGAGCTCTGCCGTCCCGTGTCACTGGTGCTCCCAATATATCTGTACTGTTGTCACCAATCCTTTGGTAGCCAAGACCACCTTGGTCTAGAGAGAGACCATGGCTGATGAAGTGCTGAAAAAACGTTTGGAATGTTTGATTTGCGTGAGCAACGAGCATAGCATAGTCGAGCAAGGCCTGTGGATCTTTCTTGGCGAGACTGTACATGCTGTATGTCATCAGATCCATGTTCATACCTATCTCGCGATCGCGCATGACAAATGAGTTGTCGTAAAGAGGCTCCGTGGGATCGCCGGCGAATCTTCTTAGGCCGAGAGTAGGGTCTGCAGCTCTGAACATAGAGCCCATAAATAGAACTCCATAACTTGTGGTTATGTTCAACGGCCCATCGTATTCCTCATCATAATGCTGCGTTGAATTCCCGTAGGTCAGAGCATGTCGGACAAACACTTCCGACCACGCTGATTGTGCGGGGTCAATAGACCCTATGACCTCGTATGAATGAACTGTGCCGGCCCCTTGGTCCACAACCACTTTGGCATCTGCCGTTTCGACGATTGGCACGCAGCGAGCGGCCTGTAGATCTGGTGCGTCTTTGAACAGTAACGGTTGTCCGTCCTCCTGGTCTGGCCCAGTAACTGTGAGAGGCCTACCAACAATCCATTTCGTAACAAATGGGATTGGCCACTGACTGTTTGCGTTGGAGAAATTCTCAACATCGACTGGCGACCAGTACCCTATTACTGCTGTTTTTGAATCGCCGTTCGTTTCGTTAGAACAACATGCTAGCGTGGCGTCGGTGGCAAATGCTGACGTGTTTGACGGACTGTCATAGAAAAGCGTACGATTGAAAGAATAATAATCTTTCAAGCCTTCCAAATCGTATGATTCATCAAGGGATTTGGTGTCGTTGGAACGAATGAGCCAGGTTGAAGTGTTGGCAACTTCGGGCACTTCTTCGCATTCTAGCCGAGCTCGAATAGCGGATGTTGTAAGCGTTACGTTGTTGGGGGATTGTATGCTAATCGTGTCATTTGGCTGCAGAATGCTAGCAAGATTGAGAGGCACGAAGCTCCAGCCATCATGAGTCCAAGAAGGTTTGGTACCATCGAGTGATAGCTGAATAGCAGCACCTGGTAACCAACTTCTAGGTGGGTCAAGCAGGAGACTATCGAGCACTTTGAATGGAGGTAGTTCTAGTCGAACAGCTTGAAGTCGCCCTGGTGAGGTCCTCACTGTATTGATGATCGGGATCTGTCGAAGCTCTAATGTCCTTTCAAGAATCGAGTGATCAGATATGTTGGCGGCTTGTCGCTCGAAGAGCGCTGACATCGAAACAGTGACTAAGGAGCTAACATCAGCAAGCTTACTGGTAATTGAGGGGGATGAACCATACGAATCTGGCAGAGAACGCTCCCAACAGCGACTAAGAACAACATCCAGTGCTTGTTGCGAGCGGCCTTGATAGCCGCTCCAGCCCAGGTTTTGGATCGATACGTCAGACCTGCTCCACTGGAAATTGGTGTCGGTTCTCGTGACATCGCGATATATGGCTGAAGGGTTCTGAAGGTCGAATCTAACTGATCCCACCATAGGCCGATTACTATACTGACAACTGTGGGTGCAATAGATATAGGGGCGAACGTAGAAAAGCTCAAGCCCAATCTCGACACATCGGCTTGGTAGATGAAAGCAAGCTGGGATAGTCGAGACCTGGCAGAGAATGCGTTCAGTACTAGGACAGCCACAAGGATAAGGATAAGAAAACAGGAAAGGGAGAGCAGCGTGCGCAAGCGGATCACTAACGGCTGCCGGAAGCTGGAAGATTCAGAGTTTGTGGAAGCTGTTGAATACATTGTTAGTTCTCAGTTCTGATTATTTAGTAGTTGAAAACTTACGTGTAGCTACACAATCACCACTATCTGCCGTATGTAAACGACTGTTCTGCGTGTAGAAAGTGTAGTTTCTCAGAGTTCGATGAAACTCATAGCTTGGTGCACGATGACCATCCCGAAACGTTGACGACCGCAGTGGTTGGGACCGAAGTAACATAGCATGTCCGATAGAGCTACTAGGGTCCATGTTGAGGTCGAGTGGTCGAAATGACAATCGCGAGACCCATAACACTGTGACAAACAGCAGAAAGGACACCAAAAACAGGACGGCCAAGGCGATCCCAATCTCTCGGAGTACAATAATTCTATCTTCAGTCGTAGTTGCCTCTCCTTTGACAATACTGATAGCAGTTGCACCCGTATCGCTGAGAGCCTCACGAAGACACTCCGTGAAGAATCGCCCTTTAACTCTTGCCGCTTCAGCTATGAATGCTTCGTCATCTAACATTCGGGTAACGTTGAACGTATAAAGGGCGCCAAGCAGCGGACCAAGTCCAAAGAATGATGGCTGGGGAGTTGTAAGGTTCTCATTCGAGTAAGGACCCTCATATCCATCAAAAGCACTTTCCGCGTCTGTCGCTACGCCTGCGGCGTTGAAGTAATCTTTCCAAGTGTCTCGTAGTGTCATGGATTCGAACATAGGAATATCGATCAGTGCCTTCGTAACTGGCTCGCGGTGGATGTTGTCAGATCGTATGGATGTGATATTCGACTCTTTCCCATTTCCTATCGAAGCTGTAATGTTACGGTCCTCCAAAGAGTATTGAGATTGGCAAAGCAATGCTTTCATGCGGAAGTCAGGCGAACGTTCGTAGGTCAGATTGAGCTCGAGTCCACTTCCTGCGGCCCCACTCATCTCTATTTCGAAAACCTTTGTCCACGGAGTGCTCAGGATGATGATGTCGCGGTCTGCGCATTGTCTGGTAGCGTTGTGGCGTGCATATGGACTAGTTGAAGAGACGTTGGCAGGGAAGGGCATTTTACCAATAGGCAGTACTCCATCCGCATCTACGTAAAGCGTAGAAGTGTTTGACCACTTTAGCCCTCCATTCAGGGCTAGGTCGGCTGCAGGATGAAGGCTCATTTCGTATCTGCAGCCATCGTCCGAGGATAGGACATAAGTTACCATAGGTTCCGTGCCCTTGTACGGTCCGTGACCCATGACATCGTAGGCTTTGTATCCCTTTGGCTCAAGATTGGCACTCTCTAGTGCCATATTCTGGCATTCTAGGTCCGCATGGAGTATCGTCGTCTCTGCTGTCCAGGAGCTGAATTGAGATACCAAATTCGGACCGAGTTGCACTGTATCCGTTGATGGCCAAAACGGAAGGGTGATAGAAGTGTCCTCGATCCATACGGAAGTAGATAGGTTTCTCATCAATGAAGACATTGTTCTGAAGTAGGTTTCCCTGTTTGCGACGATTGGTAGTTGGGAGTCAGCCCTAGGGACGGTCTTGCTAAGGTCAAGCGCCTTAGTGATTACAACTTGCTCAGATGTAAGAAGTGCGGAGGACAACGGAGATATAGCGAGGAGAGCCATAACGTTGATGAAAGCGGTGCAGACAAGACACCAGCTGGTTTTACCAACCGACTTTCGTCTGAATATGATATCCAGAAAAATAGCCCACCATGCTCTCGGCGTCTGAAGCACTGTACCGTAGGCACTGACACCTTCCGAAGGTGCCTGGGCTAATCTTGCGAATGGCTCCGTTCTCTTCGCGTCTTCAAACAGAATAACTGTCATTTGAGTGTATAACACCGCTAGCAGGGTTGGTGTGAAGCGCCATCCAAAGAGAATCGCAGAGGATCCATTATCTGTACCAATGCCGTAATGATGTTGGGAGTACCAAATCAGGAGTGTTATAGCGATGCCTAAGGTGGCGGTGGTTATCATCAGAACCAGCAGGAAATACCATTGAAAGGTGGATGGAAGCCAGCTCCCTTTTTGGTCCATCGGCGATTGTGCTTGCCACTTTGTCAGTCGCCTAAATCCATAATGTACGCTTGATATCTAACCTGTGCATGGAGCTGGGGTATCAGCTACAGGCCGAGCATGAGCAAACACTCCGATCGGGGACACAAGACGGTCCGGCATTGGGTTCATTGCTATCGACAATCAAAACTCAACACAAGATCTACATACTTGAGAAGTAGACATATGCAGACTATTTAAATCATGCACGTATAATATCCAACCTGTACCTGCATCGGCTCTGTGCGTAAATACATTGCGGCTCAGCAATGTTCATTCCACTTCTGACCCAAGGTGGTACCGACGTAGTGGGTTTGTCGAGCTCTCGAGATCATTGTGCAATAATGTAGTCTGCTAAGCGCCCGGGTGGGAATCGGGTGTGATCCAGCGGTTGGCGCCAACAAGCCAGCGTCAAACACGCGCCGATGTGGGAATACCCGGTGGAACGTCGAACGGAGCGAAGCTCAAGTAGGTCGCTTGCTTCTGAGACATCTTGCAAGAGAGACGAAGGAGCCGCAATAGAATAGCAAGTTGGCGCGCGTTCGTCATGCGGGGAAATACTACCTAGGTACATGGTCGCTTCTCGCACGACCCCTGTTGAAGCTTCTCGCGGCTACTAACCACGGATAGCGTAGCGTCCTGTCATGCGAACAAGCCAAACCCTTGAGTGTTATCTCCGCGCTCTAGCCATGGAACGAGATAGACTTGAAGTATGTAGGTGTGCCGGTTCCACGATTCTCTTTCACGTTCACTTCGCTGATCACTGCGACGCAATGCCTTCTGCCTGACACCGCACGAACATCATCTGATCTACTAAGATAATTCAGAGAGCGTGTTCTCCGCTTTAAAACTCGCAAGCATGTTCGGCCATGATACCATCATTACCAAGGCTCAGAGGTAGGATGCTGCAAGTCAAAAGTACCCGAAACGCTGACGGTGGTCGCCAGCGCTATGCAAGAGCTGCCCAACCCACCACCAACACCCAAGAAGCAAGTCGAGCCTTCCAAGTGCCAGCAGTCATCTAAAAACTTTAAGCGGAGGAGGCTACAGACTGGCAAGGTAGCCTTTGGAAAAATCGAACGTAGAGCCAGAGAGGCGAGTGAGGGTGTACATTCCTAGTTGAACGACGAACAACGCCAGTCAAGGCCCCAAAAAACCCAACAAGAGTTTCATGACGATTGAAATGAGTACATGAACACCTTTGATACCGCAAACTCGCAGAAGACGAAGATTGTAATGCGGTCGTTGTTTGTCTTCCTGACGTATACAGGCTCGTGATTTCTTCCGAAGCAGCATTAGAAGTTATGGAGAACCATATAAACCCGCCCATCTCTTATCTAGCGCGAAGCAACGGAAGCAAAATACTCGGAGCTCCGATGGTTTAAAGTAACGGGACAAGGGAATGAACCTTGTCAAGGATACCGCGGAGGTGCAGTGCAAGAAGGTAGCAATCGTCAAAGAGAGGCTGCAAACGTTTTGCAACTACGGTTGCGTCGGACAGCGGGAAGCTTCGAGGGCGATCGAAGCCCATGTCTAGGTTGGCAAGTAGAGACGTTGAAATGATGGACGAGGATGAATGTGACCACAGCATCTGAATACTGGTCAAGGTAGCGCGGCGACAAAGGTGGTGGTCGTCGAAGCCAGGATGCTTATGGTGGCGTTTGGGGTGAGGAAATGTTTACGCAACCTAGAGCAACTCATATTGATGCGGTATGTCAGCGTATACCAGGGACTGCCTAGGTAGTGTGCCTAGAAATCACCATAGCAGATGTGGTACACAAGCATGAATTCAGCAGCCGGCTTGGAGAACAAGACCTACCCAGTGAATCTAAAGAGGATGCTCTTGGAGCTGGTTTGAAGTAGCGCAATAGAAGACGGTAGACACAATGCTTCCGTATTGCACATACTATCGGTCAAAGAGCAACGACCGATGGTACTTGGTGATGTCGTTATGGAGATACCTACATAGTGCAGGTGGCCAGTACCTACTTAGGTAGAGTCTCGGGGGATTTACGCGCGTATCGTAACATGGCCAAGGGGTTGTGGAGCGTCGGTCAGACTGGTTTCAGGAGTCCAAGCCATCGACCTTCCGGCTTTCGCTCCAGAGCACTTATCTGATGTTCTGCGGCGAACGTGCAGGCGTTGATTGAGTCAGCTCTCCAGAGTTCTTGGCCCCACACACGCGCGCCAGCGTCATCAAGCCTCGGTCAAATTCGCGTCCCCTTCTATCTGAACCTGCCCATTTCCTAGCCCTACAAACGAGCTCGATTACAGATACGTTTGCCACAACAACTGCCGACCCCTACACAAGACGTCGATAACATAACAAGGCCACGACGAAGCTGGATACCACAAATGGCGATAGCGCCTCGAATGTTACCCCGGAATACAGCCGGTGGGGCAGCTAGGCGCATTAATCTAGGAGATTGCGCCGTAAATTGTCAGTTTGGCGTTAATCTGATCGCAGGTCTGTGCAGGGTATAGCGATGATACTCAGGTACATGTTTGTGATATAAGTGTACTTTGGCTTGTGCATCGTTTCCCATTTTGATATCCTAGCTTTACACTACTTCAAAATTGTCCTCAACATGCAATTCACTATCCTCGCCTCTGCAGTGCTTGCACCTCTAGCCGTCCTAGCTGCTCCAGCCGAGCTACACAGCAGATCAGACATACTGGCAGCACGCCAGGCACGTCCTACAAAGCCTGCACCATGCGTGCGCGCGATGAACACGACCGAAGAGCAGACTGCGAAACGCGCTGACGCCTTTGCCCAAGCCTTTATCTACAAGAAAGATATCAGTGAGGCATTCAAATACATCTCGCAAGACTATATTGTAAGAGAGTCGTGACGTCTACAAAAGGATCATCGACGACTAATTGAATCATGAATAGAACCACAACCCCCTCGCACAGAATGGATCTGACTCCGCCTGGAACATTCTTTCCCCAATTTGGGCTTCGCAAAACATCACGCCGTTACGTACAGCTTTTGAGTACCCGCAAAGCTGGCTCAATTACCAAACAGGGAGTTTTGGGGAAGTTGTTGACCGATTTCGTTGGGAGGGCGGATGTATTGTCGAGCACGTAGGTTTTGCACTGGTGCTGAAACAGATTTCTTGCTAACTCTGCAACTTCTAGTGGGATCAAGGAGAGAGGTTCCCAACGCTATACGCTTAAAAAGTCGATGGCTTATGTACAAAGAAACATTTAGGCGCCTGGAATAGAGAGAATGTGTACATAGACGAAATTGAGATGACAACATGAATATATGTCAGCCGCCGGCGCCAGAGTACCATCATAGACTGAGCAAAAGAAAGTCCTATACTCTTCTCATATGCATCAAGCGCCATGACGCCGAACTTATCCCTCTAGATTTTTAACAGACCACTACGTTCATGTATGGGCATCATCTCTTACCATGCCCAGTCTCACTGAACAAACCCTCCCTCCCTTCCTCTCCACACCCAGGTGTTGTGGCCCATGACTAGTGCAGATGTCGCACACTCACTCGACTGAGCCCCAGCTCATACATCGATTATGGACTTCCCTTTACCTTCGTCCTTGACGTCACACTCAGGCCGTAGCTGCTCCTCAGAAGGTCTGACACTTGCATCGATGTATGGCTCCGCATCAGCATCAGTATCAAGGTAGTCCTCTCCACGCAACAGAGTGTATCGCTCTCCACCCTTGCTTGCCTCCTTGATCTGCTGGGCGCCCACTGTGAAGTTGTTGTGGCAGTTAGGGCATTCGTGCACCAGTGGAGCAGCGAACAAAGCCCACACTGATCGAGACTTGTGAGCGAAGAAGTAGAAGTGAACAAACCTAATAATGTGTTAGCTTATGGCCTGCTTGTTGGCCCTCAAAAGAACTTACATGTTGACGATCATAGGAGCCGTTGTATATCCAGTCAATAGACCATATCCTGGCGCCCCTAACTCACCAATCTCGACCGCCCAAATCGGAATGAGTATCGCCAGATACGTGATACCCGCCAATCCGTCTAGAAGTGTGAATTTGGGTCCTGGTACACTACCACGCCTTCGTTGATGGATTATGCTCACAGCAGACGCAACAGCGGTCATAGCGAGTGGAATATAGCCAAAGCAGAATGCCGATACATCGCGGTGATTGTACCAGGAGTTAGACTTGAGGGATATGATCGTCGTAGCAATGAGAAGAGGTGTTGCGAGTACGCTGGTAAAGAGAGTAAGGGTACGCAGAGTGCGTTCTTGAACCGCAGCCATCTTTCTTATAGAGTGTACTTTCAGGGTTTCTGGATGGAGGTCGGGGTGAACAGTGTTGCAGTTTGATAGAGATGAACGATACTGTGTAATGGAAAGAGATTGAGCCTACCAGCCTGATAAGTCAAGCATGAAGTATATAGCTGTTGCACCATCTCCCAGGCAACAACAAAAGTACATGTAGCCGCAGTCGCATTGGAGCCGCGTGTACATACATAGCGCCTCGTAGCACTGCCATCCAATTGATCCCATCTTTTCCGATCAGCAACCGAAAGGCCCAACAGTCGTGAGACAGCCGAATCGTGTGTTCTCCCGAGTACGGGTTCTGACCAATCAACAGTACGAAGGGGTGGCTGTGTTGGCTGTATTCGGTATAGCGCAAATGTGCGGTTTACTCGGGTCCTGTTTGAACTTGCTACTCCGGGCCTCGGCGCATGGATGTACGGCCTTTGAGAACCTGCCTTGCGAGGTGGATTACTGATTGTTGTTATTCTGTCTTGCTTTACCTCAGATGAGCCTTACGAAGCACGTGCCATTATCACTACCGCATCTACTCTATCATCACGGATGCGAAGAAGCTTGTTTTCTTTTTGGTAAGACATCTACGACAGTTCCGAAGGCGATAATCTCGGCATCTATGGTGTACCCTCTAACATCCCTTGAAAAGGTCTGTGAAATCGCCTTTTCCAATGCTTGAAGCGTGTTACCAGAAGTTAAGAGAAATAAGATCTGTCAGCAACATCAAGACTGAAGAAACGCAGCAGACCAAGAGCGGCTTAGATGAGCACAAGGATACATGAAAGCGCGACATATGTAAAGACTGTGGGCCTGACTAGGAATCCTTCGAGCTCCGAGCACTCGCGGCCGACTAGCAGGCTCGTTGTTGATAGAACCCTGAACGACTGTAACAACGCACGCATAGTAGTCGATTAAACGAAATGTACCCAGTTTTTCGTCGTGGGAACATTGGTGTACTCGTAATCCTTCTAAGTGGCAAGTGGGAACAGTTCATGAAAGGCGGTCGAAACACTTTTCCTATCTGGGCCAATGACGCACTTTTATCGATAAGATCGCCTTCTGTCCATAACAACGCGAAGCCGACCGTTCCGATACACATGTTACCATGTAAACAAGGACAGAACACTAATCCTACAGGACGCTACTCAAGCCACTATGAACAACCAATAACCGCTAGGGAGATTCTTTACCTTCGCATGCGATCAGCGGGCGGTGGGTGAATAGAGAATCGCCAGCCTGATTCCAGGAACGCGTCCAAATCTAACGTCACCATCCAGATGCTCGCCCGTGATTTCAGATACCGCGTCTCTTACTTCACTTACCGCTCCTGAGAGACAATGGCTTCTCGAGACAGCAACAATTCCCTGAGGCAATCTCATTAGTCATCAATTTCTGCTAGGACAAGTATGCTTGTAGTCATGCGTTACAGCATCACAGAAGCTTCAAAGTGTGAGACAAAATGGCTTGCAACTAAATTCAGATATATACAACTTGCGAATCCTACTAGCCATGTCCTTCTCGACAACCATATCAAAGACTGCAACAAAGAACAATCTAACCACGGGCCAAGGTGAGTCCGTAAGCCGACAAGATCTCGTTGACGGGCTGGAAGTAGGTTGTGCCACCGGTGTTGCAGTTGCCAGAGCCTCCGGAGGTGACACCCTGGGCTTGAGAACCAGAGTACCCTACAAATCAAGTCAGTATGTGTACCATGAGGAGTCGGTATAGGATGTTGCTTACAAGAACCGCCGGAGTCACCGGGCTCGGCGCAGACATTGGTCTGGGTGAGGCCAGTAACACGGCCCTCAGCGTAGGAGACAGTGGCTCCCAGAGCGCGAACGGTACCGCAGTAGACACCAGTGGTGGAGCCGGAGCGGCAGACACTGGATCCAGTAGCGCCAGCGGTGCTGCCTGAGATGGCGATTGTGCCACCATTGTAGTTGTTGACCCTACCAGCGTAGGTGTTTCCAGTGGTACCACGGATGTAAGAGTAGTCTCCGCTTCCTGGGAAGACGGATCCAGCGAATGTTCCAATAGTGGTACCGGATGAGGTAGTGGCGGTATTGCCAACACTACCGCAGTGACCAGCAGAAACGAAACCGCCAGTGACAGAGAAGCCGACAGAGCATCGTCCAGCTCGGTTGATGTAGTAGGCATCACCACCGTTGACCGTGACAAAGGTGGTTGGCAGAGCCTCAACGGTCTTGACCTCGAACTCGGACTCAGTAAGACCGACCTGCTTGGCCAGCTCCTCAGCCTGAGCAGTGCTGTCGGCAAGGGCCTCGAGGATAAGCTTGTTGGCGGCAATGTCGACATAGTATGACGCAATTCCGGTAGCAGCCTCTGAGCGCTTGCCAAGGGCCGACTCAATGTCGAGGTTGTCAAGTGCCTTCTGGGCGTCCTGAAGCTTGGAGAGAGGAGTGTCAACGACCAAAGCAGTGGCACCAGCAGTGGTAACATCGGATGTCAAGGCCTCGTCAGTGACAGCGACCTTGAGCTCGCCATCGACGAGCCAGGCACCACCGAAGGAGCTGCCAGCCTTGGTACGGAGCTGCTCGATGACCTCGGTGGCCTTGAGCTCGCGAGCAACACGAACATGGGCCTGCTCAGCGTCGAGTCCCAAGTCACGCTTCATGGCGGCGAGGATCTCGGGGTGAAGGCTGTTGGCGGCCGTGGTAGGGGCGCCGTAGACGATAGGCAGGAAGACTGCCAGGGCAGCGAGGAATCCGGTGAGCTCCATGGCAATGGTGTTGAGAACAAGACTGAAGAGACGAGGTGTCGATGTTGCAGAGGCGAGATCCTAAGAAGATGAGTCTGCTGCACTGATGGAGTGATTCAACTTGGACGAGAACACACACCTATACTTATACTTGGTCCAGCTTCGCCGTTGTGAGTTGCATCATGCCCTGGCCATCACCATCCAAGATAGAGCCCTAACTTGGATCCGGCGCTACGAAAAGTCTCCTTCCTCATCCGCTGCACGGTGTTGCTACGCGATCCAGCGGTATCAGAAAGGTAGTCCGTAATAGGCATTTCATAAGAGATCCAAATTGCATCAGCGGCAACCAAAAGATCTCCTTCCTCATCGGCCATGAGGTATCGCTACGTGTTTCAGCAGCATCGGAACGATGATCCCCGAAAGGCACCTCACAAGACACCTATCCCATCGTGTTAATCCCCAAAAGGCACCTGACAAGACATCGAACCCAGGGCGTGACTTCGTATCGAAACAGCACTTGTTGACAGGAAACTGAGCAGACTGCATGTACCCCTACGCTACACCATGCCAGTGGCCTAAGAGGAAGGAGGTAGAGATATCGAAGAACTCCAGTAGTATGGAATTAGAAAGTCGCTCGGATCATGTGCCAGCCTTAGGCCATCACCCCGCACGGACGAATCGTAGATGGAGAACCCCTACACACCTCTTTACCATACCTTCCCAATTGAACATACATTCCGATGCCAAGAGCCAAGACCTTTATCGCTTGTAATATCGAAAAGACGTCTAGTAGATAGGAGCTTTGCTACGGCTGCTCTGATTGGCCGACCCCTCATGGCGCCATATTCGGGCGTTTCATCTTCTTGGCAAAGATCGAAGGCATAGTCGACCTCGTCCTTTAGTGCCTTGTCGATAGTAAGTTCCGCCTATAGCAATAGCTGTGCATCGTATCGGCAAGGGTCGCGCTACACACGAGTGAAGATCATAGAGGCTGGATTGCAGCAAGATGCCCGCTTTGGCCGACCAGAGGGTGCGCAACGTCCATCGCCTCCCACGCCCTTCGAGGCTAGCGAAGTACCGGATCGAGCAGCTTCGTGATACGCCTCAGTGAACGCCTTCCAGCGGAAGCGGCCTTACCCGCAATGATCGACCGGTAGTCTTTGGGCGATGCGGTGCCAGGAACGCTCCCCGTATCGCCTGGGTGAGAATAAAACAAGGCGCCGTAGAGATATCGAAGTGATTGATGATTCGACAGCTTGACGGAAGGCGCGTACGTACGGATCAGGAAGTTGAAGACATTGATGCACTTGTGCGCGTCGAGCCAGATGCGCCGGAAGGAACCTCGTAAGACCCCACATGGACCCATTGCCGTGCGGGCTGCGCCGCTGCGGGCTTCACCTTATCGCATCCTACTCGCATCCTGCTCGCCACGTTGAGCCCATCTCGAGATAGTCAGGAGTATCCTACATCGTACACGGACCAATCAAATATGAGGCGAAGAAATGTGGCCAAGCTTGCATCAACAACAACGGTTTCTAGCTGTCTGTCTTGACATCCGCACAGCGCGCTTCGATGGCATGGTCGCTCACACTATTGTCCTACTTGCAACCATGCTGGTCATCGGCTATATGTAGATTTCATGTACCCTGATCATACTGATTACTGATGTTCCTTTCATATCTCTCGAATCTCTCAAACTTGTCCTCTGCACAATTCGAGCGCCCATTTCATCGGTAGCTGCCATAGCAGCATCGTCAGGCGGTGGCTGTGGACCATCTGCCACATGGAAGCAAAGAGAAGCGTCGACGAAGCTGAGGTCGTCATCAGTTTCTGGTCTGAAAACGGTAATCTTGGTGATAGTCTTCTGGCCGAGCTGCGCTTTGTGCTGCATGAGGAAATATGCAAAGGTAGCACCGTTAGGGGAGCCTCTTCTGTTTAGTCTTTGGAATCAGTTGTTGGTGTTAGAGGAAACCTACCGAGAAGCGCATGACCTTGGTCTGTAGTAGTAGAGAAGCTAGTTCCAGGCCACTCGCTCAGCTCGGCACCAGCATCACGTAGACAAGAAGCGATGATCTGGTTGGTCAAGTCGTTGGAGATGCCTATCATGAAGAAGTAGCGAATGTTCCTGACGTTTGGGTTATTGCGAACCCAGAACGCCCACATAATGTCTGAAAAGGCACGGAGCTGGGGAAGATCGTCTCGGTTCGGCTCTTTTGTACCACCGCCCCAAATGCTCTTAGCAGAGGCTAAAGCACTTTCAAGGAAAAGACCATAGATGGCGCCGCCTTTGGTATTGATGCCAAACTCGAAGTGTGCCTTCGTTGCCTGTTCAGATATTAGCGAGAATGTGATTATTATGTGAAAGGAGACTCACGCGGTACTGCTTGTCGTGACCTGGGACGCTGTACAACTGGTTGATGGCCGGAATCTGGTTGCCCTTGTCGTTCCTTTTCTCTGGATTCCAATGTTCGATCCTGTAGCACTGATTGTCTCCGCCTTCTGACGCTGGTTTTCCGTCCAGTCCGAGTGACCGCATCGCGTGCGCAAGGTGCCAGTGCTCAGAAAAACTGCAGCTGAACGTCGATGGGTTAGTTTCTCGCCAGTACCAGTCATGAAGCTCAGTCTTGAGATCGCTGTTGTACCGACTCGCGGCAGACGGGGGTTCGCGAGTGTCTCTAATTTGACGACCTGCAACCTGGTCGGAGCCCTCGAGAGCGCACATTAGGGCCCCCCCTTTGGCTGCGCTCTTCTTCCAATCCACCTCTGTAGCGTGATCATCATCCCAGAAAGCGACCGTAGGGCGATCTTTGTTCGATTTGCGATTGATCAAAGCTGGGGATGTGCCACTGACATTGCTGTTGAAGACGCGTGTGGATGGCGAAGGAGTCTTGATAGTTCCTGCAGTGACTGAACGTGTGGCAGCGGCGATGGCGAGAACCAAGGCGAGCTTCATGTTGTTGGTCGCTAGAAGAGGAAATGGAATACAAGGGAAGGTGCTGGATAGGACAAAAGTGCAAGGCTGGCGTCCGTTTCGATGCTGTCGTAGTGACTTCATGAGTGAATGAGCAATTTTTCAACATCGTGTTCCACGCACAGCACTAGAAAATTACTGAGATTAAAACATACTCAGTCATATTGACTTGCACTTCCATCAGTCTCGCGCAGCTCATCTCACCATCAGTCTCGTCTATTGCTCGTCATCACCATACGACTAATGCCATCGATTCGACTGCTGTTGCGGATCTGATTATTCGTCTTTGTGTCTCTCTAAGCATTCCTTACCTTTCTAAAACACCACTTACAATGCCCCCACCTGCTGCGCCATCGCGTCTCTTTGCTACCATTGTACAACATCCGGTCTTACGGTTGCTGTACACATCTAATGAACAGAGAGTTTCTCCATTGGCTATCTGAATTGATCGAAACTACGAGAGTATTCACTCCAAGTAACGATTGCATTCAATTGCTATAGTATCTTGAACGTCTGTTAATCCTGCCTTCCGACTTCAATAAATATTCGTTTCACAATACATATGACCATCAGGCTCGAGCAGCCTTTCCAAGAGCACGGAACAGTAATATGTCGAAGCCAGCAGGAACCGTTGATGAGAGACTGGTGAACTATCGCAGACGTTGATGAATCGCTTCGAAGGCTTTGTCTCACCACTGAATGATGAGTGTCTGACTAGAAAAGGAATGGCAGGATGATTGATACGGAATATCTTTGGCGGTATGCAGCCGCCCGCTCTTTCACCTGAAGCACTGGCCACGCCTCTGCCTACGGAGAGTTGCCTCACCTTCTCGCGCCTTTCTCACGGACCCTTGCCCTCACCAACTTACTAGTGCGCTTGCCTAGCACCTCCCTTCCATATGACCCCGCCATCCACTCGCATAGTCTCTTCTGCACCACACTGCTCACTTACTCTTTCCGCCCATTCCTCAACCCGTATATCTTCATCGCCCTTTCCACCACCAGAGCAATTGCGAACGACGGCTGTAGCTCCCGAAAGATGCGGTTGTCACTCGTCGCTCTGCTGGCATTAGCCTCCACTGGTAGCTATGCCAGCAGCTTCCCGTCCATCAAGGCAGCTTCCACGACTGAAGATCCTCTGCTTCCTAGGGAGCCTCAGGGTATACCGACTGATCCGATCTTGATCACATCGTCCATACGCGGTACCCATATCAAAACTTCCGTCGCCCACAGCAACCCGCCAGTTGCCTCGAGTGTCGTTCCGCCAGGTGTCTCGAGCGTCGTCGTTCCGTCTCACAGCATCATAACATCGGTGCAAGATCCGGCGAAACCTTCTTCTGTTGTTCTGAGCAGCCAGTCATCATATCAGATGACCTCGCCTCACGTGGAGCCTTCGGCGCCAGCGCCTGCTCCACCGTCTTCAGCTGCATCGTCCCCTCAGCTATCCTCAGTACACGCACCGCCCCCACCTTCCTCTGTCATTTGGAGCGGTCAACCAAGCTCTCAAGTTGCATCTTCCCAGTGGGTACCTGTTCCCTCTTCATCAGCGACATGGAACAATCAACCGTCTTCCCAAGGAGGTTCAAGCGTTGTAGTTCCATCTCAGACTGCGTCTTCAGACCCAACAAACTCTGCTACACCATCCTCTGGGATCTCTACTCCGCCATCTTCTGGAATAGTTATTCCAGTCATCCCACCACCTTCTGGAACTCCTATTAAGCCATCTTCTGGTACCCATGCTGTATCGTCTTCAAGGACCTTCGCTGCACTACCTCCTGCGAACTCTGCTTCCGGTTCCTCTACACCTGCAACCTCTCCACTCGCAGGGTCATCAGCTTGGTCTAGTGCTGCAAGTAGCTCTGTACCATCTTCTGCCGTCTTGGCAAGCTCAGTTACTGGATCATCCGCGATCTTGTCCTCTAGAGTATCGAGCTCTCCTGGTGCCTCTGCCTCCCCTTCTAGAGTCTGGAGTAATCCTACTGGTAGTATTATTACAGCTACTAGGTCTTCGGTGCCACCTGCTAGCTCCGTGTCTGTTTCCAAATCATCTGCTCAGCCTTCTGGTTCTATTTCCACGGTAACTTCCAATTCGCCAAGAAGCTCGGCTGCACAACCCTCGAGTGGTGCAATCTCAAGCAGCAATCCGACTTCGGTCCAGAATAGCAGCACTCTAGAAGGTATCATTGTCATTCCCCCTGGTATCTTGACCAGCAGTACTCCAGGAGCTACCCCCATTATCCCTTCTAGTATTTCTGGTAGCAACACTCCTAGCAGCATTCATCTCCCGAGCGAAAGTAGAAGGCATTCTAGTAGCACTCCCGGCAGCATGAATCCCCCAAGTTCGGTTGGAACGCCAACTATCAGTACTCCGGGCAGCGTCAATCTTCCGAGCCAGAGTATAGGGCATTCTATTAGCACTCCCGGTAGCATCAATCCTCCAAGTTCGGCTGGAAAGCCAAGTGGTAGCACTCCAGGTGGCACTAGCTCATTCCCCATCGTAACACCGTCTAGCAGCAAACCAGGGGGCACTGCGCCAGTTCCTACTGGAACGCAGTCTAGTAATCCTCCGGGGAGTATTGGGCCATTTCCTATTGTAACTCCATCTGGTAGCAATCTAGGAAGCATTGGACCAAGTTCTAGTCGGATCCCAACTGGCACCACTTCGGGAGGAATCTTTTCCAAACCCACTGGAACTTTAAGCAATATCCCCCCTTCGCCCACCACGACGGGCGGTGATGGCGATCCAGATTCTCACTCGGATAGTGACCCCGGTTGCAAAGAAAACAACTGCATTGCTGATTGCATCTCGTGGAGACTCATGACTTTCTTGCTATTCAAGCGGCCTGTATGTCCTTGTGTTCCGAAGAAGTGCGACAAGGATGGTGATAGCGATAGTCCAAGCGATAGCGACAGGGACGATGACAAGGGACCCAAACCCAAGCCAACGTCATATCCCAAACCCAACAAACCAGAATGCAAACTTCTCGGTTGCGGATGCGGGTGGATGGGTTTGAACTACGGGCCTGGATGTCCTGGTGTAGAGTTCGAGCTAAATATCCCATGTGGTCTCTTTGGGTGTTCCCCCTGCACCTTTTTTGGTAGTTGCCCGGGCGATAAGCAACCCGTCAACGCCATCTTGGGCTACGGCGGATACTGTCGAGGAGAAGGATGCTCACCCTGCCCTCCGGAGCTCTGTAGTCGTCCAGGATGCACAATTTCAGGAGGTTGTGGACCGAAGCCTGGTCCTGCGCCAACTAAGCCCGCAGATGCACCAGATCCGGATCGTTGCGAGGACAAGCAGCGCGTTGTTGTCACAGAGCGATTTGTATTTTGCACAGAGGGGTTTGATATTTCAGCTTTGCCTTCTACCTCTCGGGGTACTGGTAGCACATCGTCTACGATGGTTTCATCAATATGTGTACCGTTAATCGATGCTACTCAGACCATCTGCGGGCCAGCCGTTGGATTCGATACTACTACGACGAAGACCGGCACAAATACGCTCACCTCCGATGCTCCAGCATGTACTCGAGCGCCACTTTCTCTAGATGATGATGAGGGAAATAACAATCCCGACGATTCGTTGTTTGAAACGTCTAGCATATTTGCCAGCAACACCACAATGTTCGCAAGTTCGACTTCCAAGGGCATTTCTAGTATGACTCCCCGCAGCTCTTCAACAGCGCCAGCACCGAGTCATACGCCCATGGATAGGAACGGCCATTGGAAGGTGCATATCGGTCAATGGATGTGGGACGACTATTCGGAAGTGGGATGGACGCTGTACGACCCCAACGGCTTCGAGGCTGGTAAGCACACTACACGTGGAAATGGCCTCAAGGAGATGAAGGAATACATCCAGTCGGTGAATCGTCCTTTCGGCGACTCCATGCCTTTTGGAGTCGACATGACCGTCTCACAGCGTAAGCAAAACTTTACAATCTTGTCTTTCTTGTGCTAACCCTTTGCAGCCCACGACCGCGACCACTCTAGAACCAGCTTTAAAATTAAGAAGGAGGTCAAAGGCTGCGAAGAATGTTCGCCTCACATGACGACGGAGGACTACACCGAGAGCCGGCCATTCGAGATCAATGCTTGCGAAAAGTCTTGCTCAAAACAAGGAAAATCTAGTCCTTTGAAAGCCCTGTCGGATTTATGGTGCGATGATCTTAATACAGCCGATTGGGAGCCTTTGGCCAATGGTTGGAAGCGCAGTTTTAACTGTGGTTGGAAAGGGTTTGATTGAGCTCTTCGTCATTTCTGAGTCAGTGCGATAGAGCACGTAGATAGAAGGTTGCTTTGTGCAGCCAATAGAGCGTAATACGCATAAAAAACCTGGAAGTATAAGAACGCAGTGACATAAAACGATTATCTCGTTGCTCAAACTATGGGATGGTTATTTGAAATCGAGCAAACTAATACGACAAGCTTAGACAAGAGATCAGGCTTTGTTGTGAAGATTGAAAAGCTTCTCAATTTCCCTCTCTTTTCTGCTTCTCGTCCCCTTTGATGTTTTTTCGATCAACGTACTCCATGCCTGTCCCTGAGTGCGTATTACTCCCACTCTTTGAGTGTTCTTTTTGCGCTTCATAATCTTCTTGATCCCGTGCTGCTTTCTGGGGAGTCTTGGCGGACTTCTGAACGCCAAATGTGTCTTTATAGTGGGAAGGATCGTTGACTTGGTCTGGAGATCTGGGTGTCAGCGAAGAAGCACTCGTGGCATTGGAGCCCTGCGGAAGAGAATGTACCGGGCATGGTTGCTAGTAGTGGGCTGTAACTATTGCGTGAATTTTCAAGATGATGCGTTAACTTTGGTTTCTAAGGCACCTCTAGGTATATTAATACTCTTTTGAAAGGCATTGTGTAGACGTCATGAAAACCTGGGATTTTGTAAACGTCAAGATGACGGATCGCCATTCGGTCTAAGGCTCCTTCTTCGCATCAACATATTTCCACACACCGCACATGAGGGAGAAGCTTAGGATTGACAACTTCGATTTATTCACGTTTAAGAAGTTTCGCTAATGTGTTCTTGAAACCCGCTGACCCGATGGGGTGGTTCTGTGTAGGTGTGCCTGATCGACGGTCCTAAGCCCGCATCTGCCAACCACCTCATTCCCAATTATATTAACCCTTCTTCTCCTGACCCTTATTGCTGTCCTTTTTGTCTGCGTCTTTCTTCGATGCATCTCCCTTGTCGTTGGATGTCTGAGGAGCTGGTGCGCCACTACCGCTGTTCATGAACTTGTCATCGAGTTGGTCTATAAGAGGATTAGCTGTGAGAACACACGACATCGAACACAGAAGGCGTACCAGACATATTTTGGTATACGAAGAGAAGGCGGAGTAGGGCAGAGTTTGATGAGAAGGCTTTGGTTTGTAGAGGAGAAGGGGAAGGTGGTCAGACTTTGGAATGCGGTTTTGCAGTACTTGTCTGGTGGTACGGCATGCGACATGACGTTGTTGTGCCTTTCCCCCTCACTTGACTACTAGGCTAGGATCTAGATGCTGCAGGGCATTAGGCTGGCCGTTTAGCCGTTCCAGGACATTTATGCAAGGTCTCACAAGGGAAAATTACGAAGAAGTGGGAGGGTGGGGACGATTTGAGTTGTTCAAGGTAGGTACTATTCATATTGCAAGTGAAGCTAGGAATCGCGCGAAGACCGGTGCGATTTGCAATCGATCAGAGAACCTAACACCATCCCTAACGACGGCCTCTACCACCGCGCGACCCGCGACTACTTCTGTCACTATCGCGATCGCCCCTGTTTGGGAAGAATGACGGCTTTCGCCAACTACGGTTACGAAACCACCGTCGGTCATTGTATGTGACAAGCACGCCTTCGGCGATGTCCACATCAGGTTCCTTTGCCTGGCGCATGAGGAAAAGCTGACTCTGGGTCAACGGCATGATGGAATAGCCAGCGGCGATACTGTCAGTAATGGTGCGACGCAAGAAAGCTGTGAACTGGGACTGGGACGGGAGTTCCTTGAGACCCATCTTAGCCAGGAACTGCTGAAAGGTGTTGAACTCGTGGATCTCACGGATGTCCTCAGCCATTCGCGTTGATGTGCCTTGCGGAGGAGCCCCATGCGCGTCGAACAAGGAATCGCGTAGCTCGATAAGATTCTTGTTGGGCGGGCGAGCTGCCGAGCTGAACAGCTTCATGAACATGATGAGGCGGTACGAGGTGGGCGAGGCAGCGTACGTCATCTTGGTACGGTATCTGGAGATCGCTGAAGGCTCCAGGTATGCAAGCTCAGCCATACCAGCACCTTTCGCGTCGAGCATCCATACAACGTTGCGTAGGATTGCTTCTCGGATGACTTCGTACGTCAGTTCTTCAGTCAACCCTGCATCGCAGATGAGAGCCGCTACCAGTACATGGCCAAGATCAGGGAACTGCGTCTTCGTACGTGGGCCGACCATAAAACGCTGGATGATCTTGTTAGCACTAACGACAATCTCCTCATGCTCGGTTGCAAGGCATAGCAACAGATGAAAGAGACCGAAGTAGGCATCAACGGCTTTTTCTGATGCGTGACTTAGGGTGCTACGTTCATCAGGACCAGCATAACCTTTTTCCGCATCGGATGAGAACTGAACGACAACCGTGTTCATCATGTGATACAACACGTCCACATGGTAAGGCTCATGGCTGGGCATGGTCGCGGTGTTGTGAACGTTCTGGAGGCATGCATTCACCTCCGTCTTGACTTGATTCCAATGACGTCGGCTGAGCGGCATAGGTAGCCAGTTGTCGAAAGAAACACCCTGAACACTGTTCCGGACACCAAATACGGAGAATGCCTCCCTACTCAACAGATCGAACTCGGACCGGAAGAGTGACCGATTGCCGCTCTTGGTGGAGATGCCTATGCCGAGCTTGCTGTTTAGGAATGATCGCTTAAGGCAGAAGCATTGTAATTCGCGGATCCGAATAAAGTCGTACGAGTTGATCATGGTCTTGATAGAAGGAACAGCCTCGGAAAAGGCCAAAATGTCACGAGTCTCGAGCTCAGTGAGTACTGCGAGAACGATCTCATCTGGTAGTGTGAATAACCTTGAGAGCGAAGTTGGATGTCGTAGTGGGAGAGCGACAAGAGTGGGCGCGAGCGCTGAGTCGACCTCCATTTCATCAGCCCGTGTCGGCGACGAGTCGATTCCGAATCGACAAGAATAGCATACGAAATGATTTGTAAGTCTACCATGCGCCTGAGTAATTTGCTGCCGGTAATGAGTCAAGTTGATGGTGTTGTTACCATGGTCTTGCTCGAGGGAGTCGCTGCAGAAGAAGCTTAATAATTGAATGACGATACCCTTCAAGGTATACGCTGGTGTCCAACCCTCTTTAGTATTAAGCATCGTAGCACAAATGTAGTCACCAAAGACATTGGGATGAATGATTTGACTTTGAATTTTGATTTCTGGAGCAATGAGTGGATATCGGTCCGGAAAGCTGATCGTGAGGTGGAGCGGCTCCTGTCTATCCGGAGTTAGGACGAGGCACGCCTTCGTGATGTCGTTGTCATCAAACTTGAGGTAGACATTAGGATATGGATCTTGCTTGGTCTCTGCGATGTCTTGAAGGAGCCGACGACGCAGGGAGTTTGACTGAACCATATTAGCTTGGTAATGTACTATGATCGCGAGAGAATAGTATGAGGTTGAGATCGCAGAGCTGTTGTTCGACCGAAATAATGATGAAGAAAATTTACAAACAGAAGGGAGAAGTTATAGTACCCAGATGATGCGCAAGTCCAGGCTGAGACACACGTGACTAGGCAGCGGCGGTAAACGAATAGGAATGTGGGCCACAACGCCCTTATGGGCAAGCTACTACATCGACATCTTACCGCTGTAATGTTCATCCGTGGTCGGTTCTGTGGGTTCATAGCGTCAGTCTTCTAATTGATCAGGTTGTCGGCATAGCACACAGGCATGTTTCAAGCAACCTTCTGTAGGACCATGATGGAGTGGAGTGAGTGAGGGCTATAAATGACACGCGCAACCGCCCTGGAAAGATCATTTCATAAACGGGATGAGGAAGAACCACATATACCCCATCTCCTTCAGCAAATTCCGCTCAAACGGGACATTCTGGCGCCCTTCCGCTGCGGAACTCAAAGAAGGGCGCTAGGATACCCACTTATTAGGCTCCAACAAGCTACTATTACTACTATACTGAGCCTGCTTCATCGGTTTTGGAAGATCCGGTCTACAGAAGTTTTGTGGTCAAGATCTTGTCGAGATGGGAATGAAGAGGAAGTAAGGTTGGCACCTAGGGTATGCTTTTGCCCATATGTTATAATCCTAACGAGTGTTCACCATACGTTTGAACTTGTCTTCCAAATCTGATCATACTAACATGACTAAGCCCACCTAGACATGTCGTTGTTCTCGGATATTGCGTTTCAAGCCAAGCTGAAGCGATACGAGCAGCGAAATTAAACCTGAGCGCTTGTGCAACCAGACACAGCGCGCATTGACATATTTAGAAAAAGGAATGCGAGAAATGCGAGCATAGATTATATAGTCTGACATACGAAGTCACTCCCATTGGGTAGATTTGATGTGCAAGTGTTTGCTAAGAATGATTGAGATAGAGAGTGAGTAAGAGATGCCGACGATACTACCATCTCCGCGTTGTGCAACTAACGAACACGAAGAATGCGAGAGCATATTGATACAGCCAAGGAAGTAATGATCGCATGTCTGAGATATAAGAAGCCCTTAACAGTCGACTACCTGAACCAGTCGCCATACCAAGACCTCATTGCAGTCAAACAAGCACATCATGAAGATCACAGTCCCGGTCCTCGCTTTTCTCACGTCCACTGCTTTCGCCCTAGACCCTACAGTCTATCGCGACCCTCTCGCCGCAATAGAGAAACGTGCCATCGTCGGCGCAACCGTCCTCGTAGACGGTCTACGTTACCGAACATGTCCAAAGACGAGCTGCACAGCTCCGGGCCAGTACGCTAAAGGTACCAAGATCAAGTTGAGCTGCTTTACCAGGACGGATACGACTACGGTGAATGGCGACAAGTAAGTAACGGCATCAATCCGAAAGGTATGGTAATGAATCAAGCTAATGTGAATGAAGAGGTTGGGCCAAGGTCTCTGGTGGCGTTGGTAATGGAAGATGGGTTGCATTGGCTGGGGGCACGTACGTGACTTGGGATGGTATGCTAATTCCGTATTCGACCTTGAATGGAGGCGGTTCACTGACCTGGGACAGCACCATTGAACGCTTGTTGAGATTGGGATTCATATTGGGAGGTAGTAATGCTTTCATACTATCCTCGCTCACGCGTTTGCGACGGGCTTCATGATGAATTCGCTGTTGTCTAGTTGAGAATACGACAGACAGCTGTATTGGAATAGCAGAACCTATATTGGAACTCCCGCCTTTCCCCAGGTAACCTGTGCATCAGATGTTGATCGTGCTACAAGCTTGTGACCCGTGATGGCTACATTCTTCCACTTCAGATTCGTACAGTTAATTGTGCCTTTGAATTTGCGACAATCATTGCCAGCGAAGACGATGTATCCTAGTTCTGTTTCGTGGCTGCCAGTTTTTCTGGATACACTTTGAGCAGCATCCAGAAATTCGCCGCTCCATCGAAACCAGAACTTTGGGGAGCGGAAGCTGTTCTTCTCAAATGTCTCGAAGCGTGTTTTTTCGGGAGATTCAGGCTCGGTATTATCGCTCTCCTCTTCTTCCTCATCATCGTGCCCGTCGTCTTCCTCTTCGTTCGATTCATCCGGTTCCACCTCTGCAATCGTTCGTCTAAGACTGTCACGACTGCCGGCTAAGATGACCGAGGCTTGCAATACTCCTGGCAAAGACAGTCGGCCAACGACACCCTCGCCACCTTCGGTGAGACGATACAACTCCAGCGATGCATCCTGTTCCGGCGGAGCATCTCCGTTGGCACTTAAAGCTTTCTGCCATGCTGGACATTTTACTGAATAGCTTGCAAATGTTTTGCGCACATCGAACGCGGCCGTGTGTTTGGACTTGCTGCCGCGACCATTGCGATTGTGCATATGTCGCGACGAGAAGGCGGCATCCTGCCAGTCGTCCATGGCGAATGATTGGAGTACGTAAGGAATTACACTTACTTCTGATGGTTTTCTTGAACTCGCGTGCCTCGTTGCGACAGTGAGTTGACGTCATAGACTAGCAGAAGAAGAATGTGGGCGACTAGACAAAGCATGCAGTTAGCCTGGCTCTTTCGTTCCATCAGAGTGGGTGGATGAGCTACAGACACGAGGACCAGGTGCATCGCGGGGTAGGCATGCGGCACACCTCCAGCCTGTTTATATTAGTGTTTCCTCGACGATGCAAGCCATACGCTCGTGATCGGGCCAATCAGCTGTAGACTTCTGCGACATATTTGCTAACTGTTTTTGTGTCTCTGGTAGATTCCATCGGTGCGTGCAATGGGAATCCAGCTGGAATGCCATGTTGCAAGACAGAAGACCATATCCTCCGGGACGGGTCGACAATTCTTACTGTGATCATGTAGCTATATTTCAAGTTTTAAGTTAGTAGGGGGATGATGTTGCCACGTTAGGCCAGGAAATGAGAGGATGGCGTTTACATGTTATCGCTCACCTTGGCTTGTGCTCTGCAGTGCTCACGTGAACAGGCGTCTGTCGCAAAACGGGAGTCGCGAATCGCTCCGTCAGCGCCGCCCCAATTACCAACGCCAGCGATGCCTCCCAAAGGCTCCAAGAAGTCAGCGCCTGCGCCACCGAACAAGACGCTCGTTCTTGACAATGGCGCATACTCGATCAAAGCTGGTCTCGTTCCCAGCGGTGTCGAATATACCTATGACGAATGCAGCGTGATTCCGAACTGCATCGCGCGGAGCACGCGCGACAAGTGTACCTACGTCGGCGCCGAACTCAATTCGTGCAAAGACTTCGGAGAGTTGGCATTCCGCCGCCCGGTGGAGAAGGGCTTCATCGTCAACTGGGAGGCAGAGAAGGCGATATGGGAGCACGAGTTCATGGGAGACGCCATGGGGGAGGGGCTGAGGGTGGGTACGCACAATCGCGAGCTTATGGCGGACGCATTGGCTAACGGTGCATAGTGTGACCCAAAAGATACAAACCTGCTTCTGACGGAGAAGCCGAATTGTCCAAAAGAACTACAGAAGAACTGCGACGAGATCATATTCGAGCAATTCGAATTTGCTGCGTACTATCGATGCGTGGGCGCGACACTGAACGCCTATGCTACCCCCCAGGCGCACACTGAGTCCTCATTGCTGTCGCTACCGCGAGAATGCCTCCTGATTATCGATACCTCCTACTCAGACACGACCATCCTACCTCTCTACAATGGGAAACCCATACAATCGGCGGTGCGGCGGCTCACAGTAGGTGGGAAGCTGCTCACAAACTACCTAAAGGAGCTGTCTTCGCTGCGACACTACAACATGATGGAGGAGACATATCTGCTCAATGAGATCAAAGAAGCAGTGTCGTACGTCGTGCCTTCGTCGCAGCACTTTGCCAATGATCTAGAGCGGACATGGAAGGGACGACTGGGAGACAGAAGAGAGCTAGATTCGAGCATTGTGGTCGACTACGTGCTGCCAGACTACGAGAACGCGATACATGGCCACGCGCGACCCCACGATCCTGCAAAATCACGCATGCGTCGGGGGCTACAAGCGCCACAAGGACCAAGGGAAGATTTACTGCCATTAGGGAACGAGCGATTCGCTGTGCCAGAGCTGCTCTTCAATCCCTCTGATATTGGCATCCAGGAAGAAGGCATACCTGGCGCCGTCATGCAGTCGCTGAGTGCATTACCCGAAGCTCTCAGGATAGGTCTGCTAGCGAATGTTGTGGTGGTAGGCGGGAACTCGCTGATTTCTGGCTTTATGGAACGACTGCGAACAGAGTTGAGGGCTCTGGTGCCTGCAGAATATCCGCTGAACGTAGTACAGGCAGATGACCCAATCAAGCATACATGGCTAGGAGGAGCAAATGTTGCTAGCCAACCCGAGTTGCTTAAGGAGTTGCTGGTCACCAAGGCCGAGTACGACGAGAGGGGCTCTACATGGCTAGTAAAGAAGTTTTCATGATAGGCAATTCAAGATAAGCAGCAACCGCGACATGATTTGTACATGTACTGCATCAATTCCAGTCGTGTGACGATTTGAGCTGAAGCCGGTGCACTGCTCGGGGCTGCTGTGGCTGTGATTGGCTCATGTCCGGCGGCTTGGCATGCTGGTCAATATGTCGAAGGAATTTCCGGTCCACGGGCATCACCCGCATCTCGAACCCAATGCGCCGAATACCGCGCCCCTCGCGGGCAACTGATGCCTCAAATCTCCTGTCCACGTCGATACGGCAGACACTGTCGCCATTGCCTTGTCGCTCCGCCGTGTCGCCCTGCACCCATCTCCCCAATGCAACCGCCACTTTCTCCACCACCGCACCTCAGTCGTTCCTCCTACCGGGCAAGCAAGACAAGAAGAAGCACCAGCAGTTCGTACGGAGATGGCAGAAGCGTCTGCTCGGCGACTCGGAGCCCATTGGCGCACACGTGGACCCATACGACCCAACATCACCCGTCCGAATAGCACCCGAAGACCAGGGCGAATACGAAGAGGTGCTTGAGGAAGATCCCAACTTCCCCAAATACCGGCAAGCAAAGAGCATAGCCGGCCTCCAGCGTGTCGGCGGCGACGAGTGGCTCAGGCAGAAAGTCGAAAAAGACATAGCCAAGGAATTCGAGAAACTGACACTACGCACCTATACGCCGCTGACGCTGGGCATGGCCGATGAAATCGAAGAGCTCACCGGTACCCCATACACTCTCAAGGACGAGAACTTGATGATGGCGCAAACCATGCACGAGAAGACGAACCGGCCGTATACCCAGTACAACTTTGGCCTCCATTCCAAAGCCTCCCGCGTTACCGACATCCGCGCTCGCTTTACGCAAGCTGTCGCCGAGATCTATGCTCTGAAACAAGCCGGTCTCGATATGGACTTGTCCAAATTCGCCAACCGAGGTGTGTACGACCGGCCACGCTGGGTCAAGGATGTCAAGTTGGTCAAGACAGAAAGCGGCGAACTTGCTCTTGCCTTGCCGGAGCACAAGAACCTGGACAACCTTCTGGCAACGATGCAAAAAGCGCCATCTTGGGAGGCTGAACAAGCGGAACCAGATGAACTCCTTGTTGAGGAGCTCATTGAGGAGCTCGACGGTACTCATTTCCCACAAGAGCAAGTACCGACCATGGATCCCGAAACACCAGCATACAAGAAGGCAGCAGTGGTCAAGCAGGACGCTGAGAAGCCGTTTGATTTCATGTCGAACCGGCCAGTACCCCGCGCAAAGCCCGTGGCGGAGCAAGTCAGTCAGCCAGTCGTTGAGGAAGTGGTGGTTCAAGAAACCCTCAACACCCCTCCTGTCCATGCAGCCGATTCTAAGCCCGTCAACGAAGTCGCTCCAGCAGCAGCGAGCGAGTCGCGGCATGCTATCCTCGAAGAAAGAGCGCAGCGCTTGGCCGCCGACTTTGCAGCTCTGAAGAAGTCGGTTCAGCAAAGCAGGGCACAGCCTTCTGCCACCAAATCCGAAGACACCAAGTGGCGACATGTTCCTGTCACTGACATTGACGTCAAGTTCGCTGTAAGCCTACTCACGAAATTTACCTGATATCTGCTGACATTCGTAGCTCTTCAAACGGCTTTACCAATTGACCGGCTTCCGCATCTCAGACCCGCACCTATCTTCAGCAAAAACCCTAGGCGATCTATACAGCTACCTCTTGGAGGCCACCAAACCTCAACCGACCAGTCTTTACTCCGCTATCCACGTAGAAGGCCAGAAGGCACGTGAACGAGCGAAGCAGCAAGCCGCATCGGAAGCCGCTACCAAGCGACGGGCCGATCTGGGCGACTTGATCAATCTGGGCAATGTCGAGCTACGCCGCGTCAAGGCTAACAAGACCGAGAAGCGCAGCAAGACCGGTCTAGACAAGGTGGTAAACTATGCTCTGCGGGAGCGTGGTCTGGGTAACGGAGTGCCTTCCAGGATTCAAGAGATAAGAGCGAGGAAAGCACGCAGTGTAAGGCATGTGCGAACACAGCGTGAATTCGTCAATCCCTTAAGCAGTAAGGCTGCCAAATTTCTGGAAACTAAGACGCAATAGTTGAAATCAGCACAACAATCAGCTGTCTAGGTTGGATTATGAATACTCATGCACTCAATGTAAGGGTCATGGCATGCTTTGTGTCGAGCGACTCAAATACACTGTATAGTATGTACTCTATGGGCAGGATCTGGAATGCATGGAATCGTGCTTCTGCTGGAGCGCTCATCAGCACGCGTTCTACCTTGGTTCGCAAAACAGAAACTCTGCAAATATGGTGAACTGCAACCTGCTGCATGACAGACAAAGCCACCGTGTAAGCTCATTCCAAGATTTTTGCACCTCATACCAAGCTTGTACTGCGTACCTGCATGGAAGCTGCAACACACTCATCTACTCTATGCCCATGACATGAGAACGGCACCATATCACCAAGCTAACCAGCCCATGTAACGGCTAGGACAATTGCGGGGGCCGAGTCCTGATAAGCTGTCCACCACATGCAGGGTACACGCGCAGGATTTCTACCGAGGGAACAGTCAATGATTGCCGGAAAGCTAAGCTTTGCCCAGAATTGCTTGTCAAAGATAAGAGTGGAGCTACTAGCTCTTGCAAGCCACACAAGCTAAGCGGCATACGGCAACTCTTTTTTCTCGTGCCCTGCCACCGGCGTCAAACGGCTTTTCATGACGCGGCCGGAGCCGATTGTGCGCGATGGGTGGGGTAGTGTGTACTAAAGAGCAAGAATGTTTCGCTCGGTGCGGACCCTGGACGGTTCACACTCTTTCATGATTACTACTTTTGTACCACCATTCTTCTGAGTATTCGTTACTACGGTACATTCCATGATGTTTTCAGCGGAAAAGGCCCAGGACGAAACCAGCGTGTCAACTGACAGCGGGAGAATCGGCGATGCGACCGTCACCCGCGAAACGGGGCTCCTGGCCAAGCTACGTCGCTTCGAAGCCAGATTAGACGCAAAGCTAGGAATTGAATCAGAAGCCATCAGTCGCAAGCTGCCAGAGGAAAAGGGACACGTACCATGGCATCACCAACTCAACATGTTCTTCCTATGGGCATCCGGAACCATGAACACGTCTTGTTTTGCCACCGGCCTTCTGGGACCTCAATTCGGGTTGAGTAAGGATTTTGCTCCTCCCTCGCTCTTGCGAACTGCTCGACTGATTCAATTTGTGTGCCTATAGCGCTTCGCCAGAGTATCGTCATCACCATCTTTGCGTCTATTCTTGGTGGCGCTGCCACCGGATTCGCAGCCACTTTTGGTGCGCCGACGGGACTGAGGCAGATTTCAGTGTCAAGATATGCGTTTGGATGGTGGCCTAACAAGCTCATTGCTGCTCTTAACACTATCGTGCAGATTGGCTGGGCGTCTGTGGCTTGCATCACGGGTGGTTTAGCACTAACGGCTGTAGCGGATGGCCATATCTCCCTGATCGTCGGCATAGTCATCCTCGCTGTCGTTGCCACGATAATTTCGTTCGTCGGTCTGCGAGCGATCCTGGTATATGAACGCTATGCATGGTTCATCTTCTTTATCATCTTCATCATCTTCTTCGCGGAGACGGGCAAGTACGCGGACAACAGCACCAAAACCGACCTGAAGGGAGCAGACCTCAGTGGACAGGTTCTAAGCTTGATTGCTATTGTCTACGGAAGTTCAGCATCGTGGCAGACCATGGCCTCCGACTACTACGTCCACTACCCTGTCAACGTCTCGCGCTGGAAAGTCTTCCTGATGACAACCTTTGGCATCGCGATTCCCACTTCTATCGGCATGCTAGCAGGCTGTGTGGTGTCTTCCGGCATGCACAACCGACCAGAGTGGCAAGAAACGTACGACAACGAGGGTCTGGGTTTCCTCATCCAAACTATGCTCTACCCTCGCGGTTTTGCTAAACTAATCCTTACCCTCCTCGTCCTCTCCGGTATCAACGTAAACGTCATTTCCATCTACAGTGCCGCCATCTCTTGCCAGCAATTTGCCCGCCCTTTTGCACGCGTACCCCGTTTCATCTGGATCCTGGTTTGCTTCGCTGCCATCCTTGGTCTTGCTATCGGCGGCCGCGAGCAACTCAGTGTCTACCTTGAGAACTTCCTTAGTCTCCTCGGCTACTGGACTACGCAGTACTTTGTCATTCTATGCAGCGAACATGTCGTCTTCCGTCGTATGAACTTTGACAATTACGACCTGGACGCGTGGAACGATCCCAGTCGTCTTCCGCTCGGTATCGCTGCTGGCACATCGTTTGTCATCGGTATCGTGGCGTGGATTATGGGCATGGTAGAAACTTGGTATGTTGGACCGCTGGGAGGTCTTATTGGATCTGATGGTGGTGATGTTGCGAATGAGTTTACATTCGTTGTAACCGCGCTTGTGTATATACCTGCGCGATATCTTGAGAAGAAAATCGTCGGGAGATAGGAGGATGGTTTCCGAAGCAGCAGTGTCTCCGGGTGCGCAATTGTAAACCTGCTAGTAGGATTCTTGGATAAACACATAACGAAGAGTCGATAGCGTATTGTTGAATCATTCAAATCTTGTAACCGAAAAGTGGTCTTCCGAATATAGGAAAACTGCTTTTGGTCAGTGCTTACACAGCCAGTTGCGACGCAGCCACTCAGCTCCTGATCTACTGGCTTACCAACGATGAGCGATCTGTGGGCACGTTCACATCTCCCATGCCCTCTTCGCAACGTCAAGCGTGACATCTCCCTTCAAGAGCCCCACCATCCAGTTCAAGTCCTCAGACCCCAATGCCGTCCCAGCAATGATCACAGCCCACTGAACGACAGGGGAAGCAAGGTCCGTTTCCCCACGCGCACGTTTATGCTGTAGGTAATCCGAAATGCAACGGGCAATATCCAACCCTGCAGCCTGGATAGAGGGATAATAAGAGCTCTCCTTCAGAACGCTTGTATCTGCGTGTCCTTGTAAGAGGCTGTCTGGATCATGGTGAGGACTGTGCTGTGTAGTTTCTAAAGTCGCCATAATCCTAAGTACGTAGAGCAGAGCCGTATTATACAGCATCAGCATCCGCGCGGCTGAGTCGTTGATGAACCTGTAGATAGTTCGTGGCGGTGTCCTAGCTGTAATGGCCTCGACACATTCTTCAATATAGATGTTCTCCTCATTACCATCCCACTGAACTTTCCAAGCCTTGAGGAATATTAGTAACTCCTCGGCTCTGTACTGGATCTTTTGTCGTCGTCGCGGGAATTCTGAGCCAGATACATGCTGAGCTTTGAAGGTCTCGTCGCTGACAGCCATTAACACCGAGCAATCTGCAAGCACGTCATGTAAGTCTTGTTCTTCCGGAGTTTCTAACGAAAGCGCTGTCCTCAATACGGATTTCCACTCTGGTCGCGCAAAGATGGAAGGTGATCTGTTCCTCAGCGATGCAATTAATATCATGTGTCGCACGCCTTTGTATAGTTCCAACGTTCTAAATGACGCGTACACCAGAGATCCTGGGTCACGTAATGCCAGAAGCTGTTCAAGGCCAAGCATGTGTTTGAGCCAGTTCTTCGGGCCGGTGGGCATGAGAAGTTCAACTATCGCCAAAATGATGACGGAAACGATGATATCGTCGCACATACGACGCTGAGGTTCACCCAGAGCTTCATTCAGTCGCTTGAGAGCTACACCATGTATGATGTAACCCTGGGTGAGAATTCCACTCTGCTGGTAGCGCGAACCAAAGAGTAGGGTTGCGAAGCTGAGCGCAGCCTGAATGAACAACGGAGCACCCTCTATCGCTATCGACGAATCCTTGGTATCGATATCTGAGGCTTGGAGCTCCTGAAGCCCTAAATCGATGGGGCCATTGGGAAGAAGGTGGCGGCGCAGATAGCAAATGTAGACCTCATTCTCGTTGAATCTGAACCTCACTTGAGGAATGGCAATCTGGTTGTCAGGAGATAGAGATGCCGACTTTTCCACATCTTGCCTTCTCCAAGTTGTTGTCGCATCCAGACTAGCCAAACTATCCTTTGGCTTTTGGGATCTTCTAGATTTGACAATCTTGCCTTGTATGAAAACAGTGGTTTGCGGTCCGTCGCATTGGAATCCAGCCTTTTCGCATCTTTGACAGATAGGGTGAGTCTCGTCTTCAAAATTGTCAGCCTTACATCCAACATGCAGATGACTGTCGCTTACCGCACTTGACACGGCGTCTGCGGCAGGTTGAGCATCCTTTCGAACGACCGGCTACATTGACCATGGCCTGAACCTGATTCCTACGAGACACATACAGCTGGGACGAATGCGGTACATTGAACGAGATGGCTGAAGAGGAAGGTGGGGACTAGATGGGCTGACTGCAGCTAGCACGACATGTCAGCCTGACACAGGGTCGAGCTAAACCACTTGCGGCTCATTGGGCGAGGTGACAGGCCCCTCGCATCTGCACGTAACGCCCGGTCCTGGTCTGTCCCGTCGCGACTTCAATACCGGATTTCTTGAGCACACCTGAAATGCCAGCGTAGCTGCGCGAAAAGGCTGCAGGTGCATGCCCGCGTATTGAGCCGCAGAAGGCATAGCGAGCTCTTTCATCAGGCGACTTTAACTGTAGACATGTACGCATGAGAGGGTAGACACACTTCTCAATTTATAAGTATCGTCCAATGTATCGCCTCCCATCACATCTGATCTCGACTTCGCCTTCACAACACTAAATCGTACTCGTCAGACCTGCTCAATATCCACTGCATCTCAACTGCCACTTCATAGCCATGACGGTCACCGCAAGCATCGACATTGCATCCCCACCAGAAACTGTCCGCGCAAAGTTTCTCGACTTTGCATCCCTTTCGAAATATCACAAAGGCTTTTTCACGTCCCTAAGCCCACTCGGCCCGGTCGAATCAGGGAACAAGATACGCGTCGTCTTTTCATCTGGTCAACAGATGGACGCACCGATCGAGGTGCGTGCCCATCAGACTCTAGCTGAGCATCACCTGATACACTTACAGCACAACACACTCAAATCCTTTGCATGGACTGGCTCAATACCGCTTCTGTTTACAGGCACGCATTCTTTCGCTTTCGAGCCCAGCAGCACCATTCCAGGCGGTACAAAGTTCACACAAGAAGAAGTCTTCAGCGGCGCACTAGCCTTCCTGATGGGCGAAAACGTGGTAGCTCGACATTTCGGCTTCCCAGAAAAGACAAGGAGAGGATGGGAGGGTTACAACAATGACTTGAAAGCGTGGTGCGAAGCACAATGATGTGATTATCTATATATTTGCATTTTATGCCGAATATCTGCAATCGGGTATATCTCTTCTAATGTATAGATTGTGTACTTTTTTGGTGATATATTCTTCACCATTTGTATGCCTCACGCCTTGACCAGAAGCTTCCACCCTTTGAACGCTACTCGCGCAGTGACAAGCAGCACGGCGCTTCCAAACAGTAAGCACCCTCCAAACACCCAGAGACTATCGAAACCGCTATGACCTTGGATCGCGCCTCCAATCGGCGTTCCAACAAGCAGACCCACAGCCACGACTCCAAAACTCTGCCCTAGTCTCGTGCCAATCTTGTCTCGTGCGTCGGTACTCAAGTGAACAATAATGGTGGGTGGTAGCGAAACGAAAGATCCGGAGAAGAAACCGTAACATGCCATGAGGACAATTATGCCGGCAGTGGATGAGACGGATATGAAGCATATACAGAGGAGGCCCGATATGATAGTACAAGGAATTACGACGTTGAATGGACCGACTTTGTCAGAGAACTATTGTATACAACAGTCAGCGAACTGTAATCATCAAATGCAATGATTAGTGAGACGAAAAGGGCATGAGAAGCATACCAAGTTGGGTACTATTCGACCAAAAACACTCGTGCTGTTCATAACAGCGAGAAGGTAAAAGGCCAGACTCTCGTTCGTAATATGTTCCTGGATGGCGTAGACTTGTGCGTAGAAGAATGGCATATACAGTCCCATAAACCCAAGAAAGAACCCAGCAACTTGAAGACTATACGCTGGGATCAAGAAGGCGCGAAGATCGAGAAGCGAACGCGATTTCGCTGGTAGGACGCGGACGCGCATGCATACATTCGGTATGATCATGGTGGCAAGGATAATGAAACCCAAAACCCTCGTCGTCCATGCGAATCCAATCTGGGGAAGAAGCTTATGGAACACGATGGGATAGATGACACCTCCAAACGACGATCCAGATGCGGCGAGTCCAATAGCTGTTCCGATCTTGGTGGAGAAATACGTAGAGAGGATGGCCACACTGGGAATGAACAGACAGCCTGTCCCGATACCTATGCAGAAGGCCTGCGCGAGGAGTACTTGCCAGTACGTATGACAAAGGCTGAGCATCATTTGGCCCAGAACCAACATGACACTTCCCACGATGAGTAGTTCGCGAAAATATCCTGCGTCATAGATTGGGCCAGTCAGTGCGCCGACTAAGAGAAGGAGGAAAGCCTGGATGGAACCGATCCATGATATAGACGAAGGGCTTGAGTCGGCAAGTAGGTTGGTCTCATAGTAGGCTTGGTACGATCCGAATGTGTTGATAATGCCCCAAGAATTGAATAACAGGAAGAATCCACCAAGTACCTGTAACCACGCCCACAAGCCTCCATTTGGGATCTTGGAGACATCCTTCACACTGGGATGCGCCGATCGAACCTAAAAGTCGGTGAGCCAGATCAGAAATGTCTCATTATAGTCCAGACAGGAGCATCACTTACAGGCTCCAGCGTCGTCCCTGAACCTGCAGCGCGTTCTTCATCCGTAGCTTCAGTCACGTGCTGACTCTTCTCTTGATCCTGATTCGCCACAGAGGTGTTCGCGCTGTGCAGTGAATCCAAAGACGCCTGGTGACTAGGTTTCTCATCAAAAGTCGTTGATGCATCTGATACCGCTGCTGCTTGCGAATGCCGCTCGAGCGATGGGTTGTTGGCGTGTTCTATTCCCATTTCCGTAGCGGCAGCTGTCGTGATCGACAGCGCTGTTGACCCTTCTCGATGTCACGACGGCGGATTGGTTGGGTCGATAGTAAGCGTCGAATTAGTGTATCCCCGAGAATATGGTTGTCACAACGGCTCAGCCGATTTACTGCGGCCAAGAAACACGCAAGAAAAGAACGATGTAAATGTTATAGAGTTGACGGCACCGCGTACGGAAAGGAGATCGGAAAGGGATCTGAAGAAAACAAGTGGGCCCGGCAGATCATATATCAAGCTTAGGATAGTATGACTTGAGGCGTGCGGCTAGACGATTCTGAATACAAACACGGACTGCACCACACGCCCTTTTCCTTCCTTGAGCGCCTCCACCATAAGCAGCTCGCTCGAAGTTAAGACCGAGCAACACCAAGCGAAACGTGCTTGCCGCGCGACCATCACCTTTGCGGGTTCGGACTTCCGTTAGGGGTTTCTGTTATTAATAACGTCTGATGCTTTAGCCGAACCTTGGGAAGTACAAACAACGGAGTGCGGCGACAAGCACGTCACGAAACGTGCTGGGCGTTATTTCCGTCTAATAGCCGTGTATTCAACCGAGGCAAGCTTTGTTTGAGACTGTTCGCTAAGGTTTACTTTTCTGTGTCTACGTAGTCATTACATTTTATCATCTTCATTTGCGTGATTCGTTTCATACCATCAATACTATTTTTCCGCTTTTTGTGCGGTCTATCTAAACCTTCAGATCTCAACTTTCACAGTTGTATACCAGGCAGCGCCTAATTCGACGCATCTGCCCCAGACGCCATCATCATAGAGAAAGGGAAACATGCCGTAATGATGTACAAACAGTGCCAAGCTGCCATGCTATCGTAATCTTGGGGAATATGCTTCGTCATGTCGTTTCATACTTTTGGTGACCGAAGGAAAGGTTATGGTAGAAGGATTCGCTCACAACGCCTGCGTGAACGCCCACAAACGCTCACTATGCTATACAACCCAAGGAAAGCACCTACCCGATTTGTATGTTTCGGCCAGAAAATGTGTGCCGATATCGAATTTTGACATGAGAAAGAACTAACGTCGTTGAGGCTCCACTTGTTCGGACGGCCCCTCAGGTTTCACCAGCGACCCGTTTTGTCGCCAAGCGATGACCAGAAGGATGCAGCGGCGACGGCTCGACCTGTTCCACACGCTCCTCAAGATAGACGTTGCTTAGTAGCCCGGCGGGAATTGTGCCATCTTGAGTCGGCTTTAACTGGCTTCTTGAAGCTTTCTGGCGTCGATTCTCGCGCTCGTTGACGACATCCCGTAAGATCTTATTAGCACCAGTCCATCCAATCTGACTAGCTGTCGCACGATGATTAAAGAGGCGCTCTACGAGCGGAAGCGGTAGCGATAGAAGAATGGTCGACAATACGACAGTCGAATGGCTGGGCTGGTGGTCGTCTTCCGTCGGTGCATCACCAAAGCGAATCTTGCTTAGCCGTGGATTATGCGCGGCCTGGCGATTCTCAACGACCGCAGGCAAACGTGGTGCGTCGGAGAACTCAGGCGCTATCGTGTACAACTTGAAGTCGATAGGAAAGGTGAAGGCAAGGAACTCAAGAGCGTAGTTCAGTAGCGTTGAGATGAATGGGTCGTCCGTATCAGGTCCTTCGGCTCTTGACCGTGGTCCAGAATTGGCTTGCAGTATGTATTGCAAGACCTGCTCCACAGTGTCCCATCGGAGAAGCATCCTTGCAATCTCGATGCCACGTGCCTGCATGCTAGGTATCTGGAAAGTCCTTGCTGCCGCAATATAACTCAGAATTTGTTGCATGCGCCGGCGAGCGTTATTGGAGGGAGTTGCTTGGTCACTCTGGTACATGTAAGGTGCGAGGCCATAGAGGAAGGTCTGGGCGGAAAGAAGTGGGGCACCATACAGCACTCTGACAGCCTCTCCCAGAGATTCGCCAGTGGTGAAAGGGTCCAGCGCGACGACATCGACTAGCCGACGCGCATCCCTGCTACGATGACTTGGGACAGGACTGCGACGGATAGCTTCTGCTATGACTGGACTGCGTACCACTATGATGCCGTGCACAGGCACTGATACCAGGACCGATTCCGGAGATCGAACTTGGAGGACAAAGTCGGCGAATTCTGGATTCCCAAACTGCGTAGAAAGATAACCCGCAAGCTCAAAAGGCGACTCCTCTAGGCGCTCAGCGGGAGGAGGCGCAGTGCCGTTCTGGTAGGGCAAGGCACGATGCTCCTCCCCATGCTCTGAAGTCGGTACCGTTTCGCCAAATTGTGCCTTGCTCGGTGACTGCGAATGAGAGGTGGGGGTACCATTTGCGACGAAAGGTGCCTGTTCGGGCGAGAAATGGCCGTTGTAAGGGTTCGAGTAGCCGTCCGGACCACTAGGAAACTGGGAAGGGCGGAAATCAGAGCCGTTTGCGTACGTGGGATCAGGCGGCGCAACTGTGGTTGGGGGCATGTGCCAGGGCGTTCCTGCCTGGGAGAGATGCTGAGCATGACCCGGAAAGAAGGGCGCAAATTGCTGGGGACCAAAGCCAGGTGGAGGACGGGGCAGCACATGCTGTTCGTGTGGATGCAGCTCTGGCTCTTGAGATGTCACAGGAGGTGCCGGTGACTCATTTGCGCTCCTGAAGACTAGGGCGCCTGCACTGAGCTGGTGTCGATGCGATGGAGTGTCACTCCCCTCTGCAGGCGGCGTATCGGTCTTGTTCGAGGGATAGAATGGTGGAGGCAGGTGAGAGGGTATGGTCAACTTGCGATGCACCCCGTTGACGGCTGGCTTCGTTTCGGCGCTGGGCTCCGTCGGCGGGGGAGGCTTCTCGTCGGCATGTCCATTGGTATGTCCGTTGACTTGGTTTCCTGCATCTTCAAAACTTAGTGCGTGTTGGACATTAGAAGCAGCCCACAGCGGAAACCTACCCTGAGCGTCTGATGGCGCTTTGTGCCCATTCTGCGATGGGCTAGCCAAGCCATCTGCTGGTAACTCTCCCTTGTCGACAGCAGAAACGTCCGACTCGGGTGTGAGAGGGGCTTGCACAGGCTCTGCATGCTTCTGTTCCGCGTGCTCTTCGATCTGCTTGTCCGGCACTCTTTGCGGCTCCGGCTGCGGCTCCGATAGCTGAGCGGCGGCGCCTTTGTGGGAGCCTTCTGGGGTAATGGGTCTGGCAGATGGCTGAGACTTGGACAGACGGTATGGGATGGCGGGCACGATGCGCGATCCTGGACGACGGTGCTGCTTCTGCGCGAAGCCTGGGCGTGCGGCGGTGTCGGCCATGTTTGCTAGGAAGGTGGTAGTCTAAGTGCGACAGCGGATGCGGAAGCGGCTCCAGGTAATTGCAGCTTCGTGGTTCTTGCCAATTATCCTGGAGCGCCCTGGGACGGGAGATGTGTGCGGCGAGGGTATTTGCGAGGTGGGGTTAGTCGACAGCAAAGAAGTCCAGGCAGAGATGGAGAGATGGCTTCCCCACCAATTTTAGCTCAAGCACTCTGAGGTCATGGCCCTAGCTTAAGCTCCATTTGTCATCTCCCACCAGCCATCACTGAGACACGGCGAGGCGACAACTTTTCTTTGTCTTGTGTCGTCTCATGCTGTGTCCATTTCCAGCCAGGGTGAAAGACTCCACGCTAACCTCATCGGCATCTATACCTCAGCTTGCACTGGTCGTGCCTTCCTCGCCAAGAGAGAACGCGACTTCTTCGTGCTACGCTGCAAGGCATACCTAGAGACATGGTTACACAGCCAGCGTCTCCTTCCTTGAAGAAACAACCTTCCGTCACATGCCATCAACACTAGACTGTCTTCCGCATACCCCATTCTCCTACTATCACACGTCATAACACCGAGCTCGTCCTCATTTGCTCTATATTTCCTAGTCCACATTGCCTTTCGTTACACCTCTAGCATGATCCTAGGACAAGACCAACCATCCTACCATGACAAGACCTCCATGCCGCTCTCCAAGCCTGCGCGTCTTGTCAAGGACCATCGCTGCCCCGATTGTCGCGAACGTGACATGGGAGCCACCTCTGCCAAATACTGCTTGACGACTTGTCCTCATCAGCATGAATTCACCCCTACTCGTTCGTTGGCTCCCACGTGGATGCTGTCAAGTAACTAAGTGATTACAGCAAACAGATTTAGCATCTTGGCAGAGCTGAACCAGTCGACCGCCGAGACGAGATAGGATTTCGATCTCGTACCCACCTCGAGTAGAAGCACAAAGCGGCGAGGCAAGCGGGGTGGAAAACGACACAGAAGCAAAGAAACGTCTAAGAAGGCCACTCCAGGGCGCGATCACAACAGCATTAGCGTGCTGTGTAAGAGACTCGCTGCGTTACGTCTCCATAGTGACGAGCCGTCCCAACCAGGGATGCCAGAAACTCCCACCCATATTTCGAGTGCCGCAACTACCAAAGCTACCTCCTTTGATGTCGACAGGCCTCTCTGGGCCCCACAGTTCCTGCCGAACTCCATGGCTGCTGCGACCATCCCTGCGCGGACAGCGGTGATATCGGAGGAACACAGGCTGCCCGACGAGTCGCAACCATGCCAGATCAAAATGCTGCAATCTCAACCCTGCTTCAGTGGTTCAAAGGCTGAACGAAAGAATCCACAATTTTTCCCACTTTCCGCGTTTCTTGCCTGCCCAGACCCTTCAGGACGGTATCCATCCAAATCCAGATTCCTGGGAGCAAGCTGTGTTCAGAAAGACTTGCGTTGTTCAGAGTCCTTCGTCCCATCCGCGTTCTCGTCTTCTACAAAAAATGCAGTGAAGAGAGCAGCATACTGTGCACCTGCATCGAAGAGTCTCGAAACAGTTCCTATCAGGTCCACGTCCGACTCAGATGTCCAGCAGGAGAAACTGTCGTTACCAACACCTTTAACACAGGTTTTGAAGGCGCCCCGTCCAATGCTCTTCGACTTTCCTACGAGATGCAACTTGCCACCCTATGCGTCTACAACACCCCCGATACAAGTGGCGCCAACTATTCTGTTTACCGAACATGATATAGCGAACGATGGGAACCATGGTTCGCCTTCTCATTGCAGCTTAAGACAAGGACAGCCTTACCTCGATGATGTACGCACAATCGTCAACTCACATTTCCATGGCCGTTGGCAACGCCCTTTGGTGGCAGCTGACCCTGATACGCCTCCCGCATGCAACAGTTTTCCTTTGCAACCTAAGAAAAAATCGAAGTTCTTCGCCGATGGGCATCTGATCGGGCATGATAGCATTCCCGCATATCAGCAACCTGTGACTGAGGCCCCAGTTCTCACAGACAACGATGCAGCCGCTCTTATCGACTTATCCACCCCTATACCACCAGAAGACTGTTCTCGTTCACCAGTTACAGATTTGTACGATAGGCTAGAGACAAAGCGTGCGTGGAATACCGATTTCGCTTCAGGTGCACAGGTACCAAACTTCGTAACAGCGGATATATCTTCATTGGACACTGTTACCTTGTCCGATTCCTACGTTTGTGGAGAGTCTCAGCAGCGCATGTCACCACTACCCAAACCCCGCCCTGTAGACTTGGATCCAATCAAACAGAATTATCGCCGTCCGATTCTCAGTACCGTCTGCTACCTGGAAACTGACATTGGAGAGAGTATCTCAGATTCAGACGCTGCTGAGTACGATATGGTTAGTCCAGTATCCAGCCAAGATACATGGGTCGAGCTTTCAAACCTTGCGCAATGCAGCTTCGACATGGCGTCTACCAGCGATGACGAGAGCGATGAAGAAAATGACGAGTCTTACTGCGGGTCTTACTAGGCGGAGACTTCTACTGCATGTACCAACGACAACCAATGGACACACGACGGAGTAGATACGAGTGCGATAGAATGGCCCACTGTGCAAGAGGCGATGAAATTGGAACACACTAGAAGTGGCGGGAGTCCAGGCTCGACGATGGACGATGATGATGACCCCAACTACTGGGATGGCGTTACCGATTGGTTCATGTGATTTCCCATTCTCTAGGTCGAAAACGGTCGTGCTTCGTGTTTTGGGTGATGGGATCACGGTAGTCTAGATCTGAGAGTTGATCCAAGTCTGCTTGTCCCATCTCCATGAGGTCTCCAAAATCCCAAATCACGGTTCGCTTATCTGACGTTGAGTCTCTTCTACGATCACTCTGACCTTATGTATTTCTGCTTTCCAAAGCTTCAATAACATATGCACATAGACCAACGATAGACACTTGGACTGTTTCTGGCTTCCATTGAAACGCATCAAACAATGAGCTAAATGTCTAAGCATCCCTGAATACCTCGCCTTCAAACTCCTGACACAACTCATGCCATGGAAGCCATTCACCCTTGTCCGACTTCGCTCCACCCTTCTCGGCAATTGGACTCCACCATGCTTGCTCTTTCCCATCATCATCGTGCACGACAGCGACGGGACCAACCGGCCCGGCCGCATTCGACTCAAACAACTTTCTAGAATGGTTGAAGTACCACATGCGATCCCAGACTGAGACGCGCAGCGACTTCAGTCCGTCTCGATGAGCATTGTGGTGAATGAGACCAGGAACGACGCTCGTCCACATGTTGGTATAGAGAGGGACTTCACGCCAGGTTTTATCTTCGGAGAAGCTGGAACCGGGAGCTATGACTGCTGGGCGAAATGGTGGCTGCGAGTCTGTGACGTCTTGGGCGAGGTCGTGTACGCGTGCTGGCGCAATTTTGAGCTCGGCGGAGGCTTGCGCGATGGACTTGGGGTCATCATATGTCACCCATGCTGAGTCCTCCTCTGCAAACACCGTCGGGTGGCCAAGCAGACTAGCATAATCCAACCCGATACCGAACTCATCGGGTTTTCCTCCTTTGTGCTCGCGCAAGTGTCGCTCAGACTGTGGGTTGAGGATACTGTTCCTACCAGTTAACCAGTCTCCCATCTTCTGGAAAACATTCCGATGCCGCTGTCTCATGACCTCTCGCTGGAACTCCTGGTCTCCGAAGATTTCACTGAAGATCTTTTGATCACTGCCGAAGTTCCGGTCCTTTTCTGCCTTTTCCATCGCCCGCTCGAAGAGGGCCTTCATCGCCCCTACGCGACCCATCGCATCGCCAGAGTTGAGATAGCGTTGCCGGAACTTGACGTATGGGTTCTTCTCGAATCCAATATCCGTATCCGTTTCGGGGCCGTAGATGTCGTTTGGCAGCGAAGACTGCGGAACAGCGTAGCAAGGTGGGTCTTCTGGCTTCCATGGCCAGCACCGCTTCTGCGCAGAAAAGATGATGTTTTGGGTAATCCCTTCTGCAGCGGCTGCTTTCGAACCCATAGTCTGCTGTATCCGCGTGCTCGCCTCGTTGTTGATGGCGTGGAAGCGCGATACCAGCGCGCTGGGACGCAGTTGAAACCAAATATCATATCCATCCACAAGTAATAACAGGTCGTCGTTGCGCTCCGGACCGAGTGTACGCAAATACTCCAGTACACCACTGATCTTGGCTAAATGCGAACCTCCAGCCACGAGCGTCTTATCGTCGAATTTGGCACCCCAGTTGATCAGCGTTGGAGTTGGATATCCAGCCACTGCAGCACTTAGCATCGTTTTGCAAAGATTGACATCTTTGTGATCCGCAGGGATAAGAAGGTGAAGGATTGCGGACTTCTTCGGTGTATCTTTCTTGCCAGAAAATGGAGAAGAGAGGGATGAGGGTATAGAATTTGGAACAAGGTGACGGTCACCGTTGACAGCAAAGAGTAAAATGACAAGGAGTATGAAAGTCGCTGCAACGAGTACCCGGCGCCGTCGACTCAGAGTCGGTAGTCGTCCGACTGCGGCGTCCAGGTACTCGCTCGAGATTTGCTTGTACCCACGCATCGATTATGCAGATGCAGTCACACGGCTGGAGTGCGACGTTTGCACTATGTGAGCTGGCAAAGCACTTGAACCTGAGCAAGCGTATGGCACATGCCGGCGATGAGCCGTGTGTGATATCAGTCCGCTTTGCTAGTATAGTATACAATCTTACATTGGGACTACTCGGATCCCATAGCCGTGTGGCGTTGGTAGCAATGTTCGCTAGTTTATTGTCGATCCCACTCCGGGAAATGGCGGATGGACGTGCAGGATGTGCGTACCGAAGTGTGGTGGCAGGCATCGGAACAAGTCTGCCGAGACTGGCTACTAGTGTCTCCACGGCATCTGACACCTATTCGGTCGATTACATATCATAGTAAGCGTAGGATTTCTAGCGAGGAGCGCTGATACGAGGAGGTGTGGAAAATAAGACTAGACGTATATTCGCCAAAGACAACATGTGGCGGAACCTTGGAAGTAAACGATTTCGTGTAAGGTATCTATGATGGTATCGATATGTAATTAATATAACTCTCGCTATTGGAAGATTCAATGGTATATAGTCTCCACAAACGAGACATCTTCAGGTCCCGACTCTGCACTGTACAAAGCGCGCTCGTAGGACCCACAAAGGGCTTCCCATGGGAGCGCTTCTCCCTGATCACTCCAAGCTCCAGATTTCTCTTCAACCTTGCGTTCTGTCTCATCGTATGGTATGTTCTTTGTCCAAGAAACCCCATTGATAAGGTCTGATCCGATCTGCTGATCCTGTATCTGAGCGGACGCACGCTGAAGGCGTTCAGCATCTTCGAAATACCACATGCGAGGCCACCAAGTGTTTCGGAAGGACTTGTCGCCTGTGAAGTGCAGCAGTGGAAAAGCCTGCCCCGTGACAGTGTTGAACCCGAGAGACACGTTACGCCAAGAAGTCTTTTGTAATGCTGCGTCGTCAGAAATGGCAGCAAAAGGCTTCTTGGATTGTAACACATCTTCCTGCAGATCTATGCGGTACGGCTCTACAGACGTTGATGTTGACGGAAGCGAAGACCGGTTTGTCATCATCCACGCTATATAATTCCTGTATCCAGCGGCTGTCTGGAATAAGCTTGATCGGTAATCTAGACCAATATGATATTCAGTCTTCTGACCCTCCTCAAGCACCGGTAGACCAGCTTCTTGTACCTCTTGAGGTATCCCATAAGGCACATCATCATGCGATAATATACGCGAATATTCCTGGTCGCCCCATACATCCGCAAAGTATTTCTGGTCAGAGTTGCGCAACACGTACTCGGGATCATACGTCTTATCGATCTTCTCTTGAGTCGCACGGAACATATCTCGCATTTCTGCCGCGGGTCCGATGATGGTGCCGGAGTTCAACCAGCGTGGTCTTGCGTGTAGCATATCGCCCCAACCGTCGGTATAAGGGCCAAATGCGTCGGGTTGGAGTGGCGATTGTGGTACAACCCAGCATGCTAAACGCTGTATATCTTCAGGGAAGCATGTTTTATCCGGACCAAAAAGGATGCTGTTGTGCATGTTGTGTTTCCGCACATGACTCTTGCCATACTTGGCAATCAAACGCTCGTTTGCAGTAGCCGTTTCCTCGAAGTATCGTTTTAACAAAACGTCCGGACTGAGTTGGAAGGTGATGTCGAATCCGTCCAGGAGAAGGACTATGTCGTTATCCTGAATGCTGGTTAGGTTTTCGAGATAGCGAAGAGGACCTGCGATCTTCGCAAGGTGGGTTTCTGCAGCATTGAATGCGCCCTCTCCGGCCCAGTCGATCAAAACAGGGGTTGGGTACGAGAGGATGGAGGCGGAGAGAAGGAGGCGGCATAAATCAAGACCGCTGCTGGTAGCCACTATGAGTAGGTGAAGACGTGACTCTTTAAGACTGCTCGTGAGCGCATCTTGTGCCGTGGCTCCACGTATGGCGTCGAGTGATCCAAGACGTAGCGCAGTCCAGAGAAATATCAGGGTCGCAAAAGCCACGATTCCAGCGGCGAGAGTCCTGGGACGAGGCATGGCGCAGATGTGTTGAGCCACAACTCTCTAGAGTTGACTATGATATGATCAATGGTAAGTTAGTGCTAATTTTAGTCTGCTCACAGCCAAGCGACGCACGCCTTGCGGTGCATTCCGTGTGATCCCGTGGCAAGGCATGTTGTGGCGTCATGTATGGTATTCTACTATGGTTTTGCATGAATTGCATAATGCATAAAGAGGTTGATGGAGCGAGGCAGATTCCGCTGCGAAAACGGGAAGAACGGAACGTTGGCGCTTCGCTTGGCGCCACAAGCGATCGGTTGGACGTGCTCATCACTCATATCCATGACTAGCGTGCCACACTAACAAAAGCCTGATGCGACAAGTCATTCGTTCATCCACTGGCTCTCGCCTTTGCCCTAAGCTCTATGCTACTGTACCACGCTCCGCCTACCAGAGCTAGGAGTATGCCGGCTCCATTCATGGGACTGACAGGCACGTCCCACAAGAAAGCTCCCAATACAATGGTTAGACATTGCTTCAAGTTCGCGCAGATAGTCAACGTCAGTGCGCCTGCCAGCTTGTTCGTCTCGAAAGACGCGACATTAAGGCCAAATGCAAGCAGGCCATTACCCGAGACTGCCAGAATCCTCTCCGCTGTCAGATGCCCAGCTTTTACGAAATCAAGGAATTCCGAGAACTCGCCAATGAGTACAGAATAGAGCAGAGATTGCACAGCAGCCAAGGGACCCATGCGGAGGAGCAGCTCCAGTGCGGGTAGTCGCAGGCGCCCTGTCATCAAACGGTTGGTAACGACCGTCTATTTTGATTGTCAGAATCCTTCGTGAATAATGTACATGATCCTTCGGATTCTGCTTACCTTTATGGCTGCGAGAACCACACCGATAAGAGTTAGAGTGAAACCCAGGGCGGTGAAGTAGTAGTCGCCCTAGAGATTGGTATACGAAGTCAGCGTGTGTCTCGCATGTATTTCGTGCAGGGGCGTTACTTACGAAGGTCGCTAGACCAACACCCAGCATTACAGGGACAATAGACAAATATGTTATGATAGCATATCTTCTAGAGAAAACGAGGCGATAGATCAGGATCGTAAAGAGAGGACAGGTTGCCCGCATGATCTGATGGAAAGGAACTGAAACCATAGCCCTGTAAGTCCTCATTAGTGATTGACTCAGGGTCGGAGGGGAGGGCACAATTGCTTACAGCGACAGGTTGGACATGGCAATGTTCAGCGTGAATAGGAGCGAGAACATGAAATGTACCAGGTGCTCACGCGTTGTCAGTCGCGTCAAATGGAAATGTCCGAACATCAAGAAAACCAAACTTCCAAGAGCAGCACTCCCAGTGTGTACTGCTGTCAGAATCCATGGGAATGGGAACTGTATGTTCTGTTAGCTCGCTGGTCACACCCAATCTGATACGTGCTACATACCGAACCCATAACTGCTTTATTGTAGAAGGTAAGACTCAGATTCATTATGAAATAAGTTGCCAGAAACACGAAAGTCTTCGTCCGGCTGACGGCCGGTTCGGTTGCTCGATGAGCAAGCTCCTGCTTCTCCTCATGTTGACCCTCGAGATCTAGCAATGGTTCGTTCTCTTTGAAGAGGTGTTCAGCAGGATACTCCTCGTCCTCGCTGGTTGATTGCTTTGGGATCGGCTCAGGCTGAGTCATCTCAATTTTTTCCATGTTGCTATTGTCTTTGTTGATTGAGAGGGGAGAGTTGTGTGCGCGCTGGCAATGGGGCTGCGTACAGTCAAAGACTCGTCCAATTTGAGGTGGCTGAACCGATATCTGGGCCGACAAGGGGTGGTAGGAAGAGACTATGGCGCCACTGCGGCTATGACCAACAAAGCTACTTAGCTTCTCATCATCAATTTCGGAGACTGCTGCGGTTCGCTAACGTCTTAGCCTCTTTACATGCATGGCTATTCACGCCCCGCAAAGCATGATGTATGCCATGTCACGCGATGAATCCTCGTAGCGTAAGACGGGGATGACCGGATTTAGGTACTGTATCTCCAGCCTGAACGAATAAGGTGTGATGACTGCCTCTATGTGTTGGCTCACCGATACAATGCTTGCAATTAGCTGCGCCATAAAGCCTAGCTCAGCCGTTATCTTAGCCACACTGCCTCACCTTGTTGTGATTATCTGTTGCCGAATTCCGATATTAGCTCCTTGAACATGGTCTATTTTTGTTAGTGTTGTGTAGTACTTCGATCCTCTGCGATGTCCTCGGACCAGAGGGAAAAACTGAACAACTCGGCGTGGATCTAGAAATTTTGCAACAAGACTAATCGAACGCATGAACGCATAGCCGCACTTTGCTCAATCCAGCAGCAAAGTTGAGCCTCGCCGAGTATTGTGGGGTTTCCACGCTAAGGATTACATCACTGACTTTACGACCGACGTTGCTAAGGCTTGCTTGGCAGGCACCCCGTCAATACCTAGGAAGCCGTGGCGACCCCGGCACTTCCGAGGCGCTAGTGCTCAACTCCTGACCAAACGCTTCCAAACGGTCCAATACGTCAAGGTCCATGCCCGGCACAGTAGGTGCAGATTGGTACTTTGTGAATAAAACCTAGGTGGTAGAAGATGCCGATAGCCGTCCAGGCGAGTATGAGTGCGGGTGGTCGCTCGGTGCTTGTCCGCGGCTTGCGGATATCTCATTCGAGATCTCAATAGCCTTGTGTACCTATAGGTATCCTTCTGGCTTCCACAGCGACTACTTCATCATTGTCCAACTGAGCAGACTAGTTGAACCCCCCTTCACATTCTTTCTCAACTATCTTATACCTTTCATGTCTACCCACGCGCGGCAAGATGCGCCTATTCCGGCACCCTCATACCGCTCCAGCAACGAGTCCAAGCTGTTTGGCCGCATAACTAAGATATGCTGCGTTGGTGCAGGATACGTGGGAGGGCCGACTTCGGCAGTCATGGCGAACGCGAATCCCGACATCCAGGTAACAGTAGTCGATTACGACAGCAAGCGTATTGCTGCATGGCAATCAGACGAACTCCCCATATACGAACCCGGCCTCATGGAGATGGTCAAACCATCACGCGACGGTATTCCAAACAAGAGGGCACCAAACCTCTTCTTCTCCACAGATGTCGACCGCGGCATTGCCGAAGCTGAACTCATCTTGTTGAGTGTAAATACCCCAACCAAGACACTGGGCCAAGGTGCAGGACATGCGAGCGAACTGTCGTATTTGGAGTCTGCTGTTCGAAAGATAGGAGCTGTAGCGACGGACAATAAGATTATTGTAGAGAAGAGCACTGTACCTTGCCGAGCAGCAGACACACTTCGAGACGTTCTGAGAGCAACAAGCAAACCTGGAGTAGAATTTGAGATATTGTCGAACCCCGAGTTTTTGGCCGAAGGAACCGCCATTCAAAATCTCTCGAATCCCGACCGCGTACTGATCGGCTCTCTGAAGACACCCCAAGGACTGGCGGCTGCACGAGCCCTTGCCCAGATCTACTCTGCTTGGGTCAGCGCGGAGCGTATCATCACGATAAACCTATTCAGTTCAGAGTTGGCAAAGTTGGCTGCAAATGCTCTACTTGCTCAACGAATCAGTAGTGTGAACGCATTGGGTGCCATGTGCGAAGCAGTAGGTGCAGATATCGATGAGGTATCCTACGCTGTCGGACTAGACAAGCGCATTGGGTCTCGAATGCTCAAAGCATCGGTCGGGTTCGGTGGCTCTTGCTTTCGCAAAGACATCTTATCCTTGGCATATATCGCGGAGTCACTGAACTTGTTCGAAGTCGCTGCCTACTGGCGATCGGTAGTCGACATCAATGAGTACCAAAAGGACCGTTTTACCCGCCGTATTGTGCGATGCTTGTACAACTCGCTCTCGAATAAGACACTTGCAATCCTCGGCTTCGCGTACAAGAAAGACACAGGGGATACCCGTGAATCAGCAGCCATCACAGTCGTCAACAACCTTCTCGCAGAGGGTGCGAATGTCAGAATCTACGATCCCCAGGTCAAGGAATCGCAAATAAGGCACGATATCGAGAGCAGTAACCCACACCCGCAAAGCATCAAAGGCAGGCTCGCCGTCTGTTCTTCGACCTATGACGCGTGTACGGACGCCGACGCCGTGGTTATATTGACGGAGTGGGACGAATTTAGCAACAAGAGCAGTTCTGCACATGTCCGTGGAGACTTGGTACGTAGTGGCGACGTGGATGCAATGCGCAAAGAGATATCATGGAAGCGCATCTCGCAAGTGATGCGACGGCCCATGTACGTGTTCGACGGGCGTAATGTCGTCGACCCTGTGCCTCTGGAGGCATTGGGCTTCCGATACGAAGGCATCGGTAAATCGAGGGAGTTGTAGTAATTTTTGTTCGTTTTTTGTTCTTAGATATCCAGCTCGTATAGCATAATTGGGACGACACACATACCTAGGTATCCAATGGGCTAGCACCTTGGGCATGGCCTTCGTTGGAATTCCGTTAGTAATAAACGATAGCAAAGAAAGCCTCATGATAATATCGCTGTACCAAAGGTGCGACTTAAGGATACCGGCCTTAGACAACATTCCAGCTGTGCTGCTATGATGGTTGATCTTAGGGACTGCACTGTTGATGATTATGCTGCCCCGCCCCCACGCTTACCGTGTATCGGATTAGCGCCGAGGCTTGACATCGCTGGGGCTTGACATCGCTGGGGCTGGACAGCTTTCGGAAGCGCTTCTCACTCCCGTCCATCTTGCGCTTCTCAACCCGAATCGCCTCCGCTGTCCAGGAAATGCAGCAACAGTAGCACTGCCGAGATTCACTCGCATGTAGTGATCGATCCGATCCTCATAAGACTATGCTGGCTTGATTGACTAGTTTCAGCAGCAGCTTCAGTTTCGCACAACTTTCCTCGTGTTCTTCTTGTACGCGCCGTCAGCGAATGACTTTCGCGGCCACCCATGTCGATGGATCACAAGCTGTCACAGCCTTGCTGTGCCGCTCTCCTGCATATCCCAATCCTTCTCAGGGCTCCGTGATAGTCTCTCCCGTTGCTGGATGCTCCTTGCCTAAAACTTCTTCGTCTCCAGCTAGCCTCTCCGCTCTTTCTGTCATGGAGGCTTTTGGCGTAGCAGCGAACATCATCTCAATCATCCACATCACAACCGAGGTTGTTCAGCGGCTCAATGATTTCAAAGCGACGGTCGAAGGCCTACCTAGGGCGCTAAAATCACTCAGCGTCGAGCTTCCCACGTTGATCAACTCTCTGAGGCGCATTCGGCAGGCTATTGAAGATGGACGTGTGTCTCAAGAAAGTCAGGAAGCGTTGGAGCCTCTTATCAAGGACTTTGAATTCCAGATTCAGTCCTTGTCGGATATCATACTCAAGATGCGTCCAAGGGTGAATTCGAATACAGCTCGGAACCTCAAAGCTGTTGCAAGCTTTCGTTATGACAGCGAAGTCAAGCAAATAGAAAGCGTGATCAGAAACTATGTGTCTACTTTGACGTTAGAATCTACCATCGCGGCTGATAGCAGAGGTACCACAGGTACGTTATTGTCGTTCGAGATGAACGCCTAATACATTTACTTCATCCAAACCCTGATCTCTCTCAGTTTCACCACTTCTTCCTAAGCCGAGATTCATCTGTCCCTTCGGAAGGGACCTTGATTTCGTCGAAAGATCCGTCCTTGTTGAACTATCCGCCTCAAGGGGGCCTGGATCGCGCCACGCACTTGTAGGAGGAGGCGGCATCGGGTATGTGCATCATAGCCCTATATATAGTCGCATGCTATGCGGACTGCTGTACGAAGTGACGCAGCTACTAAGATATCGAATAGGAAGTCCCAAATTGCGATTGAATACGGATATAGAGTTCAAAGGGCCTCTCCCAGTACGTGGGTCTTCTGGATCGACGCGGACAATGTCATGAAAATGGAAGAGGGATTTCGGGAGATTGCGAAAGCCTTGCGCATCTATGGGTCGAGTGATAGAGACGCAGATGTCTTCAGTCTCGTCTATGACTGGCTGCGTAACGAAGCAAACACAACATGGCTGATGATTATCGACAACGCGGACGACAAGGACGTATTCACCCATCTGCCACCCAAGTACAAAGGATCCGATCAGTCCAAGGAGATAAGAGAGTTCATACCGCAATCCTCGAACGGATCGGTTCTGGTGACGTCACGAAGTCGAGACGCTGCATTCCAAGTCACTTGTAACTATAAGAACATCAAGACGGTGGAACCAATGAGTGAAACAGAAGCACTCATTCTCCTTCAAACGCAGCTAGAAGACGACCATGAGATTGAAGACATGAAGCTGCTTGTCAAGACTATTGACTACATACCACTCGCCATCACCCATGCAGCTGCCTATATCAGCAGGCGTTCAATGCCGATATGCGACTACCTACAACAGCTCCGAAACAAAGATGAAACAGACGTGAGCGCCTTGGAAGACGATATTCCACAGTTGCGTCGAAGTGCAGGGCGATCCAACTCAATTGTCAGGACTTGGAAGATTACGTTTGAGTACGTTCGCAAGACCATGCCTTCGGCTGCTAGACTTTTGTCGCTGATGTGTTTATTCGATCGTCAGGATATTCCAAAAGCGCTTCTCCAGGGGCAGTACGACGAAATGACACTTATATCACAAAGTGTCCACAAACCATGGTGGAGGAGAAGACCTCGTATGCGTAAAAGAAAGAAAGAGCAATGCTCGATACCATTATCCAAGACGCTTTCATGCGATTTCGAGGATGACTGGCTTGTGCTAAGAGATTTCAGTATGATCAAGATAAATAAGGACAGGAGACACTTTTCCATGCATTCTTTAGTCCAGTTCACGACAAAACGATGGCTCATGGAAGACAACCAACTGGATGTCTGGAGCCAGAAATTCATCGACATCCTTAGCAGCAATTTTCATGATTCAGACGACGGCACTTTCCAGAAATGCGAACCGCTCCTCGCACATGCGTGTGCTGCAATCCCATACCGACCATCCAATGCTGATATGCAACCGCTTCGGGCATGGGCATCACTTACAAGGAAGGTTGCACGCTACTATGATCAAAGAACAGGACTTGAGATCGCCCAGGACTTATACCGAGTTGCAGCTGAAGCTTTTGAGATAGCATTGGGGCCAAAGACTTCAGAAGCACTTAAATGCCGCACTCAGCAAGCGTTTATGCTCTTTCAAACGGACAGAAATATGGCATCAGAAACTGTCTTTCGTCATGTTCTCTCTTCACAGCGAGAAGCCCTTGGGCATGAACATCTCGACACGCTCGAAACTATGGATCGGCTAGCTGATGTGTTAGCTTCCCAGCGTCGTCACGCAGACGCCGAGGTATATCATGTGCAAGCTTTGAAAGTTCGACTGCGCAAGTTCGGTCCCGCGCATCCCGCCTCTCAGGAGTCTCTCGTCAAGCGCGGCTATTTTCTCTTGAAGGAAAGTCGTTATTCCGAGGCATACACGACCTGGAAGCAGGCTTCTGAGGCCCGAAATACAACACGCGACGATACCTGGGTCAAAGAGCTGGACTTGATTGGTCTGAGTTTACAGTTATATGGTCGTGCATCGGATGCCGAGCGCTATCTACGAGAGTCGCTCTCCGAGAAGGAGCGCATGTTTGGGGAAGAGAATGATTCCACAGTGCCTGAAGCCGCTGCAACACTAGCGCGCAATCTACTTGCCCAAGAGAATTACACAGGAGCAGAACCCCTGCTACGTCGTGCGATGACCTGGTACGATACATGCAGTTTTTGGAGCAACCCGGTACGCTCCCAGATAATGGGTGAACTAGCTCATAGTCTCTCACAAACGAACAAGCTTGAAGAGGCTGAGGCTTTGGCGAGGACGTGCCTGTCACTACGATCTGAAACAGCTGGATCACAAGCCCGCGAAACTTTGGAAATTATGTGGATTCTGGCTGGGATTCTCAAGAAGCAGGAACGCTCTCTGGAAGCCTTAGAGATGTATCGAAACTCATACAAAGTTGCGATAGAGACGTTGGGAGAGGAACATGCGGACACAAAAGACTATAGACATGACTATGAGGAGCTCAACCAAATCTTGATCCAGGAGAGCTTGGTAACTGCAAAAGGAGACCAGGATAAAGCCATGATAAACTCTGCTGTCAACTTTGGCAATGAGGATGCAGACGCAGGAGCTCAAGAACCTGGTGTTGATGTCTTCCGGTCGATCTCACCAGAGAAGACGGATTATGATTCGATTTTCGTAGCCACTTCATAATTAGTTCGATCGCCAACAACCAAGCAAAGAAGACATCACGTCTGAGCTCATGGGTAATCAGTTCTGCATTGGCGTCATGTGATATCCGGACAAAACAAGATGTTCAAGGGAAAGTGATGATAGATTGCTGAATCGAAAAGCACATGATGAAGAATAAGGGCATGCACATGTCATCTGTTATAGGAAGTTCACAGCGACTTAAGACATACGAGGCTTCTTTTGAGCAATGGCGAAGAAGACGAAACATTGAACGAAAGAGACGAGGATGTTTGAGCTGTGTAAACACTACACCATTCACTGCGCTTTTCAACCCACCCACTGGCGCAACCCCACATTCACATTACTCAACACAGTGCAAGAGCCAAATTTCTACAGCTTACAACGTTCTGACTACGTGATCTAAATGAGACTTCTTCAACTTTCCCCCTTCCATTCTACTGCTCGGCGCGGAAATCGAATTCCCCCAACAGCGCGCCTCCGCTCGCTGGTAGCGTGTACAAGTACACCATGGCATTTTCTGCGCCAAAGATGTTACCTAGGGCCTCAGCGCTTTTCGTACCATTCGAACTCCAACTCTACAGACATTGGCGCCAGTCGGCTCTCGGTATTGTTGACGATGACGATGACGACATCCTTCTCCCCACAGCATTCGAATACAGAGATTTCCTAGAATGGCGCGCGAGTATCAACAACATTCAAGACGTGGAAGACAGAACTCCTGATCCAGCCTTTACAGGGTTTCGATTGGCGGAGCGATGTGAACATCCGTTACACCCTGGGGATCCACGTATAGATGTCCAACAGCAAGAGCAGGGCGAAGTAAACAAGAAGCGTGAGAAGAAACACAAGATAGGTTGGTGTCCGATGTGCGTTGTAGAAATCCATCTCAAGCTGGTTGGCGACCTGTGGGACAAGTGGGAAGAATCGGGTGGCGCATGGCGTATCCTGCCTGCTGGTAGTACCGGTGAGAACTTCCAGATTCGAAAACGGGCATACTACAAGCAAAAGACCGATACGGTCAACGATATCGATGACTTGGAGGATATTGCGCGCTTGGAGGCTGCATGGGAAGCTGCGCACCCTGCCGTAGATGTCGAAGTCGTGCGTGCGTATAGCGCCAAGACAGCGATAGCGGTGTATGCAAAGAGCGTTCAGTTTCCTGCACGCTTAGCGGAAGTTGATCAGGTCACACCCAGAACACCCTCGCGGAAGCGTGAAAAGAAATGCCTCTCTTATTCACCAGACACACCAGAGGATACTAAACATCGCTCACGTGCTCTCTACGCTCGGAGACACCCCAGTTACGACCCCGAGTCCCCACATCGCTGTCCTGAGGACAATGGGTGGGCTGAGACCTCATTCAGCAACGACTGGGAGTATAATGTACGGCAATGCCGCCTTTTGTTATGCGACAAAGATCCGAAGGAAACGAACGTTGCCTACTGCGAGCTCACGGACGAGAACTCTAAAGATGCCCTCATCAAGGGTATCGAAGAGTGGTTCAGTATGATGCAGGGGGATTGGAAGGCGTCCTGGGCTCGCACATTACTTACTACAACCGATTTGTTTGTCGTTTGGAGAAGCCCATCTGACACTGAAGAATCTGATAATGATTTCGATAACTGGGACAGGCTCGAGACGCTCGTGGGTACTAATCTGGAGGCACATGCACTACGAATCGGCGACCTTACGGATGCTGATATCGAGCCGATCCAAGGACAAACATTGGGGGACTTTTTCGACCAGGACTCTGTCGCATCTGACTCTAGCTCCGAAACGGATGAAGAAGAGCACGAATTATCTGATTCTATGGATCTGAGAGGAGAAGAGGATGTAGTCACTGGAGTGGCTAGACAAGAACGTCAGCTTGATCATATGGCGCTTAGACAGGATGCTGGAACGGAAAATTGTCGACCTGATACATTGTCCAAGCGTTAAGTCATGTTATCTTTAGCAAAACGTTGAGTATGTGACATACAAGAGAATATACCCTGACAGCGAGTTCAAAATTTGCATCATTACTTGTGTCCATTATAAAGTCCAAATATGAACGCCCAGTGATATACGCAAGCCGCAAAAATGTATCCAAACTTTACATAACGATGCAGCAAGAGTTTTGCTTCTTGGCCTGCGAATCTGTTAGCCTGATCTAGGGTGAGGCTGACAATTGTCGGTTACTGACCTGTGTGTAGAACATCTTGCTCGATGCACTCAACTCATCACTCTTCTGAACCAAGTTGTCAATCTTCTCTCCTCGCTCCAAGACACTCTCGATGGTCTTGTGTAAAACGATCTTGGTCTCGTCCAACTCCTTTTGAATCTTCATGATACTGTCGGCTTGTTGTGGGTCTTGGTATTTAACAATGTAGTCTTTTAGCTCGGGGTAGGACATGTTGGCTGGGTCGGTCGCATTGGCAAAGGCGGGCTTTGGGTATTTGGCGAGAAACTCGTCGCAGACTTTGGAGAGAAGCTGATGGGCTACGAGAGAGGGGTATTCGTGGTCGGTGATTATGAGGCCGCAGACACCTTCTGAACGGGCGTAGGCGTGGAATGTGTAGTCTGTACACGCTTGATCAGTACATGGTTGCGCACAGCTTACGACCAACATACCTGACTCTTCGACATCTTGTCTTTGTCCTGGAAGAGTTCTCGCAGCGACTGTTTTTGCTGTGAAGGACATCTAGGCCACTATCAACTTGTGTCCTTCAATCCCTATGCTCTGCCTTGACTAGGGCTGTGTGGTACGGAGGGTGACGTACGAACTCGGAGACGCTACCGCGTGTAAAGCGGCCGAAACTACTCAGGTCGCGCTCGGCGGTGAGTTCGATCGCGGGCTTTTTCTCATTCTTGAGAACCTATAGATCTTATCATCAGTGGTTGCCCGGGATTGGAAGCAGCGGTGAATGGGCGCCTACACCAATGTAAAGGACCTTCATATTGTTGGCCGGGTTTTCCAAGTATAGGGCGAGGGGAAATAGTCGTAAGGTAGGATCGTGTGGGCCGTAGTTGGCGTGCTAAAGTCGTGGTGAAGGGTAGGTTCGGAGTAGTCGCTTGAGATGGCACACCTCGCGCCAGCATGCGTCTCATGGCCTGGCCACCTGAGCAGGGATCTGGCGGCGCTGATTATGTCATGGCGCTAATGCGCGGGGGCGGGGCAAGTTCAGCCGAGTACAGCCCAGTCATTCATCATCGATTCTGCCAAGCCTGACAACCACTCAAACCACGCTCCCCATTGTGACGGCCGGTCAAACGCGCAGACTTCCATCACCTTGACCACAACCCCCAGGCAACCCGCGATCATGTCGCCCGCCGTCGAGGATGCTCATGCCCAATGGCTCCAACAGCTCGATGCTATGCGCAAAGCCATTGCCGAACTCAATCTTCCTGCCCATGCTGAAAAGGTGCCAGCGTACGGAGACGACCTTGAATTCGACCATGACGATTTCTCTGCAACTGCCAGCGGTGAAGACATCTGGGATATCATAAGCGATGAGTACGAGGAAGAGTACAGCAGTGACCATCTGGACCAATTCCTCGACGGACAAGTTACAGCAGAAGCTTATAGCCAGCAATGGCTGGCAGAAAAATGTTCCCAGGTAGCCCGAAGCAGTTCTGGCTTGGATTCTGGAGCCTTGAAGGAGCAGATAATGGCAATCTTGTCCAGTGATAGCAATGGTAACGCATCATACCAACTATCAACATACCTAGTATACTGACTAGAATTAGACCAAGAGCTGCAAATGATGCTCGCTGATATTGTGGGCTACGGAGAGCTGGACTTGGTGGCGGATCTAATCTCACATCGAAAAGACATAATGCGATCCCTGCATGAACCTACTCCAGCTCAGGGCAACGGTGTCATGGGCCGTTTACAGACTCGAGCCGAACGTGAAGAAGCGTTGCGCCGAGCTGACTGGGAGCACAAGACAGCTGCATTAGCGCCTGCCATGGACCGAACGGGACCGCAATATCCTCACGTCTACCGGACTCACGAAGCTGGCAACAAGCTCTCGGCCTATGGCAAGAAGTACGCGCTACCTCCAGACACTGTGCACCGCGACAACAACCTCTACGAAGAATACGAGATTCCTGCAGTAGCTGTAGGCACTGTTGGCGTAGGCCGAAAGCTGCTGGAGATCCAGGAACTGGATGGCCTTTGCCAGCGCACCTTCAAAGGCTACAAGACACTTAACCGGATGCAGAGTCTTGTGTATCCAGTTGCATACAGGACCAGTGAGAACATGCTGATTTGCGCACCTACTGGTGCTGGTAAAACAGACGCTGCCATGCTTACAATTCTTAACACTGTGGCCAAGAACGTTGTGCCGAACCCAATTGACGAGCCGGACGCCACTGACTTTACTGTAATGACGGAAGATTTCAAGATCATCTACGTCGCGCCGATGAAGGCGCTCGCTGCCGAGGTTACTGAGAAGCTCGGAAAGCGTCTGGCGTGGTTGGGTATCAAGGCTCGTGAACTTACTGGTGATATGCATCTTACCAAGGCTGAGATCTTGGATACACAAATTATAGTCACTACACCAGAGAAGTGGGATGTTGTCACGAGAAAAAGTACCGGAGACACTGAGTTGGTACAGAAGGTACGACTGCTCATCATCGATGAGGTCCACATGTTGCACGATGAGCGTGGTGCAGTTCTGGAGAGTCTGGTAGCGCGTACTCAACGACAAGTCGAGAGCACTCAATCACTGATCCGGATTGTTGGTCTCTCTGCCACACTTCCCAACTACGTCGACGTAGCCGACTTTCTGCGGGTGAACAAAATGGCTGGCCTGTTTTACTTTGACGCTTCGTTCCGTCCTGTTCCTCTTGAGCAACATTTCATCGGCGCAAAGGGCAAGCCGGGTTCTGCAAAGTCACGCGAAAATGTGGAAAAGGTCGCGTTTGACAAGGTTGTTGAGATGCTCAAGCTGGGTCACCAGATAATGGTATTTGTACATTCGAGAAAAGATACGGTCAAGACTGCTAGGCGTTTGTACGACATGGCTATGGAGGAGCAGTGTACCGACCTGTTCGACCCGCAAGACCATCCTCGGTACGAGAACGCTGTGCGCGACATGAAACAGTCAAAAGGTCGAGAGCTACGTGAACTGCTTGGTAAAGGCATGGGTACTCACCACGCCGGTATGCCTCGTTCTGACAGAAATATGATCGAGCGTCTCTTTGCCGAGGGTGTGCTGAAGGTGCTCTGTTGTACAGCGACGCTTGCGTGGGGTGTCAACTTACCCGCTGCAGCTGTCCTCATCAAGGGCACTCAAGTCTATAATGCCCAGGAAGGAAAATTCACCGACCTTGGTATCCTGGATGTTCTGCAAATTTTCGGTCGTGCTGGTCGACCTCAGTTTCAGGATACTGGTATTGGCTTCATTTGTACGACACACGACAGGCTTGATCATTACATGCGCGCTGTGACCGAACAACAGCCTATTGAGTCCAGGTTTTCCGCCAAACTGATAGACAATCTCAATGCTGAGATCTCTTTGGGTACAGTAACCACAGTGTCTGAAGCTGTAACATGGCTTGGTTACTCGTATCTGTTCGTACGGATGCAGAAGAGCCCGCTGATGTATGGTATCGAATGGTCGGAGATCCGCGATGACCCACAGCTCGTAGGACGACGCCGCAAGCTCATCATCGACGCTGCGCGAATTCTCCAGAGAAGCCAGATGATAATCTTCAACGAGACCACCGAAGATCTTCGAGCGAAAGACGTCGGGCGCATCGCCAGTCAGTATTACGTTCAACAGTCTAGTATAGAGATTTTCAACACCATGATGCGGCCTCGTAGTACAGACGCGGATGCCTTGGCTATGGTCAGCATGAGCGGCGAATTCGACCAGGTGCAATCGCGTGAATCCGAAGAGAAGGAACTTTCAGCACTTAAAGAAGAAGGACATGTCATCACAGAAGTCAAGGATGGATATGCTACATCGCATGGAAAGACAAACTATCTCCTCCAGGCTCATATTTCACGAGCACGACTAGAAGACTTCACACTAACCTCGGACACAAATTACATAACCCAGAATGCTGCACGCATTGCGCGTGCGCTTTTCATGATCGCGCTTAATCGGCGTTGGGGTTACCAATGCCGGGTACTTCTTAGCCTTTGTCAGTCTATCGAACATCGATGCTGGTCTTTTCAGCATCCGCTGCATCAGTATGACCTTCCACAACCAGTTCTGCGTGCGCTCGACCATAAATATCCGTCAATACAGACTTTGCGCGATATGGACGCGATGGAAATAGGAGATATGGTGCATAATAAGAAGATGGGCGGCGTGATCGCCAAGCTTATGAACAACTTCCCGACTCTGAGCATCGAATCTGAGATCGCCCCGCTCAACAGGGATGTGCTACGGATACAACTATTCCTTACACCCGATTTCGTTTGGAATGATCGGCACCATGGTACTTCCGAGTCGTTCTGGATTTGGGTAGAGAACTCCGAGACATCTGAGATCTACCACCACGAGTTCTTCATCCTCTCACGAAGGAAGCTGTACGATGAACACGAACTCAACTTCACGATCCCTCTATCCGATCCTCTGCCTACGCAAGTATACGTTCGCGTCTTGTCTGATAGGTGGCTGGGCGCAGAGACGGTTCATCCCATATCTTTTCAGCATCTCATCAGACCTGATACCGAAAGCGTTTACACAGATCTGCTCAATCTCCAGCCTCTACCAATCGCTGCGTTGAAAAACCCCTTGTTGGAAGAAGTTTACGGACAGCGCTTCCAGTACTTCAACCCTATGCAATCGCAAATTTTCCACTGTCTATATCACACACCCGCCAATGTTCTGCTTGGATCGCCGACTGGTAGTGGAAAGACTGTTGCTGCTGAGCTTGCAATGTGGTGGGCGTTCCGCGAAAAGCCAGGCTCAAAGGTTGTTTACATTGCACCTATGAAGGCACTTGTCCGAGAACGAGTGCAAGATTGGGGCAAGCGACTTGCCGGGCCAATGGGTCTCAAGCTTGTGGAATTGACTGGTGACAACACACCAGACACACGTACTATCCGCGATGCCGATATCATCATCACGACCCCTGAGAAGTGGGACGGTATTAGTCGTAGTTGGCAGACTCGAGGTTATGTTCGCCAAGTCAGTCTGGTTATCATTGACGAAATTCATCTCCTGGGTGGAGATCGTGGTCCAATTCTGGAGATCATCGTCTCCCGTATGAACTACATCGCATCGCAAAAGAAGGATGGCTCTATCCGCCTGTTGGGCATGTCGACAGCTTGCGCCAACGCATCAGATCTTGGAAATTGGCTGGGTGTCAAAGAGGGCTTGTTCAATTTCCGGCATTCTGTTCGCCCGGTGCCCTTAGAGATCTTCATCGATGGCTTCCCCGAACAGCGGGGCTTTTGTCCGCTTATGCAGTCGATGAACAGACCTACTTTCCTTGCGATCAAAGCGCACTCGCCAGAAAAGCCAGTCATTGTTTTCGTAGCTTCGCGGCGCCAGACTCGTCTGACAGCTCGTGATCTCATCAACTTCTGTGGTATGGAAGACAACCCGAGGCGCTTCTTGCACATGTCTGAAGACGACCTGGCCGTTAATCTCGACAGAGTTAAAGACGACTCACTGCGAGAGGCGCTGAGCTTTGGTATTGGTCTGCATCACGCTGGTCTTGTCGAGACTGATCGATCCCTGTCAGAAGAGCTCTTTGCGAACAACAAGATCCAGATCCTCGTCGCGACTAGTACACTTGCTTGGGGTGTGAATTTACCTGCCCATCTTGTTGTTGTCAAAGGCACGCAGTTCTTCGACGCCAAAACCGAAGGATACAAAGATATGGATCTGACTGATGTGCTGCAAATGTTGGGTCGTGCTGGCCGTCCTCAGTTCGACGATTCGGGTATCGCCCGCATCTTCACGCAAGATGCAAAGAAGGAGTTCTACAAGCACTTCCTGCATACTGGATTTCCCGTCGAGTCGTCACTGCACAAAGTGCTTGATAACCATTTGGGCGCCGAGATTTCTGCCGGTACCATTGCCACAAAGCAAGACGCGTTGGACTATCTGACTTGGACATTTTTCTTCCGTCGTCTACATAAAAATCCGTCCTTTTATGGACTCGAAATTTCGGCTGAAGAGCACAACACAATAGCCGCGCAATCCTTGGCCAACGACTATATGATAGAGCTAGTCGAGACTTCTCTCAGTGAACTAGACGAGTCGTCTTGCGCGGTTGTGGAGCCAACAGGCGAAGTAGACCCAACTCCACTCGGCAAGATCATGAGTTACTACTATCTCAGCCACAAGACAATCCGCTACCTTGTAAAGAACGTCAAGCGTGACGCAACCTTCTCGGATGCTTTGTCGTGGATTTCACACGCGACTGAATATGACGAGCTACCTGTCCGCCATAATGAGGACCTCATTAATGCTGAGCTGTCGAAAGCTCTCCCAATTTCTGCGGACGATTTTGGTCTACCCATGTGGGATCCGCACGTCAAGTCGTTCTTGCTCCTGCAAGCCCACTTCTCGCGCATCGACTTGCCAATCTCAGATTATGTCGGTGATTTAAATAGTGTTTTGGATCAGAGCATTCGTATCGTACAGGCATCGATCGATGTACTCACCGAGCTTGGCTACCTCTCTTCATGTGAAACGATGATCTCGATCCTCCAGGCTATCAAGTCTGCTCGCTGGCCGACCGATGGGCCACTATCGATTTTTGCAGGCGTGGAAATCGACAAGGAGAAGAAACGTCTCGAACATCCCAAAGCTAGTCCAAAGACCCTGATTGAGACAACCACTGCACCTTCCGCAGTGCTTGAACGGGCAGCCAAGTTCGCTGGTGTCCCACACGCTGGCATCAAGAGGTTCACCGAACCCGTGTCTCGATTACCTGTCTTGAAGCTCGATCTAGGCAACGTCAATGCACTCAGTCTGGACTTCAAGATCTCACGCCAGAACCCAGCTAGAATGCAACAAGGTGGCATACGTATCTTTGCGCCACGCTACCCTAAGCCGCAGACTGAAGGCTTCTTTGCCATTATCTCGTACTCCAGTACTGACGAGATCATCGTTTTGAAACGTGTCAACTGGCCTGACCCTAACAGGAATAGCGGACATGGACGAGGTGGACGCAGTGCAAACACATCTGGAGGTGCACACTCCAGGTTGCAGGCTTCTACCAAGGTCTCGCTGCCGCCGGAAGTACAGGGTAAGAAAGTGGATATTAGCGTGTTAAGTGACTCGTACCTGGGTATGAAGTGGAAGATTGAGGGGGTTGAAGTGCCTGAAGCACCTTTAGTTGATGCTTACGGGAAGGGCAAGGAAAAGGCTTAGTGGCGCGGATGCAGTAACCTGCTTTCCACATTACATACGCGTGACGCCAGAGGAATGCATAACATCAATGCGCGTATGTAGTTCAATGTACAATTCACAACAGCAAGTACTGTATAACCTCATCGTCCTCTATCCTCAATCTCTCCAAATCGCTTTTGTAATCAAGAACATCAACATGGTTCTCCCCCAGCAGTCTTGAACCTTCTTTATATGCCCTCTCGTACAGATGCTTCGCGTCTCCTCTTCTCCCAGCCTTCTCCATTACAAACCCCAATGTCCACACACTTTCTACCGTCTCTTGCTGCATTCTTCCTAGAACCTTCTCTCTCATCTTCAACGTCTGTCTCGCTACAGTCTCCGCTTCCCGTATCGAGCAAGATGTGCTTTCACGCGCTAGTATATATGCAAGCTCACTGGTGATCTGCAACAACTCTCTGTTTTCCTCTGGAAACAGCCGTCTGTAGCCATCAAGCGCACGTCGGAGGTACGCTTCTGCTTCCTTGTGCTTTTCCTGAGCGACTAACGCTCTCGCAACCCTAACAAGAGATTCATACACCCTTTTGTTGCCGTGTGAGAGTGTCCTTTCCTTATACGCAAGCGCCTCTTGCAGGTACGTTTCAGCTTCTGCGGAGCGGTCGTCGATATGCAGGCTTAAACCGATAAGTTCGAGAGCGTTACACCATTCAACGTCGTGGACAGTAGGAGGTGTGTTGCGATGGTGGAAGGCTACGTTCCACGCGTCGTAGGCGTCCGGGTGGTCATCTGCTCTTAGGGCCCAGAAGGCAAGTTCGTTGCAGCAGCTCTGAACATCAAAGCCGAGAGCTTCGAGTGCAGATGTTACGTAGTTGGTGGCCATAGTGTCTTGTGATTATGGTACAAGCACAATGCCACGGCGATGAAGGAGCCCGTGAGAAGGGCATGCAATGACTTTTCAAGAACGAAGCAAGTCATGGAGATGAACGTGCACGCGTGAAGATAGTAGATCACTGTCATTGATGATGCATGAGTGTCGCTTCGATCACTCATCTACGTGCTATGAAGTCTGTTACTTCTCTTCACCTTCGCGCCGCGAATCGGCATCTGCCAACCATTGTTTGGTATCCGCTTATATCCTTTGCCTCCATCTTCATCGAACGCCGTTCTTCACGCCTGCGCAGCGTTTCTTCCCTCGTTTGTATCTGTACGCTTTGTGCTCATCGCTTCATGGTATGCGGCGCACTGCGTGTGGTAGTCATATGGTGGTAAGTGTGTATCGAACCGCTGCGAACCAGCTCAGTCATCACCAAAGACGATGAAGCTCGCCTCTTCCTCGATCTCGAAGTATATTCCATCACCGTCACCATATTCGTCACCATACTCAGAGCTTTCTTCGTCAGAATCAAGATCCTCCCAATCACTATCTCCGTCGTCATCTTCGATCTCATTGATTGAGTCAAGAGCCAATTGTGACTCGTCGTCTTTGGAAATGTGACTCTCGTCGACCGACTCTTCTGTTTCACCGACATGATAGACCTTAACCTGAGAGTAGTCTTCCGAATCTTCCGAGATCTGATCCTCGTCCTGTTCCTCCAGTGCGACAACTGTATATTTCCCAGGCTCGTATCGAGGAGATCGCCGGTGGAAGTAAGGGTTTGGTCGTCCAGGCGCGAAATCGGTATCTTGAGCAAAGACTACTGTGGCTTGCTTTTTAGTGCGCGGTAGCTTTTCCAAGCACCCAGTCGTTTCTGACCAGTACAGTTCCACCGCCTTCGCTGCGGTTTGCGTCTCTTCATGTCTTGCCTCTGGGTGCTGCGTGGACCATACAGCTTCTTCTTCAGCCATGGCCTCCAATCTCGACAGCTCCTTGAGTGTGCTAATCTTTCCCTTGCACCAGGCGCTATAGACTGTGTCTTGGTGCTCAGAACTGGTGAGTGTACAAGAGGGCGAGTGACCACCAGCACTTTTAAGAGCTTCAGTCAGAACGTTCATGTATCTGACATGCAACTCAATAGTACAGACGGGACATCGTGGTTGTGGCTGGTCCGCTGCTACGGGGTGCATTGCATGCTGACATACCGATGCAACTGGCGAGTCGAATGAAGACGACGTTACTTCGGAACGACTATCTGAGATGTGACCAGTGATATCATCGAACATGTCTGAGAAGTATCCTGAGTCTTGTCGTTTCAGCCACTGGTGGAAGTCTTCGTATTCGTGTGCTGAAGGAATGTAGCCTTGCTCAGCTGGTCTAACGTTGGTGTGCAAGCACTGCCATCGCTTGTATTGTTTCAGCTCCTTGGGCGGCATGATGACGCTTGCTGGTATCTTTGTGCAACTCATGGTAGCGGTGGGTTTTGTGTCTGCCTGTGTGGCGCAGAGCTTTGGTTGCAGTGATTATGTCACGGGGGGCGTAAATGGCAATGTAGAACTGGACGTGCCCGAGGTCTCGTCCGGTAGATGAAGGACGTGGCCGGCGAACAAAGTCACGCGTGTGCGACAACCACGGTTGAGCGGTTCGTTTGCGGAGAACGTGACCACTGCTGCGGGCACTGTCGTGATGATTGTGCACGCGCTGTAAACGGCGGGTATGCGAAGAGTGTTTCGGATCGCGCAGACGCCCTTTGTCACAAATTGAGACTTGTGAAGGCGACGGTCGCTACGTTTCCGCGTCAAACGTCTTTCTTGGACGTTTGCTCTTGTCGCCAGTAGAATTTTATTCGTGTAGAAATATTCGGAGTCGCGGTATCGCGTTCAAACGCGGTGACGGGTGCTGACGGCTTCGCCCAACTTGGCAATCTTAGGGAGATTTGAGTACCAGAAAAAAGCCATGATTTTCGGGCAGATATGATCCATTCCTATCGCGGCTCGTGTTTGTGTGAGTATTGGGAGGGCGTCGCGGCCGTTGATTTGGGCCGGCGTCGGATGCTAATGTGGGGGAGGCGGCGTCCCTGGAGCAGGCGGGGCAGACGCGTCTGCTATGAATGAGGCGGGTGCGAGGGTCTTCTGTCGGGCTTCACTGTCGATCGCGAGTGGTATCGCGTCTTCAGTGTGGGTAGGGGTGTAGGTCCGTTTAGGTGTGAAAGCGTCAAAGAGCTTTCGTGGGCTGGGCTTCGATGGTGCGGGCAGTCCTGCGTCATGACCCTGACTCATTTAGGGGACGCTGTGGCTGTGCCATGACTTCAGCCACTCATTTTACTTCACACATCTCAGCCGACTCTTCACAAAGCAAGCAAAAAACAAAATAAGCTTTCACGTAATACCGGTTTGAACACGGTCCCACGACTAGCTCAACGGCCTCGCTGCCCTGGCAATGAAACACTGCACCTGGCACATCTCTTCGCTCGGCAGCTCAATCTTGAGATTTTCCTGTAAAATCTCAAATTTGAAATCGCCCAGCCCAGCCTTTTCCATGTGCTTCTTCATGTCGCCCTCTTTGTATTGCGGGGGGTTGACTTGGCCTGACTGCTGAACAGCTTCGCTGCTCACATGGCTATACAAATCCTGGACGAACAACACCCCACCAGGCTTCAACCGCCCACCCAAAAGCCGAACAGCATCTTCTGCACATGGAAAGTGGTGCAGAGCTGACCCGACTGTGATGAGATCAAAATTGTGATACTCTTCATCAGCCAAAAGAGCGGGTTCAGGTGGCTTCGACAACAAGTTTCCGACAATGGCCGCAACCTTTCCGTGGCCAGGACCGAACTCGTTCATATTGTTTCTGTACCTCTCAATCATGGCAGAAGACGCATCGACTGCATGGATTGAAGACACGTACGGCCCGAAGATCTGATCACATAGTCAACAGAGAAACCCTCACTTGCACTCCAGTGTCACACACGTTGCTGAGAAATCCAGGTCCACATGCGTAATCTAGCATCCGAACTTCCCTGCCAACCTCTATGCTACCAGGAAGTTTAGCCCAGTCGACGCCGGAGAAGAAAACTCTATCGCGTATCGCCTGGGCGAGCTTCTGGCGATTGGCCTTGTTGGTCGGGCGCTCTTCGAACCAGTCTGATACTTGTCTATTGAACTGTTAGCTCTACAGCACCACAGCTTCTTCGAGTAGTATTACTCACCCTATATCGGTTCCCTGTAGTAGGGAAGTCATTGTGTTTAGAGATGCTCTATCATACAGTACTACATCAATCTGCGAATCGCTACATGCCCGTGGAGCACATTTTATACAGAACCTTTCGAGAACACTTGCTGATGAGTACCCGATTGGTGTCCCTCGAATTTGCATAAGTCTCCGTCTTCACGGTTGTCGGCGACTTTTCATAACCATGTTCGGATACTTGAGAGCTTCACTGGATCAACACAGAGATTGCCCGGTTGGGAGGGCAGAACATCAGAATCAAGTGAACTTAGGGGCTAACTCAACGTAGAGACATACTGTGCGCACTGAATTGTGTGACAGAAAGAGCGTTCCTGGCGTTTGCTCACGATCGGATCGTAAGCTCTTACAGAGTGCATCAACATCAACCAGCGCGCATCGGGAGATTCCTTCCATGCTAACTCGAACAGACACTATCGGCCCTTACCATGTCGACCCTTCAGTCTTCTTTCAACGTCATCTTCCAACGTCATCTGCTTTGGTTGCAAGATCCTTTCTGAGCCCCCGGGTTGTCGCATTGGTGTCCGTCAAGCCGCGCAGTTCCTTCGTAGCACTGCATACAATCGAGAAACAAACAGGTACACTCAGCTTATCCACTACTCGACAGCGTATCACAGCATTGACATAGCCATCACCCATATATACATGTAACTAAGCTAGAAGTCTACGTTGAATCAACACATTTAGTTTTGTTCTGTTACCTCTTCTCGTAGATCCCAGACTCGAAGATTTTCCCACTTCTGTTTGGGGTTTCCCTGCATAGAGCAGAATGCATCGTATTTGCTTTTGGTGCGCAAATGCTGTTGTACATTGCCGATGCCTAGGCAATCTCTTCGTTAACAGGATCAGCGCCGTTTGGACCCCAATTCTAGGTATTGTGCGCTTACCGGTAAGCTGCGGACCATTAATGAGCCACTACGCCTTGTGGAACCTAAAACTGCAAAGATGAGCTCAGCTCGAGACACGGTTCGAGCGCGAACTTTGCAGTCGCTGCAACGCTGCTTATCCATGTCTATGAATCCAAGCCAGTCACAGAATGGTCTTGCCAGTTGACAAGTGAGGCGACTCGCAATGGTTATATTGGCAATGGCTGTAGTGGGGTCCACGGCTTGAGTACGCTGTCCTCTCCCCGTTGCTACTCAAGTGTGACTCCAGATTCCGGGGTCAAAGTTGCGGGGCTGTCGGAAGCCTCCCGCGCTTCGCTACATCCTCAAAGGAAGATCACTACTCGACCCCACCACACCGTATATCAACGAGCGAGCAGGGCTTATCTTCTCCAGCTGATATGCGCTCGGCATCTCCGGGCTAAGAGAAAGTGCATGCAGTAGTACTGGGCTCGGCGAATCACCAACCTAATATTGGTTCAGCTCTCAGCCCTGGCCTAAGGCCACATGCAGCTGAGCTTCCAGGAAAAGCCACAATACTGTACTTCTGATGGGGTTACCATGATGTTGCGCTGGACACCTAAAGGTTGGCTGTATCATACGATGAAGTTGTGTCGCGCGACCATTATCGGGCAATCGCATATTCCTTTCAGTCCTTAGGCCATGGTGCGCTCACGGTAGATCTTCAGCTGTCGAAATGCATAGCATACTGGGTTCCTTCCCTACTATGTATGCAGCTGATCGAAGTATAGCTACCTAGTACGCAGCGGATGACAGCGCCGTCGCCCAACATCATCCGGTTACAGCGATGCTGACAGGACGCCTTATGAATCCCGATTGGTTCTCTTCATGGCTACATATTAACTGCTGTGCTTACTATGGTGCAGGAAGCAGGCATTAGCGTAAATACAGATGATCCATACTCCAGAAGTATACAGGCGCACTCAGGCGTGCACGCTACCCTGTCTCTACCCTTCAGAGTTCGTTTCCCACATTCTTTTGAGGCGCAGCCGCATTGGGCCTATACCAGGCTCAAGGACTTGGATCCCTCCGTTCAGATTCCGACCCACCCTTCATACCTACTCTTCCATTGAACAAGATGGATCACCATGACCAACACCACGACGATATGAGCAGTCCCCGTAGCTACACCGATAGTCAATGGAGCCCTCCTCCACCAGGATTCCGAGAGCTCGATCAGATATATGCAGCGGATGGTTCACCTCATACCTACTCTAACCCGAACTCTCCACCAGCAGTATCCCCACCTCTACCGTATGAACATGAGTATCATCAACATCCCCAACCGCAAAACTATGAAACCTATCAACAAGGGTATGTTGCTTTCGCTTTATCAGCAGATTCATCGCACAAAACCAAGCCGTCTCTTTACCTAGCCTCGTGACCTGACTCTTCAACAGTTATTCAACGGAGAAAGAGACACCATACGGCACAGTTGCTCCAATCGGCAAACCTACTCCAGATTTTGAGGGTCCTGAAGTGTAAGTACCCCTGCTTGAACTGTCTATGATACATGTACTGATCTCTCACACCAACATCTAGAGTCCCAGGCCAGTTCAGTCATTACCCTCATGGGGGTCGACCAATGTCACCCTCATCACATGGAGGCACCACCCTTACCTCTCCCCACATTCGGCCATATGGATTCAAGGAACATGTCGACCCGTACGACAATCATGAAGCAGCTCCTCCGCCCGTACCACCGAAGGATGATCGGAAATGCGGCATGAAGAAGCGGACGTTCTTTATCCTCATCGGCGTCATTGTCATTGCGATTGTTGCTCTCGCTTTAGGACTCGGTCTAGGATTAGGATTAAACAAGGACGACTCGTAAGTTTCCAATACACGTATTCTATCTCACACACAAGGCGCTTAAACTATACAGAGATGAGGGCACAGTTCATCCCTTCTGTCGCGAGAACCCTGAGTCATGTATTGGTGGCTCTCTCAACTCCGAGTACCTGTCGAAAAAGGGCGTTTTCAGTAAGTCCTTGCTCACCATGTAGATTTGAACAAACGCTGATTTGATACCCACCGCGTCGCAGATGGTACAGGTATCGCTCTGGCTGGAGAGTCTTGGAACAAAGGCCAACGACGAATCTTCACGCTTTACTTCCAGCACCATACAGGCGACATCAGATTTATGCAGTATACTACGGACAGGAAGTGGATTGGTGGAGGCAAAGCCCAGACCGTTGCTGGCGATGCAAAAGATGCATCACCTATATCCGCAGTCGCTTTTGCCCTTAATGAGACCCAATATGTGAGTATCATCGAGCAGTCTTGTCGCGCGCCAGAATTGGCCAGCTCCTCACTCTCGAGCAATATCCTAACCTTGAATAGTTCCACATCTTCTACATCGATAAGAATAACACCGTCAAACAACTGATCCAGTCCAACACAAGCGACATCTGGCAGCCAGGACCACTCAGCGACCTCAACCTCAAAGCCTTCGACTCACCGACTACTGGCTTGCAAGCTTGCTACAAGGGGAACTTTTACGGTGATAACGACTATACAAAGTTTCCCACAGCTTCAGGTCTCAATAATACAGAGCAATTCGAAGGACAAACAGGCATGGTAAGTTTCAGAAGTAGCTATCCTCAAAACATACACTGACCGCATTACCATGGCTACAGAATATTTGGTTCGCTACTGATGACTCCACCTTCCTTCAGTACGCCTGGTACAGCGGCCAAGACGATACATGGGCGAAAATCGAACCATGGTCCGGGTTCAACGGACATGCCGGCGTAGGCTGCTACAGTTGGGGTGCAGGCACCACATCGTACGCCATGCTAAATAACAAGGACAACGATGTGGAATTTTGGTGGAAAGACACCAACCAATCCGCTCCATCCACGCCGACACACCCCATCAACTCCTGGCAAAACGCCAGCATGGGCGCCATCAAGGACGTATACCCCATCACGTCTCTTGGTTACACAACGTACTTTTACGCGCAAATGGCGGATCGAAGTATCAAGGGGTTCAACATCACGTACAATGCTGAAAACACAACGTACATCGAAGACGAAACATTCACGGTTACTGATATATCAAACTCAGTGGTAGGACTTGGTGGCACGCATCTAACCGTTACAGCATTTGCTGAGAAGCGTGGAGAGGAAACATTGTGGGACAGTCTTTATGTCTTCTTTCAGACTGCAGGTGATGATATCACGGCATTTACGAGGGGCCTGAATGGGGGTGAATGGACAAAGGGGTCTTTGAGTATTCCAGATGAATGAGCATGGGGTGTGGCGACGGACTTGATGATCTGCTTACGATCGTTTGCCATTTGTGTTTCTTTTTTACTCGCATCCTATTGAGGATTGGTGTCAGGCGTCTGGAACGTGATACCTTTCATACAAACACAGTAGTCCAATCTGTTAGTTTGCATGTATTGCTCGATTTACAGCATCATCGTATAGTACTTGACACGTCTCTATGACATCGTGTTATACGAATGCACAAAACCATAGACGTTATCCAACTCAGCGTCTGAGAGCGGTACTAGTTCTTGTCCTTCCAAGCACCAGCACCAGCACCATTACCAGCAATGGGCAGTTTTCCTGGAGACGAAAATGGTAAGCGATGGAGCCGTACACAGCGGGCAGATGGTGGTCTCGTCGGAGAGCGATTGCGTCGTTCAGTCCTTGAGCCGCGTACCTGCAATATCTTCCTGAGCGTCTCTGACGAGGAAGCTTGGAGAATCGTTAGCACTAGTTCCCTACAATACATGACATGACCATTCAACTTACTTGTACCACAAAACAGTCGGCAGAACTGTGCCCAGATGCCACAGGCTATGTGCATCAATCATACCCTTCCAAGGCGGAAAATCCAACAACTCCAGACTCATAGCCAAGATGATCCAGGCAACACACAGACCAGGCCAGACAGCCCATGTCCTCCCAATCTTCTGGTACTGGACGTAACTGAAGCCACTCCAGAGCAAGTTGGCTACGACGCCAACGGCAACATTGGCAGCCATGTTGTACGTATAGTCCCAAGACCAGAGCGAGAGGTACAGGACATGAAGCGTATACAACGTGATACAAAGCCCCGTCCAGAGCCTCAGCAAGCTCTGTTTCCTTGGCTCCTTTCTGTCCAGTCTGAATACCCTAATGGGCGCGTAATACAGCCCATATAGGACATTCGCGCCAGCCGCGAAGTAATCCAGCTTCTCCGTAACCCCAAAGTCCCTGGTGTGGAAGATCATGCTGAACGTCCAGCTCGCTAGACCCACGTATCCAAACCACAGGTAGTATTTCCGCAGCGGGTACGAGGCGGGAATCTTGTCGCGGAGCTGCGACATGCCCCAATCATGCGCAAGGTAGTTGAAAAGGGAGAAGATGACGCTGAATGGCTCTTGCATGCCCATGAAGCGGTAGAAAGGCCATTTGCCGTGGAATTGGTAGACGGGCTGCATGTATGGAGGGTCGCGAGCGAGGCGTTGGGCAGTTACAATGTGTTGGCATGTGTAATCGCATTCCGAAGGACAGTCCCAGAGAAGGAGGCGGCGGTGGAAGGCTGCGAGAGTTGTCAGTACTAGGTATGAGACTGGGAAGGAATTGGGAACAAATATGGGTAGCATACGTATCGACGTGCCATCTGGGCCGCAGTTGGCTTCTTTACAGACCTGTGAACACGTTGTTAGTCACACATGCTCTTCTGGTTCAGAAACCTACTCCCATCTTCACGTACCTGTACACAGTCCTTGAAATCAGGCAATCTGTCGCCCAAAGACGCCTGCGCTGTTCCACCCAGCAGAAGCAGAACGGCAAGGGTGTGCCATGCTGTGGCTATCCGGAACTTCATTATTCACCAGTGTGAGGCAATTGCTGCTGCCATGCGATTGCGTCTTGCGTCTCCTCCAAAAGTTCCCAAGTCGCGTGTTGCAGAGCGATGGATCGACAGGGTCTTGGCGGGCCGGTAACTCCGTCGTTTCCCCTGGCCTAATGGCAAGTTCGCTGGAAAGTCGATTGACAACAGCAACAACAAAGCTCACGGCACGGACAAACATGTGTCCCTTAATTTCGTCTATTAGGATTTTGGAGGTTCTCGCATCTTTCTCCAGTGCTCGAGATAGCTAGCGAATGGGCCGATTCTATGGGAGGAACCCATAGTGCAAACGGCAATCGGCAACCTGCGAAGTTCCAGACCCACTGGAAAATCCCGTGTCAGCGTAATCGCTATTATAAACGATATAATTTCCAAAATATTCACAATCAAATCACCAGGGCGTATAGCTCAGTGGTAGAGCGCCTGCTTTGCATCTTAATTGGGCAAAATTGCAGGAGGTCTGGATTTCGATCATCCATCCGTCCACAGCTGAGTAACGAGTCTTCGGGCTCGCCCATCCTTTTTTGTTGATTCATGCCTCACAGACAAACAATCTCGCTCGCTTTGCTTGCGTATGCCATACCTCTCATGCTTTCAAGTATGTTCGTCTCTTTTTTTTCTTTTGTTTTTTTTTAATACTATCACTACATCCATCGTACTCGCTGGTTCTACATGCATATCATCGTTCGTGTCGACAGTTCCGGCATCCAAACCTTGCAAAGGGACTGTAGAATCAAAGGATAAACCGCCTGCACTCACGAGGCTGACGCCGCGCGAGCATTGTGACTATCTGGACATTTGTTGCGGTGCAGGTCACTCCCTTGGTTGATAAGTAGACGTAGTTTTGAACTACTCTCCATCGATTTAGTCATTCTTAGGTGCTAAAACTACGGCGGTATGGTCTCCGCTCTCAAAAGCCCAAGTATTCTAAGAAAAAGCACCACAGGGTAATCGTAGAACCAAAACTCGGAACCCAGATGATAGCTGTGGTCGACACGAACATATGACCATATACTTTTTCATTCCTGCGTTCTCACTCATGATCTAGCTGAAAAGCATTCGCATTACCACGGAACTACCAAAAGGTGCAGCCCGACAAAAACCGTATTCGCCGCCCATGTTGCCTCCCAGAAGACGAGATGTACGTCTAAGCCTGGATGGCGCGTCCCAAAGCACCACCAGTGAACTGCTGATTCCTTCCTCCCCTTGGTCCGCCTCCTCCACGACCACCACCGCCACGGCCGCCTCCTCGGCCACCGCGGTTACCACGTCCACCTTGCCTCTCAAAGGCATTGGCGGTACCTTGTGTGCGTTGCTCCAGTGTCTTCTCATTCGACTCGATGAGGCCTGAAGCCTTGTCTGATAAGCTCAATGCGAGTGTCTGGAGTCTTGACAGCTCAACACCCTTCCTGAAGATGATGGCCGAGTTGACCTGGTCGAGAGCAGCGGCGAGTTCCTCGTGCGAGATCATCTTTGAGACGACCGCCGAAACCTTACGCTCTGACAACTCAAACATGCCCGCTAGGGTGGAAATGGAGAGTGTGTCGTAGAAAGGTGCGTACGTGAAGAGGTAAGTGCGGAGACCCTCCTCTTGGATTTGCGAGGACAGCATTTCCTTGATCTTCTCCGAATCAGCCATCAGCTCCCAGATCTTGATCGAGTTGATGAACTCGGCTGCCTTCTTCCATTCACCAGCAGACAGTGCCTTCGAGGCTTGCATGACGTGGTCACGGGTGTTCTCAGGCGGTCCAGTAAAGATCTGGCGCTCATGGTACTCTAAGAGACGGCGGTAGGTCTTGCTGATCACCCGCTTCCTGAGGTCTGGTGATGAGCCGAGTTGTGCGAGGAGGGGAATCTCAAGCAACATAGAGCAAGTCAAGTAGACGCACTCTAGCAGCTCAAGGTTGATGTGCATGTGGAAGGGAAGTTGTCGTTGACGCTCAAGACGCTCTTGCTCGGGCGAGATCTGGGAGTATCGCTGCATCTGCAGACCTTGTGCGAGCAACTCCTTCTGCCTGTTGCTACCGCAGATCTCTTGTAGCGAAGTTTGTGCTTCGTAGACGAGACCAGCGCGGAAAGCGCAAAGGCCGACCTGAACCAGCGCACGGTTGAACAAGATTTGTGTGTTGACGTCGAAGTTGCTGATAGTCTCTTGCAAGTGAGACATGAGCATCATGTCGCGAGCCTTGTAGTACTGGTCGTGAAGAGACAAGAAGTAAATCTGGCACAACATGGCGCGAGCGCGAATGATGCCCTCGCTGTTCTGGAACAGGTATGTGCATAGGGTTTGTACGAGAGAGGCGGTGTCGTTGGAGATGGCGCGGGGGGTAATCTCAGAGTCAAGGCTCTCTGGAATTGCCTTCCAAACGTTGTTCTCGAGGATCGTGATGACTTGGGAGGGCTGCGCATGTTAGCATGGACGAATACTAAAGTGTAGAACATTCGCATACCTTGAAGTAGACGTGTTCCAATCTCCGCATAACGATGCGGTTCAGTGGTTCTTGTGGAAGTTCTAGGCTTGGGTTCTTCTTCATGCTCTCAACGTATACCAATGTGCGTACGAGCTGAGCGTACAGAAGGGCCTCGTCGGTCAACCGTTCGATGTACTCGGAAGTGTGCGGGTCGATGTGCTGCAGCGAGCGAGTAAGTTCGTCGTCGAGCCTCTCAACAAAGGAAACGATGCTTCCTGGGATGCGGAAGATCTCGCCAGGTGTGATAGTGGGCAGCTTCTCGTCGTCCTCCCACTCCTCGGCGTTCTCAATGACAACAATTTCATTGCTGTCCTCGAGGATCTGGAGGAGCTTTCCGAATTCTTGGTCCGCACTAGGCATTGTTAGCAATTAGCGGCCATGTAACGGGCCGGAAATACTCACAGCTTCCACTGCTCCTGATGCATGTGGCTGGCAGTACCGGAGGTCAAATCGAAGCGCGTCGAGATAAGGGTCAAGAGAACGCGGACCTTCTGGTAGTCGTTGACGGCTACGTCGAACAACTTCTCCAGTGTCCGGATGTGCTCCAGCTTGTCCGAGTTCTTGCGACCGCGCTGCTCGACAATAGCACGCAAGTGTTTGAGGATACCCTCAGCGGTGTATAGGACAGCCTTGCCACCAGCTCCGACTGTGATGAAGCCATCGTCGGTCGCCTCCTCAACGACGTCGGTACCGAGTTGAGGGATCTTGTTCTTCTTCTTCTTCTCCTTGGGTGCCTGAACAATCTCCTCCTCCTCGCGCATGAATTCCTCCTTGTTCTCCCGGTATGCGTTGATGTCCTTCTCGTAGTCGCGATTGTGCTTCTTGATCTTTTGACGGACAGCGTTGAACCCACGACCGTTGACAGCGTTCATCTTCTTGGGAGTGACCTTCTGCTTCTCGTGTGTCTCAACTACAGCCGTCTCGAGGTCGGCGACGGCCTGAATGTAAAGCTTCGGGATCTTGCCATCGTTCTGCTTGGTAAGGGTTGGCACCTGGCGGATGAGCTTGTCGAACTCTGTATAGCCATAATGTTAGCAATGTTCGTGTACCCCGCCACCATGGCTCATGCCGCCCCCCCAGGGCTATTTCTGAAGTGAACATACGTTCGGAAATGACAGCCCAGTCGCTGATCTTTTGCGCATTCTCAATGAGCCTGATGGTTGCCTCCAACTCGTCGAAGCGCTTGTCCTTGGCACTCTTCAGCACCTTGTTCACATCCTCGTCGTCGCTCTCGCTGTCGCTGGAAGCGTCCTTCAAGAAGCGGTTGGCACCAGTTTCCGAACCCGAGTCGGAGTCGGAGTCGTCGTCATCGGACTCATCATCGGAATCCTTGTCGCTGTCTTCCTGTTCAGACTCCTCGTCGTTGGAGTAGAGTTCCTCCTCGCTGGACTCTTCCGAGGAGCTGTCGCTGGCGGCAAAGAAACGGGACGCCATGATTGCGGTTCTCGAGAGTTGGGATTTGCCGGAGGGGTCGGAGGCAATATATGTGGCAGGCGCCGGTGTGGGTTGACCAGAGTTACTGCCGCCTTGTTTGAACTTTCCGCAACCGAATTTCGAGCAGGCGCCAAGCCATGACTGTGTGCCCCGCGCCTAACCCTAAACAGACGCGAACACATTCACCCCAGTCGCATGCTACCACTGAGGTGCGCCAACGCCAGTTCCAGGTTGAGATGATGCAATGATCAATGCTCGCCAGGCATTCACTGAGAGTTTCCAATATCTATTGACTTAATTTTCGTCCTTGGCCGAACTACGTACTTCGAGCTTGTCCCAGTCCGATTTCAACTCACTTTTGACATCTCTGTCACACAAGCCATAATGATAATAGCTCAACGCGCATGTTCGTGGCTACCAAAACACAGCCAAAGGGTTTATGAGAATGCTTCTAAAAGTACACGTGCTGCCATACACCACTGCCCCGATAGCTGAGCGCTTTTGAGTCATGGCTCGACATCTGGCGACACCAGTCATGCTGTTGAACATGCATCTGATCCGTCCTGCTCTGCATCATCCAATCAAGGTCCAGCTTTCCTCGCTCGACAAATCACAGCGCACGTCGTAGAGTCATCAATCTGACACAACAGAGAGCCCCGTCTAAAGCCAGGTGAAGGCGCTGAGTATCAACAGGGCATACTACGATTTGAGCAGACCGTAGGAACGATATGCGGCCTGCGCGGTCATCCGAGTTTTGGCTCCACCCGTTGGTAGCATGATGTTGCTTATCCATGTCTCAAACGACGATACTGACGGAAGCACCATGAGGAAAATGGGCATCAAGGAGAACTCAGAACGCCGCGACTCATCCACCGTCGGATCTCCACGCCGTGCAAAGCGTTGTTTTCGTGATATGAGAACTACTCATTGAAGCCGTCCCCTCACTGCCAATGATTCTGACCCATGAAACCTTCTTCAAGCGTCCGGTCTTCCAAATTTCGTACAAAGTTCTGGTTACGGTTCGAGTTGCCTGCTCGCGACCCTCTTCTCCTAGCGGCACTGCTCGCGCTTTCAGGGGCGCCATCAGGCGGTGGCGGGTAATATGCTGGTGACGGTTGCAAACGAACGGGCGCATTTGGATCCAGATGACTCATGACCCTCTGGAGCGCGGGTGGGATACCTGATTGTCCCGACTGTTGCTGATCCATCGTGGTTGCTCGTTGCCGTCCTGCGCGGGTCGTAGCTTGGGCGTACAGATTCTGAGGCTGGTTGTACTGCCGCGGCTGTTGTGGCTGCATCATATTCATCGGCTGGCCATATTGTGCTGCTTGAGCAGGGTAAGGCGGAGGGGCGCCCTGATGGTTTGGAGGGTACATGTTGTAGGGATTTTGCTGAGCCTGAGGACTTTGTGCAGCTGCGTACTGGTTCATCTGCATATTCGCATACGCAGCGTGTTGGGCCGCTTGGGCTTGTTGCTGCTGCGCAACGGCCTGCTGCTGTTGCTGCTGACGCTGTCTGCTCATGCCCTCAAATCGCTGTTGCTCCTGAACGCCAGGTGCTGGGGATCTGCTCGAGCTGGACTTGAGAGTCATTGGGGGTACGAACGGCCCAGTGAACTTGGCCTGAGTGATAAAAGGATGCAACTTGGCTTGTGCAGGGGTCCAACGTTCTAAAGGATTGAGGTTTAGCAGTCCTTGAGCAAAGTCGATGAAGGCGGCTCGGTTGGACATTTCTATCAATTGTTAGTTGTGACAGCAACTTGGTTGATGTCCTTGCTTACCTCGCTCGATCTCGTTGGGTTTCATGTTCTTCCGCGGCATGGGGTAGTTTTTGATAATGTCTGGCAGGGTCGTGGCAGAGAAATATTTCTTGCTGGGTTGTTCCTTCGTGCCGTGTTCCCGTGAATACTGGTCCATCGACTTGAGTCGGTACTGCTTACGACCGTACTCATCCTGCGACTTTTCGTAAAATTCGCCTGACTGTTTGCCCATTTCGAGCATCCAATGAGGGGGCAGCCCAAGCATCTCTGTTATCCTTGACACTTGGTTGTACTCAGACGAGCCAGGAAATAGAGGCAAGCCGAGGAACAACTCGACCACAATGCAACCCAAGGACCACATGTCAATTGCCGCCGAGTATGGTAGACCGAGCAAGACTTCGGGAGATCGGTAGAATCGCGATTGGATGTACGTGTACACAGTCTGACGTTCGTCGCATGCGGAACCGAAGTCGATGATCTTGATGATTGGACTCTCAAGGCTGTCACTGGGTCAGTGTATGCATGTCACCACCAAAGTGGTTACCTACTTCTTCAGAAGAATGTTCTCGGGCTTCAAGTCGCAATGTATCAGCTTCGCCTTCCCAAGCAATGCCAGGCCGTTGATTAGCTGCTGTGCGAACACGCGGACCAGCGTGGTAGACAATCCACGGAACTGGTTTTGTTTGATTAGCTCGTACAGATTGACGCTCAACAGCTCAAACACCAGACACAGATGTTGCCTGTGGATGAATGTGTCCTTGAGTCGCAGAAGATGATGGTCGTCATTCTTGTCCATTTGTTTATTCAACTGCGTCACGTTAGTCTTGCCTATACTTGCTTGTCATGGGACACTCACCAGATCAAGCACAGATACCTCCATCATACTCTGGTTGAAGTATGCTGTCCGGTTCTTGATGACCTTTACTGCGACAACCTCCTGTGTCTTCAAATTCTGGCACTTGACGACCTGTCCGAAGGTACCCTGACCCAACACATCCAGAATCAAATAGCGGTTCTTGTGTCCAGATTCTTCCGATCCCAGGATGTCGTTCACGTAGAGAATGTAATCGCTGTCCTCGTTGTCATAGCCATCGTTCTTGACACCCTTGCTCGGTTTCGTCAGTACTCGGCGAGGATTGCGTGATGACTGGTAGTTGAAGCCGCCATTGCACAGCTTGTATGTCATGGGCAGGTGTGCAGTTAGGGCTTGCAGAGGCTAAATATCACTATCAGCACTTGGTTCCTGTAGCAGACTGCTCAACCTACACTAATAAAGCCGCCCTCTGGATTGGCGCGACGAAAAGGCGGCTGGGCATTGATCTTGGGTTGCAAGTCGGCAGTGTTGACACACTTTTCGAATTTTGGCACCGGGCCTCGTCCCATAGGAGGAAGTTGTGGAGGGTTTGAGTTGGCAGATGCGCGCGGCGATCGAGCGTCTCTGTTGTATACTGTGTTTAGCTGCGCCGTGGCAGATTGCGGGTAGAAACTTTCTGGGCTCATGTTTGACTGTATGAGCGGTAGTTGAGGCGCATGCGGTCGGGAAGCTAAAGCAATGCTAGTCAGTATCGCAGCGCTAAGACGGGAGTAAGCCAAAGCACAAGATGGACGTACACGGCGGAGAGTAGTAGTTGTTGTTGTTGGGCGGCGACATGTAGGGATTGTTGCGCGTCGGGCTCTGCCGGTTGCCTTGATTCTGCGCTTGGGCCTGAGGGGTAAAGCTGGTGTAGTTCTGGCCAGCCTGCTGTGCGCCGGCCGAGTAGGGTGAGGTAGGAGAGAGGTTCATAGGCGAGTATCTGCGTGCGGCGGCACTTTCCTCTTGCTGCAGGTACTGCTGCGAATGCCTCTGTTGCTGTTGTGGGCGCGCCATGCTGTTCAGTCGTGGCTTGTATGCATCCTCCATGGGCACATCGCCATCTCCGTCGTTGTAGTCGGGCCCGCGGCTAGCAGTGCCGCTGGGCGATTGCAGCGGCATTGAACTCTGGCGTGACGGGGTTGCGTAGGGGTCCTGCTTGATCTGCGAAGACACGCTGGCGTCTCTCGAGGCGTGGGGAGAGGACGTCATGCTGTGCGAGTACCGATTGCCCGGTGCCTCTGAGTAGGCTGTCCACTGCGGCTCCATGGCAGCCGGGGATTGCGGGTGCTGAGGGTTGCAAAGCGACTGTGTCGCAGGAAGAGACGCCAATCAGTCGTCACTGCGGGTGTTGCATGCCGAGGGTACGCGCTGGCTGGAGAGGTGGGCTGAGCTCCGTCAAGCAGCGACTGCGGCGCAGCACTCGCGTCTTGATTGCAACGGGCGTGCGTGGGCTCGAGGTGAAGAGGAGCGCGCTTGTTGTTATGGGCCTGGCCGTACGAGCCTCGAAGGGACGGGGGTGCGTCGTCTGGCTGTTGCGGGGTGTGGTGTGTGTTACGTGGTCAGCGGCTGTACGCTGTTCGCAGCAGGACCTGGAGCAGCTGCAGAGGAACAGACGCGCAGATTGGTGCGCACGAGCGAGTCTTCACAGGGCAGAAGGGAAAGGATGGGTTTGAGGTCAGCGTAGCGCTCATGTCGGCGCCATTGCAACATGCATGGAATTGGGCTCTGTCCTTGGTTGCGCTAGTGACCAAAGCGGCCAACCTCCTCACGCCCATCATCGTGGGGTGATTGCTGCATTTCACGCTCCTCGTCGCGCCTTGCTGGCTGCGGTTTGCTCCTCGACCCTCCCTGCCCCAGCTGCACTACACCCGCCCGCCAGAATTACGCTGTGCTGCACTGCTCGCTGTTGGGCCGCGTCCGCTTTCAGGGTCTTCAAACAGGAAGGCGCGACCCTGAATGCTACTTAGGCTCTGATATCAATTCCAAACAAGCGTTGCTTTTTTATGCTCGCCTTCTTCACCGCGCACAACACGCAATGCACGAGTGGGATTTGCAATTCAAGCGGCTGACGGATAAGCGAGTGGGCATGGTCAAAGACGTCATAGTAGCAGTGGAAGCAAGAAAAGTAGAAGATTACCTATGTACAGTTTTCAAAAGCACGAGCCATGCCTGCCCATCACTCGCGCATCTCGTATCCTCCAAGGACATCGCCATTGTCCCACTTGGCTGGCTTCTCAAAGATGCTCCTCACCATCTCACCTCCCCTTGTCGCGAGCACCGAAAGAAGTGTGTCGCTCAGCTGTCGTCGTCGTTAGCACGTCTTGTTCCCAGCAGTGACATGGAGCACAACTTACACCATGCGTCGTTTCACAGCAGCCTTGCAACCAGACACCAGCATCTTCGCCAACGCTCTTCTCTGTGAAGTTGATCTTGTAGTCCCTCTGAACCTGCCACTTGGCGCCCTCGAGCTCTCCGCCGGGCATCAAGTGTCGCGCATCCTTGAGCAGCGTCTCGTGCAGGTCTCTGTAATAGCCTGTTGCTACAAAGACAGCATCGACGTCCAGCGTCTCCTGCCTTTCTTGCCCTCCCGCGCACTCGGAGAAATACAAGGGGCTAGTGTCTTGTACCTGCAGACGCACACCACCCTGTCGAACCGGCGAATCAGTCACGTCAATGACGCGACGGTATGGCATTATACGGTGCGGCCAGTTCTCTTCCTCGGCAGCCGAGTTGCCATGACGAATGCGTTGTAGGTAGAGCGTTTCGTAGATGTGCTCGAGGAGCGGGAGGCGAACGACGCCGTAGTTGGTGCCCTTGTCTTCGACGAGCGTAGTTGCCCGGAGCTTGGGCGCGCGGTTGAATGTGCAGTCTGTTCGCGAAGGGTTGAAGATTTCGTTGACACTGGCATGATTAGCAGGCAAACACCGTAGCTCGTGGCCGTCACTTACAATGGCGAGTCGTCGCTTGGTCGCAGCGCTCCTCCCTTGATCAGCATTCGTGTTCGTGCATTCGGATAGTTTGCGTGTAGGAAGTCGAAGATTTCAGCGGCACTCTGGCCGTTGCCAATCACTGCAACGCTGTACGGTGCGTCGTGGTCTTTCAAGAGCTCTTTTGACATGAACGAGAACTTCGACGAGTGGATAACTCTCGGGTGGTTCGTAGGGAACGGCGCTGGGATGTTGGGCCTTCCACCCGCAGCGACAACTACGTGCTTGCTTCTCCGCGACTCGGTGCGGCCTGTCAAATGGTTACGTGAAACCACGGTGAATGTAGTAATCTCGCCATTCGGTGACTTCTCTGGCATGATTTTGACGACTTCCTGGCTGTACGCTACAACGTCCTCGAACCAGCTGGCGCACCACTTCATATAGTCCTCGTACTCTACACGAGCTGGTAAGAAGGTGTTGAGATTGGCAAACTCCACCAAACGATCCTTCTGGTGCAGATAGTTAATGAAGGTGAATTCGCTCCTCGGGTTGCGCATGGTAGCCATGTCTTTCATGAAAGTAATCTGCATCTTGGCTCCTGGTAGGAGCATACCAGCGTGCCATGCAAATTGCGACTGCTTCTCGAGAAAAGCGACTTTTGGTGATCTGCTTTGCAGACCTGGAACATCTACAAGGGAAGGGTCTGTTCCATCCAAAGCATCATGCAGGGCTACACCAATAGCTAGTGAGGCTGGTCCAAAACCGACACAGATCAGGTCGTGTAATTCATCTTCCGGGGTGTATCGGAGGTGTGATCGGTTCTCAAATGTGGGAAGCTGGCTCTCTTCAAAGTTCTCGCTCAAGATACCACTGAACGCTCGTTGCACGGCTGGGGCCGGCCCTTCGGATGCGGTCGACGACATTTCCGCGTGGGGACTCATGTTTGCGTAAATGAACAGCAGGTGTCACTACGAAAAGCACAGCGTCGTTAGTATCGTCAATACAACAGGCGCGATATGACATGCGTCGCTTTGCTTCATAGACTCCAGAAACACGTACGCTGACGGGTTTTACTGACGCTCCAGAGGGAACTTTTGGACTGAACAATCGGCCGTGAAGGAGCTTAATCCGCAAAACTGTACGCGCATAGCCGAAAGTCAGCGGATTCATGTGATAAAACCAATGACGTCTACACTAGACGCGAATGAACAACACGAATGGACTGGCAGGTGCCAACATACCTATTCAATCCTTTATTTGGAAATCGCAAGAGACTTCAATCGCTGGATATTCATACAGTCGCCGTCTCCAGGTTATGGAAAAAGTTTACGAGGGCCACGACTTGTACCTGGACCATATCCGTGCCCAGGATCCGTTCTTGCGTATAGCTCATCCATGTCGATCGAGGACCGCTGCCACGCTCGTCAGAGAATGGTCCGATGTCACTTCGTAAGAGTAGACCCTGACGGTCCGTTCCAACCTGGTGTCACCACCTGGTTCGCTAACCAAATGATAGTAGCACAATCCCCATGTCACTGATCTACGGACGCGCCATCTGATAAGATGACGGAGCTCAGGCCGTCGAGTAAAATGCTCACCTGGCGCCCATGGAACGCATGACGGAGGCAAAATTTTCAGGCATGGCCCCGCTACACTTGTCCTCGAATCGCATCGGCTGGTTCGAATAAGTTTAGTCTCCGTGGGGTCGTGGGTAAAGTATCAGCTTGGCGGAGTAGAAATTATCAGATGGAAATGGATCAATCCATCAGATTAGATGAAGAGATTTCCTGCGAGTTCGGAGCGGCCTCGGTCTTACTGGTCCATGCCCAACAACACCACCATCTAACTGCATGTCTCGGCGTTGTTACTAGGCTCGGTTAGCACGCCGCTGCCGCCGATCACTCAAAAGCAGGTCGTATTAGCGCAGGTAATGTAGGTTAATGACGAACGAGGCGCTTCAAGACCCTTTCTTGACATCGACCTAGCAGTTCTGTGTGGACTCGGTGACAACGAAATAGGAGGAGTACGATGGCTTAGTTTTGTAGGAACAAGTTGCTGCGTTAGTATCAATTTACACCATTATGTAAGAATCGGGCTTATATGAGCATCGTCGCTACACAATCCTGGCTCGACCCGGGCATCCATCATCATAGCCCACATCTGGTGCATATGATATGCCACTAGCATGCAATGGCGGCGCGGTAGACTGAATAGGAAGTACCATGGCGAAGAAGGCAGGAGGTACTTGTGTATCGTTGTTGATAAATTGAGTATTAATTATGAAGAGGACTGTGATGATACTGGTAAAGAAATTGTTACGTGCGCCTCGCCATGCGAGTAGGATATCTATAGCTTATCGAAAAGCGAACATACAAATACATGCATATGATACAGTGCATTGATTGCATAAGGAAAGAAACCAACATCGACCGCCAATGTTGCATAATGCAAATCTAGGAAGGAATCGTGAATGATGTTTAATCCAACTCTTGCGTGGCTACCATGGCAGCGTATATTCCCCCCATGGACACAAGCTCGTCATGTCGGCCCTGCTCAACGATTCGCCCAGTGTCGAACACAAAGATACGGTCTGCATGTTGTACGCTTGCTAACCGATGAGCGATCATAATTGTGGTCCGGCCCTTGGAAGCAGCGGCAATTGCTCTTCGGATTTCCCGTTCGGTATTGGCATCGAGTTGAGATGTTGCTTCATCGAGAAGCAGTATTTCAGGATCGCGTATCAGAGCTCGAGCGATAGCAAGGCGTTGACGCTGACCCCCTGAAAGTTTTGATCCATGAGAGCCGACCTCGGTGTTATAGCCTTCTGGTAGGCTCATGATGAAATCGTGGAGCTCACATTCCTTAGCCACACGTTGGATGTCTTCTTCACTAGCCGAGGTGCCCGGTCGTGCGCCTAGACCAATGTTGAACTTGACTGAGCCTGGGAAGAGATCTGGTTCTTGCTCAACGAGCGCTAGGCGAGCGCGATGGTTGCGAACAGCTTCTTGTCGAATGTCTTGCCCATCGAGATAGACTTGCCCTGCATTTGGATCGAAGAATCTTTCTATCAAATGAATTGTGCTTGACTTGCCAGCACCTGAACGACCAACGAAAGCTACGTTCTCGCCCTGTCGAATTTGGAATGAGACGTCGTTCAAAGCGGGAACATTTGGTCGGCTCTCATAGTAGAGACTGACGTTGCGGAATTCGAGCTCGCCCCGTACACCAAACGTACCATATGAAGCTGAAGGGCCGGATAATAGGGCGTCTCCATTCGATGTATTAGTAATGGCAGAGTCCAAAGGCGCCCGATCTGTGATGATAGTCGGTTTCTCATCA